TCCCCTAAGGCCGAATTTGGCCTGACGTTCGATCAAAATGCCCCGTCAGTCACATCGGTGTCAAACCGGTCACATCGCTCTCGCAACACTACAGGGGGTGTTGTAAGCTATAGTGTTACATATAGGCTATGTACGGGTATCTACGAGTAGCTTGATAGGACTTTACTTTATTATATGGGCTGATCCGAGCCCGTTGATTACTTAGTTCGTTGCGGAACCTGTTTGAAACTTCAAGGTCAATCGGAACGGCAGATCTGAATTATCTGGGAAGCTGCCCGGAAACCAACTCTCTTAATCCTGAGAGTTGTACAGAGTGGAAATATATGCGTTAAGCTCAGGGCTTTAAAAGATTGAGCTTTATCTATAACTCCTCCTCCACATACTAGCACAGCACTTGTAAGTGTACTTTGCTGTGAAGAATTGATGTAGCCAATAAGACTCCTTGCTTAGGCCTAGTAGAGTCAGCCTACACAAAAAGAGTTTAAGGTAATTATGCGATGTAGTACTACTAGGATTAATCTTTCATGCATACCCGTATGCGGCTAACAAATCTAACGACCTTAATTATTAATTCGGAGATTGCTAAGAAGCTGACACTACCTGAGAGTGTGCCTCATCCTATCGTGGGTTATTAAGCTTATCTCGCGGTAGGAAGTCTGATGCAATGGGGTGCTCCACCGTAGTTAAAGTCCTTCTGCTTTCGTCTTATTCTCCGGCTTAAAGCTGAAATATGGGTTTAACAAAGTGGTACAATAGTGTACAACCCCGCGACTAGTGTGTTGTCGTAAACCCATTCGTCAGCTGGAACAAGAGGTGCAATGGTCAATACCGAGGTTTAAACACTAAGCAAAGACTGAACAATGACTGCATTATAATCATTACGCATTAGATACCAAATATAGACCCGTGCTCATGGAAGGTGCAGTGCTCGTCTCTCCAACGCCCACATGTTCAGCTCATCGAAATTTCTACACGTATGAGTTGCGCCAGAGGCTGGGAAGATGTCCGGCCCACGACGATAGTAAGTTATAGGTGTCAGATCGCCCTGACACTGTATAGATTGTCGTATGTAGTCAATGCAGTCATCTGTTGACATATTTACATGTCAGCTTCGAACATGCTTTAAACATTCGCCAAGGGATTCTTACCAACATGGTCCCGATAGAAGTAAGGAGTTTTCCCTGTCGGATAGTAATGATCGAAGTCAATTGCTTTCCGAACCAAGTCCTTTTTAGGGAAGTAAGCAATTTGGCAAAGCAATGATGTAAAGTGCCCATACCACACAGTGTAATGCATAATGCACACCTAAGCTATAATTGATATGTTAGTTCACTGGCCTACATGTTCCACTCAGGCGTAACATACCTGAGTCGATATTTTCTACCTTCCCTTTCCTCGACAGTTTCGGATTTAATACTTTGTGCTTCGTCGCCACTCACAACAATCTGAGCCGCTGAATTGCGTCAAGTTAGGGTCCCGAAAGTTGAATAGAGGATGATGCTTTACCAGAAAGAAGGTCAAGCCAGGCGTTATCGATTGCCACACTGGGAAGTCCGACATATTGAGGGGTTGTTGTGCTGTTTCGGCCCCACCTTCCATCTTCATTCAACACAAGTCCGCCAGAAAACTGTTGTTTTACAGTACCTATGATCGGTTTAACGGGATCTGGAAGAACAATACGTATATTAGCGAGGAATTCGTGGTAAAAGTCTACCATTAATGATGTTCGAAGGTCAGGGGTTAATACCAAAATCAGTATTAAAGCCATTTTCATAGGAAGCAATGGTGTACAGCTTTTGTAATTGAAAAAGCAGAAGCGAGCACAAAAGCACCAAGAAAATCGTAGAAAGTCCCCAGATGTATAGCAGCGGTCTGCGTAACTTTGATTGTGTTTCTTTCGGTTGTTGGTGCAAAGAGTTTATGAAGGTGTCTGTTTCTTTAAAAGATTCTACATCATCATCTGAGAACGATGTAATTGCAACGTGAGTGGCCGAGGAAGTGTCCATTTGCAAACCTGTCGCAGGATAAGAAGATGATAATTGTAGATGGGGATAGAAAAAGATCCCGTCAAAAGACATTAAGTTGTTAAGATTAAGGTCAGACCTAGTCCACTGTAGCTCCAGAGCCTTACAGCATTTTCCTGAATTCTTTGGCGGCCGTGTTGTGTGGGTTCACGGCGGCCCCAGGTTTCACGCCCTGTATTTTCCAGCATCGCGACCGCGACCTTCCTACATCTGGTGTGATGTCAGCTTCTTGCTGTGTCTCCCGCGCGGTAAGCCGCGCGGGAGGGTTGAGCGGAGATTTACGATACAAAGCTTATTTTGCGGTTTGCGGGGTGCATTCGGCTGTTTCTGCCCGGACGGGAAGTCCTCCTGCAAAGCACGTGACGTTCAAGTCGTTGCTACTAAGGTATATGACACTGTGAAAGGGCAGTCGCGAGCGTTCTTCTATTACAGTCACCAGAAACGATCTGTTACTTACCCAGTGTCACCTTATATTACATTGTAAGAAATCGTTTTACGTACCACGTTCAAGGCGCCCTCGTTCCTCTGGAAGGAACTCCAAGACCAATATGCTTAGAGCCATCCGAAACAGGAGCCCAAGTGAAGACAGCCATACCGAAGTGGGGGACAGCAAGCAATCAACATGGCTCTCTCTTCCGCAAAAGACCCAACTTGGTCTTATTTTTGCTGCCAGACTATCTGACTTTATCCATCTTGCGGCTATTCAATCCTATGTTTTGGACCAGCTGAAATCATTCGATAATTCCCTGTCTGATTCTAATGCTGCGAAACAATTGGGAATTCTCAATGCCGGTTTTACAGCGTCGCAGGCCATTACAAGTATACTATGGGGCAGGGTTTCGGATGTGCCTTGGATCGGGAGAAAGCCTGTTCTTATGTCAGGATTATTGGGAACAGCATTATCATGTGTGGGGCTTGCTTTCTCTCAAAGTTTCTCTCAAGCGCTTGCTTCTCGCATCTTTGGAGGTGCTGTTAATGCGAATGGTGGGATTTGGTATGATGAAACGCTTAATATATTAGAATACCCACTGATATTACTGAAGTATCACCATGATTGCCGAATCCATTGAAAGCAAAAGGTGAATACTCATCATATACACACAACTCTCTTCTTGTTAATTTTGTGTAGGCATTTACCACGTGCATTTTTACTACTTCCCTTGAGTTTTATTGTTGGCGCACTCATTGGCCCAGGAAAGTTGATTCCCTGCGACATTGAACACGAGTCTAACTTACTACCCAGTACTCGGCGCATATTTATCCAACCCTGGAGCAGGCAAATCCCATCTTCCTAAGCTTGGTACAGCTAGTGGTGGGAGGTCAGGAGGCTCATTAATACAAAGTGTACCTTATGCTCCTCCTGCTCTAATCTGTGCTGGATTGCTGCTCGGATGCGCGATTCTGGGGTTCCTGCTACTCGAAGAGGTAGGCATTTCCCGCTACAACGACTCAAAATCTGATGTTTAGATAGACGGTTCCGGGGCACAATTGGAACGTTATGCGCATGAAAATATCACGTATTTTTAATGGAAGTAACAATGGCTCCCAATCACCGCAATATTCGAAGATTTCATCTATGGACGAAGACGAACTGCTGAATAGCAGGTCAACGATGTTCCAAGATCATTTTGCTACTGAGCCAGAATGGACCCCTGAAAAGCTAATCTCAGATGGAAAGAGCCATTGGAACCGTAGTAATACCAGACGTGTCATGTCTAGTCTACTCACACAAGCAATATTCGATTTTCACATGGGGTATGTCCTAACGTTTCATTATTCTATCTTACACCTAGTTTCTGTCTGAGATTGTGAGTAGTCTGGCAACATCTAACGAGCAATGATTATAGAGCATTTGGCTGCGTATGGATATTGTTCTTGTGTGCTCCTGAAGCGCTCTCACAAGGCAATACCCCTCGAAGACTTCAAGGAGGCCTCCAGATGTCAGCACGCCAGGCTGGCCTCGCGACTTCCATCATTGGTTTGGTTGGGGTCCCGTTGCAACTATTGTTCTATCCCCGGATCCAGGAACGACTCGGAACCATCATGTCCTTCAAGATCTATAGCGGACTTTTCCCTATTTCCTACGCTTTGATACCCTTCATCCCGTTCACTCAATCAAGTTCCAATGGCAACGGAATGCTCACATGGTTCTGTATAACGTTTGTTCTCATCATCCACACGGCAGGTAGGGTCGTCGCGATTCCCGCAACGATCTCCCTCGTGAACGATTCGTCTCCCCATCCTTCATTGAGGGGTGTTGTGAACGGTTTGGGCCAAAGTGTGACCGGAACCTTTAGGACGCTAGGCCCTATCATTGGAGCATACGCTTTTGCATACGGTCTGGAAAACCAGTTGGTCGGGATACTATGGTGGAGCTTAGCTGGGGTAGCGTTGGCTGGCACACTGCTGATTTGAAACGGCATTGCTGTGTACTGAGGAAATAAAAAACACACTGGCTGATTTGAGATACATAAACTTCTTGAATTATAAATACAGACCGTTCAGGCCCAGGTTAGCCTCCTGAAATAGTAATCATAACAGCTATTTAGGACCTTACTTGTACCGCCCTAATACGAGTTAACGTCTCAACTAACAATAACCTGAGAATCAAGGTGACTCATAAAAGTTACCTTCCATTCAAGATTGCGTGCCTAGTCATTTGAAATAAAAATGAGATGGATTCAAGTGAGCTTCATTGGAGGATTAGGAGGAACTATTCTGCATTACATCGAAAGGGTTCATGGATGGAACAGACTACGTGGGAATCTATATCTTAACGCTCTTAGCATTCTGCTATTGCTACCTGCCGAGACAACAGAATATTGAGTCTCTGGTTGTGTCTCCAAATGCTTTCTGGCGTCAAAGTCGAACTCCACCTTTTGAAACTAAAGCTAGCAGCTGCTTGGTCCTCTAAAGATGGAACTTTTTGTTGTTCATAAGGATTGCGGATATTCACGGTCTCCAGTAGACGGATGGAACTGTAAGAGGAGCATGCAAATGAGTACGAGATAAGTCGCTCAATTATTACTAAAATTGTGGTGACAAGTTAATACGTCAATGGGAGAGGAGGCATGACTTCTTAACTATGTGAATGGGTAATAACAGGCCTCGACCCGGGGCAAGTAGAATTGCGGTCAAGAAATCAAACATAACCATCGAAGGCCTTTCTTGAGAAGATCATGCCTCGTCGGCCGTTTTCACAATGATCATCTTGCAAAAATCGTTCATTAATTCTTGTTGGCTACTTTTCAATATAGTGGTATGCAGGTTAAGTACAAGAGAGGAACTCCAACAGAATTATTGTTTACCAGAGCTGTACTTATAACCTCAGCACAGTGGTTCGTGTGATTTGAACTGCCCGATTTACTGTTAATCAGCGATCTTCGGTTCTCAACAGCCCACGACAGTACCTTCCATGCGTAGGTACAATGTTGAACGTGGAATGCATTCGCCGTGTAAACGAACCGAACTTCACCAGCTCGTAACATGTCTCTGTCTGCTGGCTGCATCGAGTTGTCGTCCAAATACCATTCCCCTTCGGCATATGGGTCGTAACCTTCCATCAGTTCAAGGGTGGAACATTCAGGAGGAATCCATGCAGACAGCATGGGATGATAATTACATCCGTTCATCCTCGCGACTTCAGGAGATCTACCGCAACTCGTCCACGTCGCATCGCCCTGGGTCGCTGCCAAGGACCATACAATCAAAATAGCAGCACAAGTTGTGAAAAGTGCTGCACATGCCGCATATGACACCCGTCTTATCCAGAGCGTAAATCGGTCCGTCTCAAGGTATAGTGGAAGGTGTTTTTCGTCCTTGAGCAATGTCGCGTCCTGTCTCTCCTCGGCAGAATCTCTCAAGGATGTGTATAAGTGCTTTAACATGGTTGACCTCCTTCATTCCATCTGCAGCTATGAATACAACGTCAGCGCAGGACCACTCAGTAAATGGAACAATACGTGTTACCCACCACCGGACTTTTACGAGACTTGTCTTTCTGAAATGATCATTAAAAAATGCGGCTTCGAAGTGGGCATAGCCTAACTGTAAGTTACTGGGCGCTGAGTCAACCGGAGGAGGTGATCCGTCTCAGAGAGGGAGTGGGAGTGGGCGGGCTGATGACCTTCTCTACGATCGGGGGGGTTTTCTTATACCAACTCTTCTATTAATCATTTCAGCTAAAATGATGTATCGTCACTGTTCCACATATAATTACACGTAGTCATTGGTTCAGTCATGCCTTACACTCTACAGCAGGCATATCCGTTCCGCTGCCACCAGAAACTTGTAGGTATGAAAAGTCGCTTAGTAGGGCTTAGTAACGAACCAGGCTCCTGAGATCGTGTACGGTACCCCCACGTATCTGATAGCAGCGGAACGGTTAATCATCCCTGTCTCGCGCCTCGCCCATCGTCTACATTGGTAGCGAGATCAACGAGCGGTAATGCGTAGATCTGTATACCATCTAGTTTGGCGCTAACAGTTCCGGCGAGACGAGCCGCTGGTATAGTTTAAAGCTACAGGGCTCGCGTAATAAAAGTCCCATTAATGTTGTTTATAGGAAAATTTGAGTTTCCTGTAGGGCAAGTTTAGTGTATTATTAAGTAGGGTCGGGCTAAATTTTTAAAAGTATAGTGTAGGTATAGCTATTATAATTATATACCGTTATAGTAGTCGGTAAGCTTTAATACTTAATATAGTAGTAGTAATTTACTAATACTCTTTACTATCTCTAAGTATTAGAAGATCTTATACTTCTTAGATATCTACTAATACTTTATTTTCTAGAAGTTTTATCTATTTATTATAGTAGATATCTAATAAGTATATTAATACTAAATTATCGAAAAGTCTTTAGTATTTATTATTTATAATATTACTAAAGAATATTAGTATAGACTCTTTTCTATATAATAGTTTATATAGTCTAACTATTAATATTATATTAAGTTAGAAAGTAAGAAATATTATTAGTTTAAGTAAAGAGCTTCTTATAATTATCGATAAGTACTTAAATATAGTTTAACTTAGGTTCTCTATTATCTACTCTTTATTTTTTTAAAAGTAACTTTCTTTAGTATTCTTATAGTTATATACTAATTATGTTCTACTATACTTATTAATTTATCTTCTACTATTCTATCTATAAGTAAAATAATAGAGATTATAGTCTTTACTTTATATAACTATTAAAATAAGTATTATACTTCTCGAAGCTATTAATAATATAACTTTATCTATATTATAAGCGAGACTTCTTGTTACGCTAAGGCTATATAAAATTAGTTATAATCTACTATAAACTACCTCTATATCGATAGCGGGATGTGCGAGAATTGCCGAGGCGCTTAAAATAAACAAGAGAATGTTTCAAACTTTAGCTTCTGACAATACAGACAGGATGGCTTTTGAACAAGAGAAGCGCACTCGGTGGGGAACGATACTACTCGACAGGTATTCATGCGCTCTATTATATTTTCAGCACTGGCACCACATGGGCGCTATGAAACTTGTGAGATATCCCCAATACATCCTTCTTGAAACTCGTGTGTGACCCAATTACATGAGATTAGGTAGCATTTCTACTCCAGCAAAGCGCATAAATATAGCCTGTTTGGCAGAACATATTGCTCTTCTACTGTAAGGAGGTGTTGCATCGGTCGTGCGACATGGGAATTTGTTTCCCTACTAAGTTCTATACTAACTTGATGCTAGATATATCAGTCTCCAAATTGGGCAGGCCTTGTTCGCAGCGGCCGATCCCCTTCCGAGCGATCACCTGCCTCTTGATGATTCAATTACGCCTTTGACAGTAAGTATCAAGCAACCACTGTGGTCTCGTTTAATACATGAGTTCCCAGCTGCAATCCCCAGAACCCCCACTAACATTGTCAACACCATCTGACCAGCGAGTGGGTCCCTTCGCACGAGAATGTTAGGTTGCGCATCTGGCTTGTCGAGTCCTGAAGCATGTTTATGAACCATATCCAGACGCATCTTTCTACCGAGATGAAGGGATTCAGCTGGAAAGAACTTTGTTGACGTTGATGACAATTTTGATGGGGGAAGAAATCGAGTTCGGAATGCATTGTGCTGCGTTGGGGATCTGTACAAAGTGAGTTGCTGGAAAACTCACGATACTCGACTAAACTCACAACAGTGCCCTTTTCACGTTGTTTGATTCTGGTCTAGTGGCGAGTTCTCCCCCATCTCAAGAATCGAGATCTCACCTCCTCCGATCTACTGAGTCATGCTCTACCAGGATCAGTCATTTCTCAGCTCGTTTGTTTTCTGATTTGGATGCAATTAACATCGCTACTTTATCTCCCTTTACAGCTTACTCCCAGTACCAAGCGACGATTGTACAATTCAGACTTTGGAAGGAAACGGGGGATCCGAAGTACAAAGATCAGCTAGATGTACTTCGTCGAGTACTTGAAACTTTCTCAAAGCGGGGGGCTTACGCTGGTAAAACCCCTTTTCCTGAATTTTACATTATCTTGCCATATTTGGAAACTTGTTAACAAGTTCTTTTTAATAGCAACATAAGTTCATAGACTTGAGGAAGAGTTCTTGACCTTACCAAGAGAAAGATTCTTTGGCACTCATGGGAATTAATCAAAGCGCCTTTTGAGAAGTAAACCCATTCTGTAGTTTTAACAGCGCTCACGATAGATAAGCCAAGCGGCAACCAAAATTCGATGTGTCTTCGCGCTAGTTAACAGAACGTCATGCAAGTTGCAATTCGACTGTGATGACTATGAAAGGTAAGTTTTTGGACTCTTTACAATAGATTAACAGGTTAGAAGTACTCACCTACTCCTTGTCAGTATGATTTACCAATTCTTCCAGTCATTTATGAGTATAGTCAAGTTTCGATTACATACGCTTGATCTTTGTAATTCTATGAGTTATTTGTTACCACATCAAATGCTTTTCGTAAATGGCAAAGTCTGTAGCGTCTTATTATTATTCTCACAACTAGAGTACAGATTTGGGTGTAAAAGTTGACAAAAGTTCTTGAGATTAGGTTCTTATCAAACATTATCTTGTCATGTAAGACAGTAAGAAAAATATACCAATTTATGCAACTAAAGTTTTCCAGTCATGATTCGCTTCTCCGAAAATATTCCGGACGGGTTTTGGCGCTAGCTAATGAGCAAGAAATTCACCAGAGGGACTGATCATTGGATACAGATACGCAGCATCTGCGGAAAGTGATCCAGAAAGAATCGTATCCAAAATAGGTTCTCGATTTTCAATTGTTATGCAACTGCGCAATAAAGCGTCTGCTGGTGCCAGACGGTGCATTAGCGTGCTGACCCGTGTCTGTGAATGAGGTGAAATAATCGCAACCACTTACGACGTTCAAAGAGGGGGCAGCTGACATGTCTAATATTGGTTTTGACATATAAATAGAGGTTCTTCCCACTACTGACTCGACCAGAACACAGCCCTTCATCTTGCTTGAAAATCCGAGTACATTCATTCATTTGCTTCTGCCTCAAACAAAAGCCAAAATCAATCAAACCAACTACAAGCCTACCAACGTTATAAGTCTTTTTGTACAAGCTTTGATTTTAGAAGATTCTCTGGCTGTATCAAATCATGGCCGCAGTCGCTGGACCCTGGCTACCACCATCTTGGATTTACAACTCAATGCAAACAGAAAGTTTTGTCAACGGTGTGTGGTCGGAGATCCTAAGATCCTACTTTCCACTCAACAGTGCAATGACGAACAACCACTACTTGGTGCTCCCTGAGTACTGGGTGTGGAACAACAAACGAACCGACCTTGTGGTCAAGCACATAGACGGAAATGGAAACGTCAACAACGACCAAACTGTTTTTGCATTCGAAGGCAAGACCGTCGGCGCGAACTTTGACGACACGAAGGCTCAATTGTTGTATTACGTTAAAAGACTGCAACGGCACTCGAACGGCAAGAAATATGGAATGCTTGGGATTGGGAAGAACTGTGCATTTTTCTATTACAATGGGCAGAATTTGATTAATCTTGTTGCCAATGTTGGGGGTGGTGTTGGCGATTACCCATCTCCACATGACATTAGAACCTATGCGTTTGGTGTTGGGCCCGACGCTGAATGCATTGATCGTATTTTGAGATACATAGTGGACAAATTAGAAACCTAGACGGTTGATTAGTTTGAGTCGATCAGGAGCAAGCTTTAGTCTTCTTCTTCCAATTGATGATGTTTATTCTATCTTCATCATCTTCGTTGTGAGTTTACCTAACCCGTTATACAATTTGACATTATACAAGTGATTGAGTTGAAAATAGCTGGGATACGTGCACCAAAACTCAACTACCCCTTGATCCTTTGCTCGATTGTAATTGTAGTGATAGACCCAGGTTCCGAAGCAGCCTCAATAGTGAACTTCACGGAGTCCCCGGTTTCTTCGCATTTCCCTTCATATTCGCCAGATACAATGGACTGTCTTTGGTCGTTGGCTGCATCATAACCGTCTTCAGCTTTGGATGAATTTTTAATGCCAGCCTTTCGACACGCCAGTCTTGCATTTGTGAATCCCTATAAAAGTCAGTATTGTCTGGAGCACTCCCATTGACACGCAGCTTAGGTTATATAGACATACAATTGCAATGGCGAATTCCTGGGACGAATCCAGTCGAAGCTTGAACGCGTTTCCTGCGCCTACTCCTCCAGGACTGAATGTCTTGTTGCAGTAACTGTAAGTCATCGTGGAGAATGGTAAGACTGTGCTTGCTGGTCCTTTGGCGGCACGACCCCAATTCGTGTATGAGTCGCATAGAAACATTTCAAACTGAGTCAAGTTGCGAATGAAGATCTCTACTCCATTCCATCGATTGTTCAGTTCCGATGGCGGGTCATCGCTCTTCGTGGTCACCTATAGGAGCTGATAAGAATTCAAAAATTTAATGCAGAGACCTGTAACACGTTTTACCTTGCTTGCTTTGAAGTTCAACTCTTTCTTTGGCATAATATCCTCCGTAACGAAGACACCCATGTTGGCTGACGGTTTGGTGGTAGTAATGTAATGTATCTGAAAACGATGAATTGATGAAAAGTGTAACAAAATCGTATCTCAGTAGTCTTGTGTTTTTATGAGCGAATTGGAATGGCATCACTCGCTAATTCTACTTATGCGGTTGATATAACCTCTCTGTGTTCCCACAGCGTAGACGAGCATCATGAGCCGCATTATCACTTGGAATACGACACAGATTCCGCTTCAATCTTGGTGGCTTACAGCTTCAACACTAGTTCTAAGCTGAGAGAATGTGAATTTGTGCTTTTGGACCTAGATCGAGCAATTGATGCGAACTTGCACGAACGGTGTCGTGTGAGATCAAATGAGAGGACCAGCTGATACCGTCCGATATCGATAGCGCCGTGTGAGATGCAAATATTGTCATCAGCTGAGTCTCTGCGAAGATCCTCAGCTTTATTGAAGCAGTAGTGGAGAACGGATGACGGGCCACATTTGTGAATGCAATCAACAGTCGTTGCCGGCGACTAGCTGTGGGTTGATTGAAGATTAGAGGCGCGACGGCAGGGAATAGCGGTGGCGTTGGCGGGCCGCCCCATTCAACCCAATGCGCTTCCAACGCTGTGCAAGGGACAGGAAGATCTACAATATATCGATTATCGGTTTGGGTTAATTCGGCACGCGACCCCATTGTTCAGCGGATGAGAGTTACCGTATTTGTCGCGGTTTGGCCATCGTTAGTAAGACTAGATCCTAATTCAGTAGCGATTGTGCAGCCACTATCCCCATTTGCATCCGTATGCAGTAGAGCCATCAATCTGGAAGCATATAATGCAAAACAAAAAAGGCTTGCGATGATGGCGGCAGCAGCCTTCAACGGGAAGTGGAAATGCGCTACATTTCTAAGACAAGGCGCTGTCACTCTAAAACATCACTTATCAATCGCAAAAACGATTAGTGGAACTTGGGCTAAGCTAACTACTACTGGTGAAATGTAAATCAAAGATTTTTATTCTCAATAGCAGTAACAATTACCCTAGAGTTGCATCCCAAAACCATCAAGATCCCGATCTGGCAGGTTTGCAAACCCAATACGGTTCTGCTCATAATCAAATATGGAGACCATGCAATCGAGGAAAGCTCCACCAAGAACCCAAACGTTAGAAGGCATTTTGCTGGGGGGAGCCTTTGTGACACACCCAATCCGAGCAGTGCTTTCTCCACCTGTAAAGAAGTTCGCAGGTTCAAATTCGAGTACTCCACCAGCAAACTCAAAAGAGATATTCCTTAAGGATTTCTCATCGTAAACGAAATGGTCTCCTCTGCTGCTTACCCTCCCCTGCAAGTGCTGCACGACTTTCTTCATATTTGAATCCGCAGCGAGAACAAACGCTGTACCTGTATCGATGAGCGCCAACTGATCAGTGCAGACTACTGTCCCGTTAATATTTAATTTGTCCAATTTGACGACCCATTTTTCTTTGGACCAAGCATCAGAATTTAAATCTTGGACCACTTCGCACCAAACAACTTGTCCATCCACGTATTCAGCATATGGCGATCCAATCGCTAGAAATCCTCTCGAAAGTCCTTTGGTCAGTTTGCTGTCTGGTTCTTCTTGCGGTTTTAACACTGATCTGACATTCGGCCCGATCATCGTGAGAACGGCTCGGTCAATTTGTCCTTGTGCCTTGAGATTGAGTAAAAGATTGGTTTGAATGCCACCAGTGTCAGCAGTAGCCTTTTGGGGACCCAATCCTATTATACCATGAAAAGATCTGTTGCGGAAATACGGTGGCAACTTGCGGATAGGCGCCGCACCAAGTGTTTGGCCCTCCGCCTTGATTATCCCAATGTGGAAGCAATCCATCTGTAAGTCATATTGAATTTTGGCTGATCCGTATTCCTGGATCATGTTCCGCTTGTTCAGATCCAATCGGCCATTGAACAGTCCACCAAATTCGTTGTCTTCAGAGATACAATCGTAGACTTCTTGGCCTTCTGGTACTGTATCTGTTTCCGAAATCTTTGACTGAACCCAAATGAGGGAAGAGCCGGTGTCTACTTCAAATTTGAAGGATCGAGGATTATTTCGCCCGATACACATGTCCGTATACTAGGTCATCCGGTAAGCAGACATAAACCAATTCAGCGATGGTTTGGGGATGAACTCACGTAGTTTACGGGTTCACTTGCATTGCGAACCTCCGAATAAAGGTTTAGAATAGCAGACTTGGGTTTCATGCTCCATTCATGCTCCGATACAGGCTCAAGGAGCCCATCGTTCGTGTCTGTTCCGTCTTCTGCTTTGAACTTGTTCCACACTTTTCTTTTGGGGGCTGTAGTGTTCTGGGGCTGACCGTCACGCTCTATGGCTACCACGTTGACAGTTCCAATGCTTGAGGCTTCAACTGATTTTTGTTTGGCGGACAGGTAGTCAATGCCGGGATTCTTGGATTTGCGATGTATTTTAGACGCTTGGTCGAGATTATCAGCTGCGCTGTTATTGCTCATATTGTCATCTCGCAGATCATTAGCCGCCATTCTTGATGTTGCAGATCAGTGTGGACGTGAAAATCCAGCAAACAGTCGACGTTTTCAAAAATGTTGATTTGCAAGTTCAAGTATGTTCCTTGTGATTACTGTGGTCCTTTACAGAGGATAAGGGTTTCTTCTGCAGGCGGTGGGTTGCAGGAATTCATTTAGGTGACGCTGTCTAAGCAAAAAGAGCCAAATCGCACAACGAATCTCTATACCCTTCGTCCCCCTTGATTGCATGTTATCACCAATCAATAAGCTCTTTTTCCAATGCGGACAAGCGAGCGAGCTGAGGCGTGCGTCATGCACGTTAGGCAAGCCGGGGCACAAAGTGAAAGCGTACATGAGACTAAAACACAGTAGACGGCTGGATCGGGCGACGATTTGCACGCTTGCAGTACCAATTGCAGGGATTAAACGATGTAAATGGCAATCCCATAACTACCCGCTTCTTGAAATGGATACTTTCAGCTGTCAATATACTCTTCTTGACGGGGAACACTCTACTGCAGGTTTAGTTCATCGAATCTGACAGCAACTTTTCTTCGGCTACACACAAGAACAGCAGATAAGTCAAGCCATCCGAAATCCAAGTTCTCGAATAACTGCCCCAATTTACTTACTTCTTGAAACACATGGTCATTTATTTCATTCAAAATCAACTTCGACAATGAACATCACGGCAACGCCTGACGTTGATGATCAAGATGAGGTGATTTTCACGAAGGAAGAAGCTCAGAAGTTTGAAAAGTACTGCCAATCCATTCTACTCTCTCCACCGTCTCTTGAAGAATTAGAACCTGTGGATGCTGTTGATGTTGTCGATGCGGAAACACTCGAAGATGCACCTATTGTTGATTTTGGCGAGGAACCAATGGAATTCGAAGGTTAGTCAAACCATTTGCAAGAACGATCATTTTGTATTCCCGAACAGTTGTGTAATCGCTTACCCCTTCTCAAAAATGTTGGCTAATCAACAAATGCAGCTGCCGAACATGAATTGACAGCTAAGAATCTCATTCTGTACCAGTTCAACGGGGCCGAACGGCCTGGAGCTTCGGAACCAATTTTGACGGTATCCCGCAAGGGCACGAAAGTTGACCTTACGTTCGGCCGCATTATTGCTTTAGCTGGGGATCACTACAGCAATCGCGATAGTAACCGCACGCCTATATGCGGCGCGTTTTATGACGTCGATAAGTCATCTAAGGGTAAAATCGATCGGTTTCAGTCTGCCGTGACCAGTTTGGTTGAAGACCAAGATGGCTATTTACATGCAATCAATTCATTAGTTAATCACGAATGGGATGGCGTCGTGTTAGCGGAAAAGGAATATCGAAGTGTGAAACAAGTTTATCACAATCACCAGTGTGGTTTACCTACCGACGAAAAGTTCTTTTGGGCCGACGTGGCATGGTCCCCAAACGTCTTGAAATCAACGAGTATTTATTCCTGGTTGGGCTGGCTGAACGCGGATCACTTCGTATGTTAAGTTATCTTCCTAATAAGCCAGCGTATGGTTTTTCTAAGTTCGTTCTAATCAATGTGTACATCTTAGGGCGACGATGCCGTTGAATGTTATAAAGCTGGCCACCAGCTTGCTATGGAAAAAGCACGTGCAGCCGCAAAGGAGACGACTAAAGATGGAAAGCATCAAAAGCTCCGTGAGGCCTACGTATATGACGCTTTTGCGTGTCATTTCCTCACAGATCTATTCAGTTCTGGCCATCTGAGATCACCTAGGAAGGAATTGCACTGTAGTGATTACATGACAATGACGGCCAGTACTGCACTCGGCTTTTTGCCCCACAGCAAAGGGGAAGTACCAGTGTATGATCACCATGCGAGATACGTAAGTTTAAAAACCAATCACTCCATTCTCATAAGCATATATAGGTACTGACTTTGTATAAAGATGCACGACGATGATTGCGCCACGGGCCTCCTAGTCAAGAACAAGAAAGGAGATCAGTGGATTTGTTATGGTATGTTGTTTCACTCGTTTAGTAAAGAAGCTTCTGACTTTCGTCAATGAAGGAGATAAGCAACTCCTTGAGCCTTGCAACCTGATCAATCTAGCTAAAGTGTAAGATAGACTTTTCCTTTTCATGTATCCAAATCATACTAATATAGTTCCAGTCAGGACTGCGTTCAAGAGTCCGTTAGGGAGATATACAACAAAGCATTCCGAGGCACGGATGACATCGATGTAGAGAACTTTATCGCTTTAGACCTTATTCCACAGCCTATGGTCGCAAACGATGAACTCTCATGGAAAGAAGCCTGGGGTAGTTATGACATTCATAACTCAGCACCACTTTGGAATGTCAATACTGGTGAGAAAAACGGCAAAAAGACTTTCACATGCCGATCAAATCTCAACGATCACTCTGATTTCAATCGCAAAGAATGTTCGCCAGAAGCAGGATGGAACGGTCCCGTCCCAACAGCCAATCAAGATTGCAAAAATATTAGGGACAGCACATATCGTGGAGACGATCAGTTCACTGCAAGCCAAGATGTTGAAGAACTCATCAGAGCGGGATTTGTGCAGGTTCAAGATTTGGACTACCATCAAACATGTGTCAACGTGTGGGCACAAGCTGCTGTCGGAGGCGGGACCTCAAGTGGTGAGCGTGATACATTCACTATCAGAAGACGCTTTTTGAATCTTGATGGAGGCAGTCCAAGAGAACAAGTAACCAATCTCCACTGGTTACGGTGGTATAATCCAACAACAAGAAACACCAGTTTGTTCAAGCTCGATTGGATGGCAAAAGGATCAGAGTCGGATATCTTGCTCTCTGGCTATACCCTCGAAAGCCTTGGCAATCAGAGTACCGAATATGATCCCACTTACCACGCTGGAGAAGAACATCAGCCTAAGGCAGTGATATTGTTCTCGAAAAAGTCTCTACTTACAGGGTTACCTAGTGAACCAGGCAGGGCCAACCTAACTCGATTTCTCCTGGGGAACTTTACGGCAAACAAGAGCACATCAGTCGTAGATCTTGCAACCGTCAGCTTTGCTAATGATGGGGTAGTCAGTATTATTGTCCAGTCAATTGACGGAAACCAGTTTGGTACCTCAATTCTACAGAAGTGGCCAGATAACTTAGGTTTCAGATGCTGGATTAAGACTTTGAAAACTACGGATCAAAAGGACAACATTTTGATTATCTCGCTCATAAGGTCATTTAAGAACAGATGCTACTTCAAGGTTTCTCGAATATGGGTCAATGCAACTTCCATGCTCGAAAAAGCTGAATACATGTTCGAAAATTATTGGACAGGTTCCGCTTACGATGTCAACGTTTTGGTGAGTGATGGATAGGAGATTTACGTTACGGAAATGACTAACAGTGCTTGTTAGGTGGGGGATGTTCTGGGCCGCGGAAAACAGGACATTATCGTTTCAGCAGATGGCGATCAGCAGATTCACGGCTCTATCAGTGTTTTCAGCTTTTCAGACGACATGACTTCCTTGCAAGCCAAAGGCAGACATCAGTGCGACGGTGCTGATACCGAAATCGTCAACCCCTGCTTCACAGCACTAATACCCTCAGCAAAGCGCGATAGAAACCAGCTTGATGTTCTCACAGTTCGACTACAGAGGAAGGACAAGAAAAATTACGTATGTTTTCACACTCACACAAGCAAACCGCAGGCAGCAGAGAAGGATCCTTGGTCTCAATGTCATACCTCAAAGTTCGAGGATACCCTTTCCGCTAATAAAAACTACTTTCATATCAAATGGCTTCGATGCAGTACTGCCACATCCTTCAACGCAGTAATGGAAGTCTTTAGTTACTATGGAATTCTCGGTGTGCGGGTCTTTGCCCCATTAAATAAAACCAATGTGGACTGGGTTCAAGTAGGATTTCTCCCCTATCTTGGTCAAACTTCCATTGGTGCTGGTCTTGGATGTTACCGAGATTGGGGATATGGCTTTATGCCATGGGGCGAGGCAAAAGAGTTTGAGGATATCAATGAGTGGTCCTCCTGGAGAAATATCGGCGCTTATGGGATGAGCGAGAAGGATACAGAGCTTACCAACGTACGAGGCTTTGAAGTTGGGAAACGGAGGTACTAGTTCTTACTGCACGAAAGAAGAATGCTATTCTGTTTTCTCTCATACGACGAGTTGGTGATTCTTTTCTCTTTGGTTCCATCTCTGAGCTGAAGCCATAATCCATAATCAGTTATGTTGTAATGCTGGGAATAACTTTTGAGAGTAATTAAATGTGAAATAGAAATGATCTTTTGGTGGAGTCATATTGTAAGCTCTTAGTCGCTTCTGGGTTCTTTATTTTTTCCTTCTTGTTCTTCTTTCCCGTTTTCTGATCTCAGACAACTATATATGGTAGAGCTACCTGTTGTAGAGTTTCTCAAAGAACTTTGTTGATATAAAGCCTCCGGAGACTTCGGATGAAGAATAGATGATTTCATGGCGCGATATTTATCTTACTACGCTTCTTGAGCTTCCGTCGTGTGAATTTTTCATGGAGTTTCTCTATATACACTCATCTCACATGTCTTGTACGATTGTATAGTTCTACAATTACAGGCTATTACTGGAAAGGTTTACTCCTCTACCTTGAAAAATAAGGCTTAAATAAGCATCTTTTCGAAAAATATTCCTCGTGTTTAAGTAATTAATCTCTGAAATAACATTATGATTTTAGTAAATGGTAAAATCTCAATTTTTCTTTTACAGTAGATAATATAATACGAATACTTACCTACCGTTACTCCGAGGAGTGTGTCAATTAGCTGTGTGGAAAGGCAAGTTGAATTACTTTTTTTCGATCTCTGTTATTCTACAACTTCCCCTCGTGTGAGGGGTAATAGCAGAATCTTGAGTTTGTAGTCTGGGCATTTCCATATGAGGAAGGTGGTGTAAGCTCTCTTATGTTTGCCAAGTTTTAGTACATTTTCTCCGATATTGAATTCAGGAACGGTTTTGATTTTGTGGTCGGGAATTTTTGCCCTTGTCGCTCATTTCATGCGCCAAGTTGCCAATACCAAACCCCCATTTATTCCAACGATCTTTCAGCAAACTGTTCACCCACGTTTTCTTCCATCAAGTAACTTGAAAGATGATTATCGCGCAATGTGTATCGGCTTCCAAGCTTTTCATGTTGAGCCAGGTTACACACTTTCCACGTGGGCGGGTGAATTGATGCTGCAGTCTGCAGGAGAGTTGATGTGACCCAAGAACGAGGAGTATAAAGCTTCAGGCTATTCCATGGGAATTGTGCATGCTAGTCACTTGTTGCTCATCTTCTATTCAATTCAACAAGATGCACTTCTCGCACATCGCCCTTGTGGGCCTCTTCATTGAGGCCACAGCAGCCATCAGCGCCAAGAACTTCATTTACATTGTCCCTGATGGATATGGACCAGCTTCTCAGACATTGGCTCGTGACTATGCCTCTTTGTTGCTTAATGGCGAAAATCCAAAAAGACCTGTCACCTATCAGTTGCCAGTTGATAAATTGGTAAGTCAAGATGTGGTATCATCTATGCAGTTCTAATCATTCAGATCATTGGAAGTGTCCGAACGCAAGCCAGTGATAGTCTCGTCACTGACTCTGCCGCATCAGCTACGGCTTTTGCTTGTGGCATTAAGACCTACAATGCAGGTGTGTATCTCCAAACCACCGCTTCTTTCGAAAATGTACTGATTTACCTCCAGCAATTGGTGTTGATGACAATGTCCAACCCGTTGGGTCCATTCTTGAAGCCGCAAAGCTTGAAGGATTCAAGACTGGTCTGATTGCGACGTCTCGAATTACTCATGCTACTCCAGCTTGTAAGGAGAAAGCTTCTCAAAATGAATATTTGAGCAACAGTCTAACACTTTCAGGTTATGCCGCCCACGTCGCTCACCGTGATTCAGAGGCCAAAATTGCCGAGCACGAAATCGGTTACGGCCATCCTCTTGGACGTGTTGTTGACCTTTTAATGGGTGGTGGGCGTGGTTTCTTTACTCCACAGACCACTGCTGGATCCAGCAGAAAAGACAACTTGAACCTCCTCGATATCGCAAAGAACTCAGGCTATCATGTTTTCACTGATCGTAATGGGTTTGACCTTCTCAGAAATGGGTTGGGTCAAGCTGCCAAGCTTCCATACATGGGACTTTTCACCAACAGTAAGTTTTCAATACATCTCAGATTACGATGTTTCAATCTAACAATATAAGGTCACATGAGCTACGAGATTGACCGTGATCCTGCTGTCGAACCTTCCCTTCAGGAAATGACCGAGGCTGCCATCAACACTCTTACCGCAGCTACCGCAGACTCCAAGAAAGGCAAGTCTCAACTATTAAATTGAAGCGTAATTTTGAATTTTCGTATTGATACTACTTCAGGTTACTTCCTCATGGTTGAGGCATCTCGTATTGATCACGCCGCTCACGCCAACGATCCAGTCGGTCATCTCCACGACACACTTCAATACAATGAGGTGGTCGACTATGTTCGTCGCTGGATCAACCGTCACCCAGACACGCAGATGCTCTCAGCTGCTGATCATGAATGCGGTGGCCTCACACTCGTTCAGGAAGGCTACAACCCGCTGATCCTCAAAGCTGCTAACTCTACCGTTGAAGCACTTGCCTCAGTCTTCTCCAAGTACACAGGAAACGACGCCGCTGGATTTCTACGCACAGATATCTACCCAAGATACGGTATCACCAACCCCACTGCTGCCGAAATCGCTCAACTTGTCCCACTGAAGAACTCAGGTAGCTTCACCAACGCTCTCGGAAAACAACTAAGTGCTCGTGCTGGAATTAACTGGGCTACCGCTCAGCACTCCGCGGTCGACGTTTCATTGTTCGGATACGCTGCTGGCGACGATAACAAGCTTTTGAGAGGTGAGATGGGCGGGAACTGGGATAACACGCAGTTGCCAGGTTACATTGAGAAGGTTCTTGGCGTTAGGGTTCGCGATGCTACTGCTGCACTTAGAAAGAATGGTACTTCTTGGGTTGGAAAGAGGGATTTGGAGATGGAGAAGAGGAGCGAACACTCGCATAGTCACAACTGAGTGGTTGCACATTGAGAGTGGAAAAATGCTGAAAGATAAATAAACATATATACACCTAGCATGTCATTGTCAACTTCATTGCGCTCGCAGGTCCAACTCAACTTGGCGTTTGTTCAACTGTTGACAAGCCCAACGGCATTAGAAGACCGGTATAACACTGTGAATTATATAAGCCCATTCTACTAACTCCCTAAGAAATAGGATCAAACATTTAATACACTAAATACAACGTGTTTCAAGCCCCTGTACACTGTAAATCACATATCTCATCTTCGACCTTTCCTTGGCAGTCACAGCTAGTCTACGAGGCGCAATTTACATATTTGCTTTGCCAAGATATCCAAAACAGAGGGCTCAATAGATGTCTTGCACATGGGCAAGCTGACTTGCGTTGTTATTTCAAAGTTCAAGTGTATCTCGTTAGTGCACGCCGGACTGGCACCTTGGATATGTTGGGATCATGATAAGCTGGTGCCTACAGCCTCAACCTTATCCGCTCGAACACTTTTAAATACTCCACACGACGTCCATCAACTAAATTTCCATCAAGATGAGTTACCAGGAGGAGTTTCCCATAAGCATCGACATCCAAGGCAACTACCACCCACTGTTCTTCGACCTGTCCGAGACAGTGCGGTTCGAGTTGTATATCAACATACGCCGGGGCTTGGAGCAGGATCCCCGAGACCTCATCATCCTCACCACAGGCTCCGTTTTCGATCTCCCGGCCGCACTTGGGAAGGGTCTTCTGGAGTTTGTAGAGGTTGATAGCGGGAAAGTGGTCTCTTTCCGCAGCAACAGCGTTCGGGCGAACGAGGGCCAAGCAGAAACCACCTCGCAATCATTCATCGCACTCCCTACTTTAGGGAAGGGCAAAGATCGACACATCATAAAGGTCCCGCTGCTGCATGCAACGTCTATCTTGCGTGAGGCGGTCCAACCTGGGTGCAAGTATCGCCTGCGACTATGTGGCAAAGATCTTGGGGTCAAGTGGTGGGGCTGGAGCAGTCCTCCTGAGATACTCGTAGGCTCCAACGGCAACCTTACGGAATTACCACCTTCTATGCCTCAGCGTCTTGTGAATAGCAGGCCGACATGCTCCAGGCTATTTACAACAGTATCAGCCTTCGAAGCGCCACCGAAGCTGGAAATCACCTTGTCGCTAGAGCCAGATGGCAATGTTACTAACGACCCAGAGCCCTCCGCTGCCACCAAGGAAGTCGTGATCCGTATCACGATAACCAACGCGAACGATCATTTAATCACCGTGATGACAAGAGGAGACCAAAACTATATTCTCCACAAGACCGATGAGATCTCGAATCCAAAAGCTCGCATCACTGATCCTCATCCGGACCCTCAAAACTTTTCTGTCAGAGACCTGGAGACTCGAGAGGATTTCATGCCTGATTCACCGATGTTCGTCTGTCCTGTCGCTGGCGGGAGCGGAGGCTGGGGGAGGAGCAAGTTCCTCACTCTAGGTTCCGGGGAGCAAGTCGTTCGCACCTTCACGCTCTCGGATCAATTTCTCGCAAGGGTCGGTACGAGAGGCAGGAAATACCAGCTTAGCTTGAGACGTACTGGGTGCTGGTGGGATAAAGGAACTCTTGATGACGTTTTCGGTGAGGGCAATCAGGTATTGAAGACCTGGCCCAAGGGCGTCAAGCGGCCGATGGAACTGGAAAGTGAGGATATAGTCATCTTTCGCTATTAAGTCTAGGGTACTTCAGGAAGTATATACTTCAAGACAAAAAAGAAAATTCGTTATTGTAGTACAGATTTACCTCTTTGGGAGCGGTAGTAATAACCAGAAACTTATCTTATTAAACCTATATTATTTTAAGCGAATCTTAAAAAAGCTTGTTTAAGGTTTACTAAGATATTTCAAGCGGTGCACGGCTGTTTTCAGTTAATGTCGTGAGATCTGTATCGTACGCGAGTCAAAGTGCAAAGTCTTTACGAATAGAAAAATAGCAGAGGGAGGTACGAACGTGTCAGGATTGTGAGCGTTTGACTTAGGAATTATTTCGCCTAATGCTATCTATCTTTCCATTTCATAAAGATATCTCACATCGATTAGACCTTCCATTCAGCGATTAGAATAGGCAAGAAGCAGTGCAGAGTGCTAGGAAAGTGTGCTAGATGTCTTGATCTAATTAAGTCGTTGATAACCTCGTATATAGTTATTCTTAGACGAGCAACCATGTTCGATCTATAGACTATAGTGTATTTTAAAAATTACAACAATAGTCTAATAGATAAAGATGCTTGGGCCCTTCCCAAGTTTCGTGATTGTTTGCTGTAAATTTCGAGGATATTTTGAGCTACTACTTGTCTATTGTTTCGTGTTATGAAATTATAAACTATAATTACAGCCTAATTCCTGATGTTTATTGTGAAGGAAATATACAACAGCTACAGGTGTTACAAGTTGACTCTTCTGAGAAAACTATTGATCCGTACTATTATACTCAAAATTGAGGCAGACGTTCCAATACGTCATTTATGACACTTCAGAGAGAGACCGGACTATCCGTAAGAACATGTAAACCACAAAGTTTCATGTCAACTTGGAAGCAGGAGGAGATATAGGTCATTATAGACATTAAAACCAACTGTCTCTCAAAAATCACGGAATCAACTATATACATCCCCAAACTCATCCATCCCCCCCTCACTCCCTCCTCCGACAAGTAGACTTACAATCCCCCCACTTCTCCATACAACTATAACACCACTCCGCACCACACCTACAAGTCATATGCAAACACCCCTGATTCCTCTCCAGAATCCATCCACACGTGCACGTTTTCCATCCCTTCTTCCTCGCCAGGGCGAGGACCTTCTTCCCCTCCTCGTCGTCCGCGCAGACGCCTGGATGGGCCTTGTCGCCACAGATCCGGCACGAGCGCTTGCGACACACGGGACAGAGACACGAGGAGCCCTTGATGAATTTCGGCGGGATGAAGTTGCTGCAGTCGTGGCAGTATTTGGGGTTGGGCGTGGATTTCTCGAGGAGGAGCGCGGTGTAGGCTTTTACGATTGTTTTGGGGAGGAAGGGGAGGGCGTGGAGGATGGGGACGGAGACGCCGCAGCATTTGAATTCGGTGCGGGAGGTTTTGGCTGTGCGGAAGGCTTCTGTGGAGGGGGGTTGTTGTTAGTTGGGTTTGAATTTGAGTTTAGGAACGAAATGGGGTTAAACGGAGACGCTCGCTTAAGGTGAAAAGGGGGACTTACCTGCGATACAATCTCCACAATATACATGTTTGCATGCCAATGTAGCAGTGAGAGCTTTTGTTTTCAACTCCATACAACTGACACACGGCAAAACCATTTGACTACTTCTTCGTGGTTCTACCGCAGCCACTTTCATCCCCTCGGCTTGTACAATGTCATCAGCATACTGCACCTTTGACCTACCAAGCGATAGCCTCTGTGTGGAATGTCTAGCATCCTCGCGAGACCTCGACTCCAACAGAGACGGCCGAGCTCGATGGACCGCCTCAAGCCTTTTCAAATTAGCGCTCGTCAAATCAACGCTCCCACTTTGAACCGCAAGAGCGAATTCTCGTTGTTCCCTGAGGTCCTCATCTTCCCTATCCCACGTCGACTGAAGCCTCAATGCTATAACTAGATCGCTGTCAAAACTCAATGATCCTGTCGCACCCGCTCTCGCCTTGGACACACTTGGCTGTGTATCTAGATCTTCCGCGTAAGATCGATCGTGATGACGGCCACCAGGCAAGAAATCGCGACTAGGTCCCGCTTCATGATACGGAATGGTCTCGGTGTCCAACACGAGCTTCGAACGTTTCTGCTTTTCCTTGCTCGCCCTTTTCTGCCGGTACTCCTCCTTTTCGCGTTCTAATTCCATCTCTAGTTCCAATTCAATTTCTAGTCTTTTCCCTCTTTCATATGCCTGCCATATGCTTCCTCCCAGCCTTTGAGCTTTCCGCTCAAGAATGGCTACATTATCTTCATGTAGTCCTTGGATCCTGTAGTACTTCCCATCAGCATTCTGAAACACCGTTCTTGGCAAAGGATCACTCAGATGCCGGGGACCTCTCGGGTAGTTGTCGTTCAACATTGCTGGGTGCTTTCTGGGCGAACTTCTCGTCGTGTGAAGGTCGCTAGTCTCTTCCATGTGCTTGAGATTGTCGTATGTAAGTTCTTTTAGATGAAGGCCATTTCTCATGCGATATTCCGTGGTACGGCCCGAGGAATTCCGCTGGATGGAATCTCTGATTATCTTATCCTCTATTTCTCTTTCATGTCGGTTCAAGTTTTCGATCGACAAAACACCTATTGCTTGACGTTGCCCACTCTGCCTCGCCGGTGGAATGATCGGCTTCGGAGGAAATGAGTAACGTGTATTTTCGCCATCGTCATAGTCAACCCTTTTGAGGTTGTCACTGGTCAATAGCGTTGAACTTTCAATCTCTCGCGGCTTTGATGGGCGACCAAGCGTGCTACTCCTTGGTGAAATCAACCCATGATCAAGGTTCCTGTCTTCTGGGCGAGCAGCAATAAGGTTGTTTCTTTTCAGCGGTCTTTTTGGCGGCAGATTGACGGAGTAAGGCGGAGGTGGTGCAGTTGGCGCTGCCGTTCGAACATTGGAGAGCAAATCAAGTGTTGACACTCGCTCCCTGATCTTCCCCTTTCCTTTCTCCTTCGCCCGGCTTCGGGATGATGGGTGATCATTCAACTTTTGAGATGATGTACGTCGATTGAGTTGAGTGGTGATTGTATCTTTCAAAAGACCAAACATACTGTTAGCCTGATCTGACGTTTCACCCCGTAGTCGGTCAAGCGTGGTGCTGAGAAGCGATCTGTCAGAGCCGGTTCGCGTGTCAAATGGATCAACTTCTCGCGACGTGAAAATGCTCATGGAAGAAGTTTTTCGATGTCCCATAAACAAAACAAACTGGAGGTTAACGCGTTGAAGTCATAGTTTCTCAAAACCAGGCTGCCAGAACGTCACATGTAAGGCGTCCACGCAGGCAGTCTTGTGCAGAACACATGCCTTGGCAATTTTGCAAGCACCAATTATGTCCAACACCATGTGAGGTGAGCGATTTTAACCAATCGAAGTATTTTGCTCGACTATGGGGATGTGTCGGGATGTAGTCGCGATGCAGTTATCATTCGTTGTTGAACAAAGGTCGTACGTCGCGTAACATTCGCTGGGGATGTACGTTGTTGTCCATCGAGATGCATATTTGGGCAAATGAGAACGCGGCTTTTTTCTCCAGACCATCCAAAAAGCGAACCATTCGCCTTGCCCTGAGTTGAAGGCCTTGCGCGCAAGGCCACGGATGCAGAAGTGACGGATGTGTTGGCATGGTGATGTCGAGTCGAAAGTGGTGATGGACATTTGCACGACACGTGCGATTCTGCTGTGTTGAAGATTGGAGAATTCGAAAAGATCATGGGTGGGGTGCAGTATGGGGTGCGTCTAAGAAAACGAATTGAGCAATGGAGTATATGCGTTTGGGCAGGAATGCATTCATTGATTTCATGAAATGCTGAGGTCTGGGAAGGAAGAACCTAATTGTACTTAGATAAACATCAAAGTCGCAGCAATCCCGGAACTGTAAGGCTCACATACAACGACTGGTCCAAAGCGGAAGGATCATGACCCTTATCGAATGAGGGCCTGCGTAGAACGGCAGGAGCGAGAAGCGAGAAAATCGTGGATAACGAGAGCATCATGGTGGGCGAGATAAGTGACAATCGAAAGACAATATTTGCTCAAGGAGATTGACGAGCCATGCGATATTCCGTCAATGGTGACCTTGTAAGACTCTTGGCAAGGTAAATCCATAGTTGACACTACGACCCGCTCTAAGTTTACTTCAAGTGGATAGAATAGTTGGGAGGTTCTACTACTCATTTGCCTATTTCGAGCCCGCATAAAGCAGCACTTGAACACAGCAGACTATGCAGAGATGCTTAACCCTGCTTAGCTTTGCGTATTTTCCACGAGGCAAATGCGGATGTTGAAAGCAAAACGCAAGAGCAGAATAGTGAATGGCGCCGAAGATGTAGAAGGAGAAAAGTATCAACTCATGGTTGGAGATGGGTAGCCAGTGGCGATCCAGATCAGGGTTGAGGTCCAAAAGAAACGCAAGTAAAATAAATGGACTGCGGCTCGTCGTGACGGCGAGCCACTTATACTAAATAAAGGCAACACTTGCGAACAATATACTGGTAGTCATCGAAATGTCGTTTCGGTGCCCAGCATTTAAGTTGGGTCTCGGAAGTAGCTTGTTATCCGGCGATGACTAGGTGATATAATATAATTCCCAATTCCTACCATTTGAAGGATGCTGTAATGATATGATTCTTTCATTATCGATCATTATCCCTCGTCCTCCTCCTCAATTCGGCTCCGCGTGGGGCTCACGGCAGGGCTTGTCTTAATTTTAGGTCGACTTTTGAACACACTCTCGTAATCAGGATCCGCTCCATCCATCAATTCGACCGCACTCACGTCTGGAACTTCTACCTCTTCGTTGACTCTGGGGAAATAACTAGATTCTTTCTGCTTTTTCTTTGCATCTTTCACGCTCCGACGACGTTGAATCTGTGCCTTCTTTTGTGCTGCCTCAAAGCCAGCCATACTTTTCCGGGTACGTTCGATGAGACCGGCGTGAAGATCCGATTCCTCATTAAGAGGCTGTGGTGCTAATGAAGGGCGAGGCTTAATCGACAGTCGAGGGGCTTCTTGAACATCGTCAAAGTCGTGCAGTTCCGATATCTGGGCATGTGATTTACGAGACATGGACATCCGTGTCCTTTCCGCCAATGACAACGTATGTCTGGGCTTCTTTGGAGATGGCGATGCAGCTGACATGGAATTCAGGATTTCATCTGCAAGTGCGATCTCCGTTTGTTCTTCAGGCTCCGGGGAGGGATGTCTTGGAGGTGTTTGAAAATCAGGTAGGGGTGAGGGAGAAAGTGCTCTGTTAACTGAGTATGGTGGTTCTGTTGGGACCTAAAGAATGATTGAATTAGATAAGGAGAAGGAGAAGAACACGGCGATGGCTGAGGGCATGCACCCAAAACAATGGGGCAAGCATGAAAAAGCCAAGTTGCTTAGAAAATGGAGGCACGTACCAAGGTAGCTTCTTCCTCTTCGGGGCTGGATTCTGCCCCCGAAACGTTTGTTTCTGCAACATTTCCTGACTGCTCCCACGGATTTTCATCGGTGTTGCTGTTCTCGGCAACTTCTGATGAGTTGTTGATCTCATCTTTGATTTCTTCTTGCCGAGAACTCTGAAGATGCGTTTCAGATGGCGGGGTGCGAGAGAGGGATTTTGATACATGAGCAGAGAATCCCGGAGAAGACTCTTCTAGTTCACTTGCAGACAACCACTCATCATCGTCCTGAGGCCCAACATCAGTGTGGTAAGGACTTGGTACCGGTGTGGGTGAAGCATCATCGCAAGCGGGCGGCCTTTTCGTTGGTGCCACAGTTTGTCTGGATGGATCCTTGATTGCTGCTATTTCCCGTGTCATGGCTTCAATTAGTTGGGTATAATCATCGAAAAACGGGCCTTTCATCGAAGATGACTCTTTCAAGTTGCTCTCTCCAACTCTTATGGTTTGATGTAGATTAAATCCCAAATCGATCTTCTTCCCTGGCAAAGGTCCAGTTGTCTTAGCATCCTAAAATAAACATCGAATTAGCGTCATAGTCGATCAATGCACAACTCCTAGAGTTGCCAGGTGCATTCTAAGCACCAGCCGCATAGGCAGGTTCCCCATGAACCAATCCGTATTCCAGAAGAGACTAAATCTTACCAAGGTGTCCCCCGACTTTGTGGACAGAGAGTTGCTGAAATCCTTCCACCTTGCAAAGCGGTTTTCTTGATTCTTGACTCTCATGTCCAGTTGCTCCAACAAGCCCACCCGGCCCTGACTCTCTATATCTCCAATGCTGCCTCTTGTAACATGCTTCCAGACCTTCTCAAAGGGTGTCGCGAGCAGCCCTTCCTCGCCCACTTTGCTGTCACCGTAAAGGATGGTTCCCAGCCAATCTTCGGAACCCGACCAGTTCTTTTGAACCTGGTTTTGCCAAGAGCCGACCTCTGAGGGAGGTAACTTTAGGTAACCTTCACTCTCTGCCATGGCTTCCTTCAGCTGTTCGTGCCGACGATGAATCCGGCGCTCGTTCAATTTTAGCAGCTCGGAGAAGTCATTGTACTTTGCCCTCGAGTTATCCTTCTCACGCAAATGCGTAGTGACTGAAGCCTTGTGCGCTAGTATTAATGCCGATAATACACTTCGTTCGCCCGTGTAAGAGAAGTTTTCGTAGGCCAATTGTTGCGCGATCGTCTCCAGTTCGGAGGAGTTTTGTTCTTCTTGCAGCACTTTCTTCAAGACCGCATTTGAGAAAACAGCTAGAACTTCTTCTAGTCTCTCCCCTTTGCATTCGTCCAGCATCGTCTTCCTCAGCACCGTATCCCGTCCCAGCACTCCCGTCTTCTTCGCATGATCGAGACATCGGAAGAGGGCCGCTCGCAGATTCAGAGATTGAAGGGGTTCTATAGGAGGAAAGAAGGGTTGCAATTTCTGGCTATGTTAGCATGCGCCAGATCAGACGTGAAGCAAAGCGTGTACATTTTGCGCTTCTTCTGGGTCCCATAGCGCAAACAATTGATACAGTGACCATTCGACGCTCTGGATCCGTCTCTTTTGGTTTTGTTGTGCGTCTTTAGTAGAGAACGTCTTTGCAGATATTTCAGGCCAATCTTCTCGCAGATCAAGATCGAGCAGTCTTAGATTCGCAAGGAATAATGCAATATTCGAGGGTCCGCTCGTAGCGGTGCTTGTCGAGGTAGTTACGGGCTTGAAAATACCGGCAGGTGGGATCCGCAGATTACGCGTTTTCGGTGGGTTGTTGACGGAGGATTGCATGATGGAGCACAGAAGCACTTGAGACGTGACTGTGACATATTCTGGGAGGATAAAGATGGCAATTGAAGGAAATCAATGGGTTGTACAGTTGCGATGACACGAAAGGCGGTGGGGACGAGGGGCCCGAATGTCAACAACGAGCTCGACGGGGTCGTGAGCCCTGCAGCTTGGCACTTGGCACTTCAACGTCGACTGTTCAGTGAGATTCATAAGAGTACAACAACTTGGAACCTCACACCCACAGCGTCATCATCGAGAACGAGCCAACGAAGGTGAATCGATCTACCTGGATGTTTCCTGACATATTACCCAGAAGCTTCATCGCCACCGCTCCAGCTGAGGATCTCGAGTCTCGCAGCCGACCAGATAAATTGGCAGTCAAAACGGGTTTTAGGGTTTTGAGCCGCTCAACTTCACGCGACATGGTATCTAGTGTGATTCGTTTTGGGGAAATGATACCACGTCAATAGAGGTTCTCATCGACCCAGAATAACAGATTCGCTAGTATGAGGCATAATCTAATCAAATCCGACAATTCTTCTCTGTCGGTCCGGCCACGCAATCGTCAACGCTACGGCCACACAACATTCGAATCTCTTCCTGGGCCGATATCCGTACCTGAGCCAATTTTGCTGCTGCGGCTGGAATCGTCCTCCACTACCGCTGTTGGTACGTAGAAATAAATTCTAGAGACTCTCGGGACTTCTCCAGTACTCTGTTAGTGCGCAGATGTGCCGGTGAAATCCATCGTGGACGCGTCACGCCTCAAGTGGGTATTCAGTGTGTAAGTGCAAGAGGTGGAGGAACGAGGGAACCCCCTTCTATTTTGGGAGAGCTAGTATGTATCTCCGTACCTGCTTCCCTACCTAGGTGAGAAGGAACTGTATATACTTCTGCCAAGCCGTCCACGAGGGTATCTCTCTTTCTTCTTCCTTCCTTCCTTCTCTTCTTTTCTCTGTCCTGTCCTTCTTCATCTCAATCTCCTCCTCGCTTCTCCTGGAAATTGGAAATTGACTGCCATTGCACTAAATTGCATCGTAATCTTCGTCACTCGTTTTTGATCCTCTCATTCTGCTCACTCACCACTTTGCTCCCTTTGCTCACTTCCTCACCCTACTATTTACTCTGCCAACATGAAGTCAACGATTCTGGCCTACGCTGCCATTTCCCTTTTGACCACGGTCACAGCTAAAGGCACGCCGCTTCTCGCCGCTCGTGCATCGACCACAGTTACACCAGTCACGGTCACCGGAAATGGTAATGTCAGTCTGTCCTTGACAAGATCTCTATTAACCAAAGGCAGCATTCTACCAAGGCTCCGACCGCTTCTATATTCGAGGTGTGGCATATCAGCCAGGCGGTGGCACTGGAGCTGTCACCGATCCTATTGCGGATGCAACAAGCTGCAAACGGGACATTGTTTACTTCAAAAAGCTCGGTATCAACACCATCAGAGTCTACGCTGTCGACAACACAGCAGACCACGATGAATGTATGAACGCTCTAGCCGAAGCAGGAATCTATCTCATTCTTGACACCGACACCCCGAAATACTCAATCAACCGAGCGGACCCAGTTCCATCCTATAACAGTGTCTATCTCCAGAGCGTCTTCGCAACCATTGACATGTTTGCCAATTACACCAATACTCTTGCCTTTCTTTCTGGTAACGAGGTCATCAACAACGCCACCAATACGAATTGCGCTCCGTATGTAAAAGCAGTCACTCGCGACATGAAGGAGTATATCAAGAGCAGAAGTTACAGAACCATTCCGGTTGGATATTCCGCTGCAGACGTCGCGGAGAACCAACAGCTGATGGCCGAGTACATGAACTGTGGAACCGACGAGCAACGCAGCGATTTCTACGCCATCAACGACTATTCCTGGTGTGATCCGTCCTCGTATACAATTTCAGGCTGGGATCAATTGGTCAAAAATTACACTGGATATGGGATCCCTTTATTGTATGTCATCCATTCTCTACCAGATGCATCGTCTTCTAACAGCTGTACAGTATGTCCGAATACGGATGTATTACCAATACAAGAACCTTCGGTGAGGTTGCTGCCCTCTACTCGGATGAGATGACGGCAGTTTTCTCCGGCGGTCTTGTCTACGAGTACTCAAACGAGGGCAACGGGTATGGTCTGGTCAATATCTCCTCATCGACAACGGTGGTTCCCACAGAGCAATTTACATACCTCGAAACTGCATTCGCCAATACCACGAACCCAACAGGCGACGGCGATGCTTCCACCAGTAACTCTAGTTCAACTTGCCCATCGCAAAGCGACCAATGGGATGTCACTACGGATACCCTTCCTGTGATTCCCAGTGCTGCTGCGAAATTCATGACGACTGGGGCTGGGACTGGGCCAGGTTTGGATGGCGCTGGTAGTCAAACTTCTGGCGACGCGGAAACTGAAAGCGGTGGAAGCGCAACAGCTAGCTCCAGTACATCTTCGGATACTGCATCGGCATCAAGCACGAAGAAGAGCGATGCGGGAGTGCAGGTTCCTCCGGTCATGTTGAAAAGTTTGTCCCCTATAGGAGTCGTCTTTGTCGCCATGTTAGGAGGTATGGCTGTTTTGTGAGATCGTCAATATCGGCGTGCCATTGATATCATGTACGTGTAGACGGTTGAATTTTGGCATTTTGCAGTATTTTTTTTTTCTTCTTGGTAGATGTCCGATTGTACAATAGAAGTTCAGAAGATTTAAATGGAAATTATTCGTTCAAATCACTCTTGAAGAAAGGCTGGTAATATCCAGGCATACCAAGGTGAGGAACATGTTAGTAACGCGAAATTTCACTCGTCTTAACGAGATAAAAGTTTGCTCTTGGTATCTACTGCTTTTGGTAGTTTTTTGGCTATTAAAAGAACATAGTGTTTCTTGGAAGCCTTAGTACAAAATTGATAAACATTACCTAGGTAGTAAAAGAGATCAGCGAACGGATTTCAATTGCTAACAGCTGGAGGCCCACATCCCCGGATTCTTGGCATCTTCCCCCTGTCAACCGAGCCGAGACCCTCGGCTGCCCCGCCTCAGAGCTTCAAAATCCGATTCATCCTCCTCCATCCTCTCTCATCGAAACTCATGTAAAACCTACCACAACAATACCAGTTCAAATTCCAAAGCATATCTTTGTCGGCTTCAAACTAATGACCCTTAGCAATCCAGCCTTTTCATCCTACACCATTCAAAAAATCCCAATTCCCGTCCTCTTCCTCAGCAGCCTCTCACACTCAAAACCCAACAAGCCAACCCCATCAACACCCTCACCCACTTCCACCATGTCCTCTCAGAAATTCACAGCCCCACCCCCCTCCCTCCCCTCAGAACTTCAAATCTCCTTCCCGGCCCCAAAAATCTTACTCATCACCCTCAACCGGGCCGCTCAACTCAACGCCATCTCCACAGCCATGCACTACGCCCTCGACAATCTCTTCACCTGGTTCGACAGCCAGCCGTCTTTGATGGTCGCCGTGATCACCGGCTCCGGACGTGCCTTCTGCGCCGGTGCGGATCTGAAGGAATGGAATGAGGGAGGGCGGGGAGGGATGCCTGCGGGTGGGTTCGGCGGGTTGAGTAGGAGGGGTGGGAAGAAACCGGTGCTGGCGGCGGTTAATGGGATTTGTTTTGGGGGTGGGTGTGAGATGATTGTTAATGCGGATATGGTGATTGCGAGTGAGAAGGCGCAGTTTGCGTTGCCTGAGGTAGGTGGTTGTTTTTGTTCTTGTTGAGATAGGGAAGCGAAGGTCAGGGAATCATGTGTTGATGGGAAGGGTGGAGTTCTCAGATAGTTTTCATGCTTCATTCCTACCCCATGTTTCTAAATATGGAATTGCAGCTAATCCAACCCAGGTCACAATCGGAGTAACTGCTCTCGCAGGCGCTCTCCCCCGCCTCATTCGCACCGTAGGCCGTCAACGAGCTACCGAAATGGCACTGACAGGCCGACGCCTCTCCGCGTCAGAAGCGAAAGAATGGGGCCTAGTCAACGCAGTCATCCCCGGTTCATCTGAAGACTTACTTAAAGAAGCGCTGAAAGTCGCAGAGACCATTGCATCCCATAGTCCTGATTCCATCATTGTCACGCGTGAGGGATTGAAGATTGGCTGGGAGGGTGTGGGTGCCGAAGAGGGAACACAGATTTGGGCTGATACGTGGTATTCTAAGATGAATGGGGGGGAGAATATGAAGGAGGGCGTGAGGTCTTTTGTGGAGAGGAGGAAGCCGAGGTGGGTGGAGAGTAAGTTGTAGGTTTTGTTTGGCTTGATTGGTATATAACTTGAATACACGATTTTCAGATTTGTGCAATGATTGGAGCACGAATTCCACACAGTTTTAGAAGTCGAGGTAAGTAGCGTCTGCTCCGAGTGATGAACATGAGCGATGGAACGCCTTTTTTGATATCTAGGTCCCATTCCGTCCATCAATGCGATCAGCACAACTATGCATTGGAATAATTCCAGCAATCGCTAATTCAAACCACGTGCGGCCCATGTAAGCCTCAAAGTCTACCGTTAACCAGATCTATGCTCTGGATGTTTGAGCGAACGAAACAGCCAGGACCCGATAATTAGATGACTATGACGGCTGGCGATTATTCCTTATCCGATAGCCTCTTCATCAAAATCTACAAATTTCAAACTATTAACGTTGTGCAGTTTGAGATACACGGTACCTGCATATACGCCGTGTGCATGTCATCCCGGCAAGCTGATGTGCGGCTGAGAAACTCTTTCGGAGAGTCGTGGGCGTGTTGTTTATCACTGGATCACTGGTGCTGACGATAAATTAGGCTAATGAAGTTTGTATAGTACAGATTTGCGATGGATGAAGTGGGTGGATGTCAGAATCCGATGGTTGTTCGAATGATCTGTTGGAATATCATGGTTTACGGCTATGGAATTTGTTAAATAAGAGGTTTTAAAATTAAGAGGTATTTATATGTGGGTCAACAAAAACATCAGGTGATTGGCAATAGGAGTTTATGCTTGAATCGGTAGCCATTATACGATCTATCAGCACACGAGCGATGCAGAAGCGTTGTTTTGCGTCAGGTCCTTTTTGTCGGTTTGGACCCTCGCATCAGATTAATTAGCTTACACAGATGTAACCAAGTTGGTTGCTGGTCCTTTTCTAGTAATTTCATATATAAGAATGTTTTCCCACTGGTCTTTAAAGTATCTGCTACAGTCCATCCCATTCCAATAACCACGCTCATTACGTTCAGTTCTTCTTTTTCACCACTCTATCTCTCACACAAAAAGTTACACTCTCCCGAAAATTCTCAAAATGCTTCCTGCAACTTTAACCTTTATCAACATATTAGCAGCGACATCTCTCGTCACCGCGCAACGTCCCTCTTCAACTTCAATATGCGATTACTACGCCAACAAACTCTTCGGTGCCAATAACGGCACGACCCAGCAACTGGTGCAGACACTGATTCTCAACACCGCATTCATCGGAAACTACACAACTCCGAACGTAGGTATCCCCGTCCCAGGTATCGCCCCAGAAACGACATTTAACGGCACGAATGTCAATCTGCTTCGATATTTTGACGCAGCTCTGTATTCTACCAATGATGGAGTTCATAACTATGGTGTTGCGAAATTGTTTCTGGATGATGGTGGACCGGTTCCACTTTCCATGAGTAAAGCGTCGAATGGGAATGTGAAGTCGAATCAATAGTAAGCGACAATCATGAGTACGATGTCTGGCTTAACTAATATTATCTAGTCTCCTCGTCACCCACGTTTGGCAATACTTCGGCGTCCTCCTCAACTGCTCCAAACAAGGCATCGACCCCGACTTCCCCGCCTACAAAGGAAACCCGAGCATGTACGAAGTCCACAAGTTCGTTCCCCTTCCACATCTTCATTCCCTTCTAACCACTTCAGATACATGGACCTCGACCCCTACGAACAAGGCTGGTTCGTGGACCAACTCACCCAAGCCGCCGCCTCTATCGGTTTCTCCGCCGAAGACACAACGATATGGTTTAACACCATGACCGGACTTTTCTCATCGCGATGTTCGCCTCCGACGGTCGTAGGAGGGCTTCCACCGGCGTTGAATGCTATATGTACACATTCGTCGTGTCCGGTTGCTGAGGGTGGGGATTGTGCGTTGTACAATGGTGGGAAGGAAGCGGTTGCGCCTGGTGTGGCGAATGTTACGCTTGCGGGGAATTATACGAAGATGAATGGGACTGCTGTGGCGGGGAATTCTAGTGGTGGTGTCATGCCGACGACTGCGGTGCAGAGTGGAAGTGTTGGCAATTTTGGATATAATAGTATTCTTGGTTCGGTTGTTATCTTGATTATTGGTGGTATTATGGTCTAAGTTGGGATTTTGGATCTATTTAGAATATGGATATAGAGAGAGGTGGACTAATGTGAAGTGTATTCAGGATTACGGTAGTAGGGAACATGGTAGAAGAATCATAGTGTTTATTCTATTCATTTGAACTAAGCCTGATTTTATCGTCTATCGTCAGAAAATAGAATGGTTAACAATCCACTCGGGATTAGTTAGAATAGAAGAGTCTATCTGACCCTTAAGAGGCTCAAGATTTCCAGGCTATTTACAAGCCTACCGTGTCTCATTGTTCTACTACCAGTGAAGGCAAGTTCTGCAAATCAGAGGTGTTGAGCGATATTTAAGTCGTCATTGTTCGTTAGCAAAGACTCCCAACATCAAACCGGATCAAATTTGATTAGTCTGACTTAATAAATATTGTGGTATGAATCATTTCCTTTCTAAGACGTACAGTTTCAAGAGATTATATGTCATTCTATCACACCCGTTCCGACTTCTTCTACGATCTGCACTGCTAAGCGAGGGAGACTGTCCCTTCGTGCGTTCTGGTTTTCGAATGTCTACAAAAAAGCGGGTGGATTTGAATCGGTACTTTCGAGCTCTAGACCGTCCAGTCGACGTAGACACATCATAAATCTTCTATTTCGAGGGAATGTAGTTCACTTTGTTTGGTAATGCTTGTTGATGAAAAGAATCTCGAGAGTGAAATCTGTATCATAAAAACAACTCAAAATGAAAATTTCCTGCATCCACATGTGGTTGAAATTCATACTACAATTCTCGACTTTGCTCTCAAGTTCAGATCATATACTACACTATCCATCCCCTCTCAAATTCGACCCCCCATTTCCACTTGGTCCCACTAGAATGCCCTCTTCATCAATATCCACCATCCTCCCAGCCTTTCGACTCCATGACAACAACTCATCTTCAACATAACACATATGCGGAATCGGATACTTCGTTTCCAACCTGTCCCCCACCCACTCAAAAAGCGTCAACGTCGTGTCCCCCCTACAAATCGCTGCTGTTCGGATCCACTCTATACAATGTTCCAAATGCTCTCGTTCCTCGTCCATGTAGTCCCGCGATGCATTCGCGTAATAGTGTTCTGGGTATAAATGCGTTTTTAACTTGTATAAGCAGTGGAGTTCGTGATAGAATCCCGTTTTGGCGAGATAGCCGGTGCCGTCGGCGAGAGAAACAGAGGTTGCGTTGTAGGGTGTGAGTTCGGAGGGGGAGATGCGCATGTTACCGCCGGAGAGGAGAGCTGACCAGGCTTGTGAAGTGGATTCAGAAGGCGGTTGTGAGTAGGGAGAGTGATGATTGCCGTGTTTGGCAAAGGCTTTTAAGTGTTGAGGTACGGAAGTCATTGCGGGGACGAAACCGAAGGCAGGAGATTCTTGAGGGCGATTGGGATGGGATGAGCAAATGTAGTAGATAGTGGTGTAAACTAGTATCAGGAGTGTTTGAAAGATTGTGAATCTTTTCCATGAGATGCGGCAGCGAGATGATTTTGATGGTGGAAGATTTGCTTCTTCGTCGCTGACTTCGTCGAGAAGCGGTTGGAATTGAATTTCTTCATATTTTTCGCCTGGAAATTTGACACTCTGTTAGCTTGATGTTGCTGGGCGTGCAAGCTCGGGTGTACGTACTTTCGGGATCCATTAGTAGCTTCTGAGAGTGAATTAATGCTCGAGGCAAATTGAAGTTTATGTCATAAATCTCTGGAATCTTTCTCAGTCAGACTTTCCGTTCAATGCGCTTGCGAGCTTAGTTTGTTGAAATCGCCATAAGGCATAAGTCGAACCAAAAGTTTCAGCGTTCTCGAATTGGGAGGAATGTAAGTGTGGATCAGAATTGACGAAAAATCACTGAGAAGATGGACCCATTTTCGGGTTTAATTGATCTGAGCCACTACTCCCTTTTTGGGAGTCGCGTGCGTGAGACTCGGTGGTAATCCTCATTACCTTACATCTTGGCTATACTTCCAATCCATCGCCCACGATCGAAGCGAAAACTGCAAACTGTCGGTAAAGAATTTTCAGCCGCCGCACTGTGCACTTTACAACTCACCGGCTTGACTGCATATGCAATGCAACATTGGGTGTAACAGAACCGGAATCCAGATGCAAGGTATCGCGCCTTGGGTCTCGGCAAGCCGCCTTGTGGTTAAACGGGTATTGTGACACGTTTTGTGCCACGAGGGCGGTGGGATTACACGGGCTCGTCATTACCCCAGGAAATCGAGCAATCTAGGATGTTCCAAGATAGTAGTCTTACGGGAAGTGTAAATGGGTCAATGACATTTAGCATTTAGCGATATTATTTCATTGAAATATATGAGCTACATGAGATGCGGAAGAAATACAGTTAATGCCCTTTTTCGCTTTGACCATCTGTAACATCACTTTGCGACCAAGCTTTCAATTTAGGAGGCAATTTGAGAATTTCTTCTCCGGGCTGGGGACCACGTTTAGACATTTCTATCCACATATCCACACTGATGCGCTCCTTCGCTTGCCATTTCAGTATCTCAGAATGATCTCTACACTTCTTATTTATAGCAAAGTCGGGGAACGGGTAGTCTTGTGTTTCCATCCAGTTGTGCGTTATCATATCTGTGCTGAAGTCGCAAGTCAAAGTCTGGAGCAAAACGTGTAGACAATGTGACAAGTGAGCTTGATGGAAGGGCTGAAGTGGTGAGGTGCTGGTAAGATTGGGGGAATGGCTGCTCGATGGACTTGTAGTTTGCGAAGGGTAGTAATGCTCTCGGTATGCGTACTTGCGAATGGCGTTCAAGCAGTGGAGAGCATGTTGGCCGTCTGGTTGAGCTAAATAAGAATTCTCGCCATGTCCTGAAGCTGCAGTCAGTGTACAGGTCGCAAGAGTGAAGAAGAGCCACGAACCCCATTCTGGAGGAGCTTTCACTGCCTTTTTCGGGTCTTTTCCGAGCTTGACTACCTCTTCTTTATTGATTATCACTACACCAACATCTGTCAGGGCCTCCCAGGCGTCATCGACCTCGGGAGAAGGGTACTGCCGCAGAAGAAGATTGTCCTCGTTGAATAAGTCTCCCTGAACTACCTTTGCAACGAAAGGTATCTTTAGTCGGGTAAAAAGTGGTGCTTTCAAAGGGGTTAGCATATTCGACTACCGAAGGGTGCTTGGATTCTTACAGAAATATGACACCTGCTCCAATGCCCAATCCTGACGATTCGTAATATTGGAGGACTTGAGGAAGAGGGCGGTCGATGCGATAAACAAGGCTACATTCAATATAGTGATTGTTCTGCCTGCCCAGCTACGTCTCGAAGGTGAAAGGCCACGTAGACTGGCACTCTGCGTTGGTCATTCAGCAGGATAACTTATAATAATCAGCGGACTTACAGCATAACTTGCATCCTCCAAGCTCTCCTCCTTCGATACTGGGGAGTAATTCATTGTGTCCTCCATTGGTTTGCTACTCGTGATATTGAAGACCATTTTCCATGGAGGTTGGAAATGGCGAAATTTCCCAAAACTGGATTTTTCCTGGAGTGCAAACAGAGGAATCAGGGAAGGAATGTGAAGAGCCAACTCCAAAGATCCAGGCCCGCAAGACACAGAGTTCTGATGAAAATGCTCGTATATTCGGTACTTGCAGAAAGCCACTGTGTAGCCCAAAACGGTCTTCGGAGGTTCACATTTGGCTCTTGAGATCACATGTAGAGATATAGAACCTTGCTCACTTTGACTGCAGATACAGTGGAAGTGCAAGTGCGTCTCGGTGGCATTTCTTCTTGCAGGTTAGGTGCTTTGCCTAATAGTCAAAGCAAGCCAATGTAACCCAAACCATTGATATGACAAAGAAAAATTACGTGCTTCGGTTTTGTGCAGCATAAACTTTTCTCCAGGATCGAAGGATCAAGAAGACGCGATCAAAAAGATGCGGTCAACAAGACGCGGCTGCAGAATTCAAGTATGTCTGCACACTTTCGGACAGGATTATGGCCCATCTGAGCGCCGGCACCGGAGAGGCTAGCTTGCGACTATTAATCAAAAAATTCAGGGTCTGTATATTACCCATGCATTATTTGGCGCCGAGAGAAATCTGGTAATAAGGAAGAGGGCTGAACCATCGCGTGGCATAAGAGTACGCGCCGGGCCAGCCCCAGGTTACCCAACAGAACAGCGGCGGCAGAGACAGGAGTACTGCAGACAGTCACACGGTGGGTCCATCCTTCGTAGTACCTTGGAGGCTAGACTTTCTTGTATTGTTCTCATGATTACCCTCGTGCGTTGATGATGCAATGTTTCCAGTCGATGGATGGATGTGACTTCAACGAAGAGTGCTGAGTATTCTCGCTTGGCAATGCGAGAATCGGACCGTCTGGATTCTGGGCAGCATCTTTCAGGGCCATAAGGTGGAATTCACGTGCCTCGGTAAGCTTAGGCCCTCAGCTAGCGCATTTCGCGTGGATAGGCGCCACATGGTGGTACGGAGTACTCCGTAGTCCAATTTAACCTTAATCTAACGAACCTTCATCTCACAACGGTGGACATCTCGATCACACATCACGTTCGGATTACTATCACATTTTTTCACAAAACTTGTTTCTTAGCTAAGAGTATCACATGCATAGTAACACAATCAAGCCTCATTCAAGAATCAAGTCTCGCCAGAAAGATAATCTCACACCCCGTCTATCCATTCTTCGCTGTCTTCCGAGGTGTAGAGGTTAGGTGTCGGTTTGGGCAGTATCACAGCATTCTCGGGTCTCTTGATAGTCCTCCACTTCTTCATATCATCCGGGACTGCATGCTCGTTATTCCACTGCAGCAGTCCTTCGAAATTTCGACATTTGCGGGGGTTGTTGAAATCAGAAATGGGTCTGTAACTTCCCCTTCGCCAGTTGTGTGTAACGATGTCTACATCGGAATGACACATCAGAGTGCGAAGTATTATCCGGAGGCAATGTCTCTTATGGCGAACATGGAGATAGTCGGCATTGGCTGGGTCTCCAAATCGAGGACGAAAGTAATGGTCCCACCACTAAGATGAATGTAAGCACGAAGAAGGCTGCGGTGTGGAGCTGGGAACGACCGACCATTTCTTTTCGCAGCATGTTCAAGCAATGGATTTCATGAAAGACGTCAATCTGTGCTGGATATGCATCATCGCCAAACCCCCAATCTTCTGGGGCCTTGACGATGACATTCGGGTCTCTTCCCAGTCGAATAGCTTCCTCGCTATTGACCGTGATGATAGGAGAGGCGTCAGCAGAGATGTGATTCCAAGCGGCATCAACCTCTGGGCTTGGATCCCGAATGTATATCGAGGTATTCTCGTCGTCTCCCCAGAGAGTGTGATTCTTTGTGGACTCATCCAGGTCTATCCGAACACCACTATCGAAAACAGGTGCTAGAAAGTGTTGGCAATGTTTGAAGGGCGTTTAAGAAGACTTACAATAGTATGAAACTTTCTTTTGAGCATCGAGACTGCTGCAAGTCCTTGGAGAAAGTGCCCATATTGAACTTGTTGCGGCGAAAATGAGAAGATTGAGAAGTGTCACAATCGCAACGAGTGTTGTGCTGGGGCGTTTGTAGTGTTGTTTCGAGCTTTCTGCTTTTTTTCCAAGGAGGCCGTCGTGGGAATGGTCCGAGTTCGATTCAGAATCGAAGGAAACTCTTTCTTCTTTCGCCATGATTTGATATTTTGCGTGCGGAATTCAAGGAATTCGAGGTTCGAAAGCATGAAGTTCAAAGTCAAGATCTTAGCGCGAAACTACACCGTTTGCTAATCTGACATGGAAGCGATGGCTCTTGCTGCGGCTGGAATTTCTTTCAGAAGTCGTTTTCGGACCCGAAGACGTGCATATGCACGTAAAGAGATGAACCGTTGTTTCTAGTAGCTTCGTCGATTGCACAATTCTCTGTACCATTCCGCCACTCCTTGCAGCGTCGCCGAAATCGCAACGTAACAGAAATTTAGCCTATAAGCTAGTGTTTGGGGGGCTTCTGCTCTCAAGAAAGGGATACTTGTTTGTATACTAGCGCATCCGCGGCTAATCGGATTTCGTAGATGGTGGTCTTTTCTCACGTCACATTAGGGTGTAATGACCATCAGCAAATCAGTCAGGTAAATGCCATTGATCCCGATCTGGCACAAGTGGCGTCTAGCTGGACTGTATGATATCTGACGCGATATTTAAGCGAACTTGCAACTTTTCTTTGTCATGTCTCTAAGGTTGCTATGCTGAGCGTATCCTTTTGATCACTCTTTTGAAGGCTCTATGTTTACTGGTTTCCATACAATCCGACCTAATGTCCAGTTATGATCTGCGTTAAACATGTTACAACTTCGTATGTCAAGCATTCAGGACAAGGTTTACGATGTTTGCATGATCCTTTACCATGTTTTGACGGCTTGCCCTATTCTTGTGGTCGAACTCATTTTTCTAATTATTGCTGTCCGCGTCTTTGCGTCAAAGGACCGATTTCAGCATGCCCTAGCGCCAGGACAAGACTTCCACGGTGACAGGTGCTCATGTCGTTGCAACCGAGTATGGTCTACTCTCATCCAGCACTGTCCCTCGGATAATGGCATTGTCGTGACAATATGCAGCGTCTTGCCCTCTGCGTGCGATTCTGCCCTTACGCTAGAGCAAATTCTTTGAAAACCTCGGCGGCGGAAAAGTTATATAAGAGAACGTTCTCTTCGCCAAATTTAACATCATCTCATCAACAGCCATCCTCTTCACAACAGCACATCTCTTCAAGGCATACACCAAGACACATTCTTTAAAATGCTCTTCTCTCGAATCTCTGTGGGCATTGCCCTACTTGCCACTGTGGGCTCCGCACTGCCTGTCGAGCTCAATCCGCGCTCACCTCTCCAAGCCTACGGTCAACATACCGATGACAAGAAGGAGCAAGTCGCAGCCAGAGTGGTTCCAGTTCAGGCTTATGGACAACACACCGACGATAACAAGCAGAGCAAGCGCTCACCTGCCCAGGCTTATGGCCAGCACACCGATGACAAGAAACAACAACTCGAAGTCTCTGAGCGAAGCGTTCCTGTTCAAGCCTACGGCCAACACACCGATGACAATAAACAAAACAAACGATCACCAGCTCAGGCTTACGGTCAACATACCGATGACAAGAAGCAACAGTTGGAGGTTTCAGAGCGAAGTGTTCCGGTTCAAGCCTATGGTCAACACACTGACGATAGCAAGCAAAACAAGCGCTCTCCGCTTCAAGCCTATGGTCAGCACACTGATGATAAGAAGCTCGAGGAAGTTGCTTCCCGATCACCTGTCCAAGCTTATGGCCAACACACCGACGACAAGAAGGTTGAAGAGGTGGCTGCCCGATCACCTGTCCAGGCTTATGGTCAGCACACCGACGACAAAAAGGTTGAAGAAGTGGCTGCTCGTGCACCTGTACAAGCATATGGTCAGCACACAGATGATAAGAAGGTTGAGGAAGTTGCTGTCCGATCCCCTGTTCAAGCTTACGGTCAACACACCGACGATAAGAAGGTCGAGGAAGTGGCTTCCCGATCCGTACCAGTTCAGGCATATGGCCAACACACCGACGACAACAAGCAGAACAAACGTGATTTTGCTCAGTAAGTTATCCTATCATCGTAAGTGTCATTCCAGGTATTGCAATCTCAGAGACTTAATGCTGACTTTTCAAACAGGGCTTACGGACAACATGTCGATGAGTGCTATGGCGGGGGTCAGGCATATGGACAACATATCGATGATTGTGTTTTGTGAGAACCAGGAGATCTCAACTGATGTCGCTTTTAGGGTGGTTTGTAGCTTTCTCGTATCAGTGAAAAGGGTGCAAAATAAAATTATTTTGGAGAGATTTGCCTTTCACATGACTTGTGCTTGTGATTTCGTGTTGGTATTTTTGCTTAGAATATTCCCGTGATTGTTTCTTCCATATTGGAAACCGACCCATTGAAACTCCAGCGTCTTCTGCGCTTACTCTTTTTTTAAGGTACTTCATGCGATAACGTTTCAGTTAAAAAAAACTCCACTATAATGTGACCCGAATTACCTTGGGTGTTCATGATTCGCCAGAACTCAATTACAACGTCATAAACGAAAGTCTTTTCTTTGGTCCACGAGTTATCTGGGTCTAGTGTCACAACCGCTCATTCCCAATTTGGTAAAGGGGGGTCTAAGCGAGGCAACCGTTCAGACCGGCCTCGCTTAGCCCTATGGAGATCTAGATGGTGTTCTTCAACATCATTCATTCTGGTTGGGGCTTAATGTGAAAATTTTGGGAATGACTCAGGGAGGATCAAATTCAGTGTTTTCTGCTCGTCTTCTTTCGAATAATCGTGTATCGATTGCAGTGAGCAACTTTTTAACGCAAGTCCTTTGTGTGATATGCACTTATCTATAACATGATGCTCCCAAGTTTTTATATATGACATGATGCTGCGAAAATCTTTCATGACACTTTCTAGCGGCTTCTGTTTCTCCAATAGCTAGAAGATTCTCTTCTCAAGAATCGGGACTCGGCGGGTTGAAAATTTGATAGACTAATAGTCTTAGCGATGTAACAAGCCTAATTTAGTTAACCCATCAAGTGCAAATTAGAAAGCCTGTGAAGCAAGATCACTATAAACGAGTGATGCGCCAATCAAATTGTAGTATTCAAGTCGCGTCAACCAATGGCAAGAGGACTTTTTGGTTCGTGTTTGCTGTACCTGATTTGTTGTGATAGTGTTCGGACGGAACCGAGATCACACGAGAAACCTATATAATCACTTTCCTCTGCAGACTCAAACCTTTCCCTCTATCACTCACCTCCCACATCCCCTCAGAAGTCACATCAGCTACACTATTTCTTCGACATATCAACCACACACACAACCAACCACACAATCCAACAACAATGGAGCCAAACTTCCAATCACCAATCGCCTATCAAGACGAGAAGTTCCAAAACATCGAAGTCGAGTTCCCAGACATCGAAGCCGGTCCCTACACAGCAAGAGCTTTCGAAGATCAATCCTACAATCAAGAGTAAGTTTTCTTTCCAAATAACTTCATGGCGTGCAACTGACTAATCTCCAGATTCCTCCTCCGCATCACATGCATCCTCCTACTCATCACCATCATTGCCCTCAGCATCTTCATCATCTGCGAAATGCTAGCCACCTACAATGTTCAGCGCGAATACGATTTGTTCACAGGGGTCCGGAGGATGTCGAGACCGGACATGTCGTCTCTTCAAGATATTCGGGGCGAGAGATACGCGAGACTTTTGATGGAAATGCGAGCGAGGAAAGCACATTAAGGAACAGGGACTGTACATCAATCAAATCATAGTGGTTGAAAAGTGTTGTATCTTAAAGTCAATGTAATGATACTTTTGGAGTCATAAAACTAGCGAGAACTTGTGAAAATGTGCAATGAAACAAAACTTAAAAACAAATCTCGTGGACGGAAAGAGCTACCAACGTACCATCGTGATGACCCTTTGACATGATCCCCTCGACTCTTGGTCTTTCACATATCAAACAATTAAAATGCCAACCCGAGTACAGCACGCTGAACCGACTCCCGTCCGCTCCAAACGACAAAGCATCCCCTCACAACCCCCATCATCTGCTCCAGCAGCTGCTGGACCGGGTACCGATTGGTATATTGTATTTCTCCGGTAAGTCACTTTGACTTGCAACTTGCAACTCGTGAAGTTCCAAGGCTTTACACTCAACTGCAGTTCAACGGAATGGCTTTTGTGCTTTGCTGACCCTTCATTGTAGCGTTAATCTTGCCATCAGGTACATGCTGCTTGTCTGGGGTTTAATATTACTTTTCGACTTAGACGTACCAAATCCTCGTGAAATACTCGAGAAGCTGGCTGAGGTAGTTTTGTGGTGGGTTACTCTGTCTTTCCTCTCGGACTCGGGCCCGGTCTCGGGGGTCTCGGATCCGGTCTGGCGGGGTCTTCCAAACCTGTTCGCAATCAATATCTTCTAGGACTCTACTAACCTCTCTCCAGCAATTGCACTCCAGCATCGCATGAGATCTTCTCAAAACAATGTCACAAGCATCATTGCGTATGCTGCGCAGCTTGCGACCAGCTGCACGCCCGGTAATTCGTCCTAGATTCGCTCGACCTGCGTTCCAACACTCCCGGCCTGCGACAACATCCTCGGCAGCAGCAGATGCCAGCTCACTTGTTACTCGAATAAAGAATTTATTGTACGGAACATCACTCTCGTTATTCGCTGTTCTCACCTACCTTTACATCACGGATACTCGCGCCAGCGTACACCAATGGCTTGTTGTACCCGCTCTAAGATATGTGTATCCCGACGCCGAAGATGCACACCACGCTGGTACAAAAGCGCTGAGAGCGTTATATTCTTTCGGCATACACCCGCGCGAACGAAATTCGAAAGTCACAGACTCGAAAGATGCGGATCTCAGCGTCACTGTATTTGGGCAGAAGTTGCAGAATCCAATTGGAACCTCTGCGGGAATTGACAAGTTGGCTGAGATACCGGACGCCTTGATGGCATTGGGACCTGCGATTGTGGAAGTAGGAGGAGCGACGCCGTTGCCACAAGAAGGAAATCCAAAACCTAGAGTTTTTCGAATACCAAGTCAGAATGCCTTGATCAATAGATATGGGTTGAACGGGTTAGGCGCGGACGATATGGCAAGACGCTTGAGGGAACGGGTACGATTATTTGCATACAGCAGAGGATATGGTGTTGGCGAAGATGCTGAGCAATTGGTTTTGAACGGTGGCGCTGGAGTCAACCCGGGAAGTCTGACAGATGGGAAACTGCTGCTCGTTCAGGTGGCTAAAAATAAAGACACCAAGGACGAAGATATCGAGGCTGTGAAGCGGGATTATGTCTATTGCGTCGAAAGACTGGCGCCATATGCCGATGTATTGGTTGTGAATGTCAGCAGTCCGAACACACCTGGATTACGAACTCTACAACGCGTAGAGCCACTCACGAAGATTTTGGATGGAGTCGTTACAGCTGCGAAATCTACGAAACGGAAAAACGCCCCGAAAGTTATGGTCAAGGTTTCACCGGACGAGGATGCAGATGACCAGATAGAGGGCATTGTTGAGGCGATCTGGCGGAGCGGCGTAGATGGAGTAATTGTTGGCAATACCACCAAGAGACGGCATGGATTCGTACCTAATGACATCAAGCTCTCCGCAAAAGAGAGGAAGATACTTGACGAGCAAGGAGGGTTGTCCGGGCCACATATGTTCGAGAGAACGTTAGGGCTTGTTAAAAGATACAGAAAGCTCTTAGACGAAGGACCACCTCCTCCTACCAATAACCAAACCGAGGATTCAGACGACCAAACAAGTTCCAAAATCGCAGAGAAGGTCGAAAGTGTGAAAAACACAATCACACAAACAGTCTCCCCAACCCGTGAGCAAAAAGTCATCTTCGCAACAGGCGGCATCACGAACGGGAAGCAGGCGTTGGAGATTCTGAATGCGGGTGCGAGCGTGGCGCAGATATACACGGCGCTGATATATGGTGGTGTGGGAACTGTATCACGGATTAAAAAGGAGATGAGGGAGGAGATTTTGGGGAGTAGAAAATAGAGGTAGAGGTCGCGCGCGAGCGGATGTGTAGATAGATTTAAATTATTAGTGTTTTTAAGAGTTTATGCATTATGAATTTTGTTGCAGGAGTTTCGAAGATGCAATGGGATGTATCATCATAGAGGAAAAGACTTTATCCAGCGTTCCGTCTAATGATGTTCTTCTCTTGAATGAGTTTATCCAGAATCAGCCAAATCCTTTAGTATCAGATGGGAGGGTCCGAAAACAGCTTTATTTCAAGTCTGGTGCTATTGATCCTATCTCTGTGAGAATTCAACAACGAGGGTGTCAATGAAAATGTCCTAGCTTGGTTGAGGAAACCAAATAGCAATAAACTGTTGTTCGTTCATCTGGAATGAAATTCGGGATGGACATTTAAAAGTTCAAACCTCAATTGATGATGTTCTAAAAGCTTTTGAAGAAATGAAAAGAGACGTTAAAATGCCAATAAATGATGTCCCAAGACATCTGAAGTGATTAAGAGCAGCGCAAATATCGCTCGCTTAGTTGATCTTCTATCTGAGGTAACCCGACATCGACATCGACATCGACGTTTAACGCCAAGAATTATCTCCCAAAAAAACTGACCAAACGAGAACAAATATTTAGACCCCAAGCGATCATGCGAGGAGACGTTGAGACCTCGATAGATGACGTCCCAAAACACTTCAAGAAATATAAAGTAGAGCAAATATCGTATATATGTTTTAATTTCGAATTCGACGTCGAAGCGGTTAAAATTTAATAGATGATGTTTGAAAGGATGGAAATAGTTAAAGAGACGTTTGGAGCCCTGATTATTATATACAAGAGATAGTTAAAGATGTTGTGAATTATTCAAGAAACGGAAGAGCACTGATTTGTTCTTTTATAGGTCTTTCGTCCTTTGATTAGGCAATATATCGATATCGAAACGCATTCTTAACGACTACATCCCCAAGAGACGCTCAGATCCTAATATTAGTATAAGAGAAAACGATCGAACCTCTCGAAATGATTTTCCAAAACATTTGAAGAAACATATAGCAGTATAAACATTGCTAGTTCAAGCTGATCTTAACGTCGACATCCCCAATCATCTCCCAGGATAACTGCAAAACCAAAAAGCAGAGCTTATCTTTTGAGCACGTGGAACATTTACCAAAGGTTTTCTCGTGGCTGATTAATATGTTGTGGATTAGAGTGTTGATGGGGTTTCGGATTTTAGGCTGGTTTCCTAGTGAAGGAAGAGGAAAACATCGTAATGGTCATGTAAAACTGACGTTTCAGCCTAAACAGATATTGTCCCAGGTGAAGAAGCAAAAGACGAGAGAGACATATACCTCCCTCCATGACCTCGACATCAATACCGAAACCTCCAAACCAACGAGATCGTCCAGACATCTTCAAGAATTCAAACGCGGCAAATGTCAATCCATCCGTTGGACATGACATCGACGTCAAAGAAAACGCCTGTATCATTAAAAAGAAACACATAGAACACTCGATGAAGTGAACATAACATCGAAATAGAGATAATTAGAACCTTAACGAAAATGCTCTCAAACATCCCAAGATTCCAAAAACATACGATCGAACGCCAAAGAATCACATCCGGGGGAGTCCAAAAAGCACGTACAACACCAAAACCCGGTCGATGTCTAATTATACTCCTGCGTGTCCCACACTATCCATCTAGAAACAAAAAAGACGACGTAACCTACCTTATCATTCAAGTTCGACGTAGAAAACGTAAACCCTCGACGAATCACACCTCAACCCAATTAAAAAACCGAAAGAAATGGAAAAGAAAAGCGTGTATGTCACTCCATCCGTGTACATAATACGATGTCGGAGTAGTGAAAGATCAATTGATGATGTATATCCAGATGACGGGAGTTGAGGGATTGAAAAGGGGACGAGGTATAGTATCAAGATGGACGTTAAAACATCAGAATCTCAAGGGTTGATAGCTCATGCTATGGGAGGGATTCATAGGATGCATGTGCCATTAGCTGGACATAACGTCGACGTGGACAATTCCAAAGCTTTTGGATGATGTTCCAAAAGTTGTGGAGAATTGGAAAGGGGGTGTGAAATCAGTTGATGTGTTCATCTAAACTCACGATAAGAAAGATCGTCTTCACTAAAGTGAAGGATCTCTAGGAATCCTCAAAAAATAATCACTCAAACCAAGTGAAGAATTCACAAACCATAAAAATCATTCAATAGCTTCTTCCATCTACTCCTCGTCCTCAGCATCTACATCTACAACCTCAGGCTCCTCTTCAGCATCTTCTTCGACCTCCACATTTTCGCCATCATCAAGATCCACCAGATCTCCACCTCCATTCTCCAATTTAAGATACTCCTCCCATTCAGGGAACAAGTCTTCATCCTCGCCTGGAACACCAATCGTCTTTGCGACCTTTGCTTTCTTGTCTTTCTCTAGAGCCTCCTTCCATAACCCCACAGTTTTAGGCGTAAGACTCGGCTTGTAAGTTTGTGAGAACAGAACCGCTTCGGCTGTTCGTCCGGTTCTGGTGAGCAGGTCGATACATGCTTCTACGTCGCCAAGCTGCCATAAGCAGGTAAAAGCGACATTGTGAGCACCTGCTTCTTGTGCCTGGACGTTCAATGCCTGAAGCCCGTCACGGTCACCGGTGGATGAGTGGAGAAGGAGAAGCGAGCCGAGATCTTTAGCGTTTGTGAAGCATTCTGCTGCGAGAGCGATATCCCAACCAGCGAGAGCAGCATCACCGACAGTTTTCCACTTGTGTTCCACATCGGCCTCTCGCGCAAGCTCCAGAGCGATTGGTAACTGGCCAAGAGCGAGCGCAAGATCAAACTTATGCTCTGAGTCCGTTGCAACCTCGAGCGCCAACTCCTTATGACCCTGTCCTTCCAGAAAACGCGCAATTTTGTTCAGCTGGTCCTCAGGTATGGAGGGAAGAAGTTCCTCCGCTGACTCCATATCGCCTCGCAAAACAAGGGTCTGATACTCCACCACCGACAACGACAGCGAGAATGAGGTAACATTCACATCTTTGTCGGACAGGTAGATTCTAGAATCCCTCTGGATATATCCAAGGAGATACATCGGTTGGTCAAAATGTGATATGGTGTAGGTTTGGTCGCCAACGAGGTAGTTGAGACGATTCGTGCTGTTGGTATAAATGAAGCAATCGCCGACCCATTCTCCGGTTCGTACACTTCAATTGTCAGCAGTAATACTGACTATCAGGATGGAAGATGGTTTACCTCTCATTAATATCAGTGACAACTTCGAAAGCTGCTTCTACTCCGTCATCCTCAACCTCGCCATTTTGGACAGCAGAAACATATTCTTCGCGTGAGAATCGAAGAACATAAAACGTATCTTCGCAGGCGATGGCCACCAGTTCGCCGTTTTCAGACCAGTAAACCTGAAATTATTAGCGAAGCACAGGTTTTTCGTACAATCAAACAAACCTCTTTTGGGTCGACCTCAATTCTTCGAACCAAACCACCAGTCGCCCAGTCGTAGAATCCAACTCCACCTTGACCCTTGACACCAAGTAAAACGCCCCCAGTCAGACCTTCTGCCTGGAATCTAACATCTAATCCACCAGTTTTTTCAACGAAATTCTTGTAAATTTTGACACTCGTTGCTGATTCACGAATGGCATAATCATTGCTGTTATCTTTTGAACCCCAAACAAAATCGAGAGCAGAACCGAACGCTTTGTTTCTCCATGCCAACGCAGTATAAATGATGTATTCGCCATCACCACAAACAGACACGAATCGTCCATTGGGAGAGTGCAGAAGTGTCTGAGGATACACTTCACATTGACCAAGATCTTTCGTTGGCAAAGAAATTGGCTCATTGTCTTTCAAGGATGCGTCTGTAGCCAGGTTAGCATGTGGTTAGATTATAGGATAGACTCGAGAATTACCTCCACCCTTAATGATCGAAGAAACAACCTCGCTGTGTCTAGCCCAGATCAATTTTCCTGAACCATCCATAGAAACAGCTGGTTCTTCCCGTCCCATTTTCACCACAACCGCACCCTCGTCAAAACCAACCGCAACTCCCTGCTTGCCCTTTTGATAGCTAACACACCAAGCGCGCTCTAATCCATAGTTGAGAGATTGTTCGAGTCGATAGGTATTGGCATGCCAAATCTTGACCGTTCCATCTTCGGATCCAGAAATGATGACCGGGAGTTCTGGGTGGTAGCAAGCAAATGAAACATTGCTTGTGTGGCCTTCGAGGGTCGCGATCAGCGATTTTGTGGTATAATCCCAAATCTTGACCGTCCTATCGTCGGATGTGGTGAGAAGGTATGGTTTGTCTGATTGTGGGTAGTAATCAACGTGATTGACTCCTTTTGTCTCATGTGCCTCGAGGGTAAAATTGGCAGTCGAGGAGCCCAAACTCCAAATCTTCACAGTTCTGTCCAAACATGCCGAGGCGAATGTGTTGGTATCTTTTGGGTTAATCGCGAGACCCATAACATAGTGGCTGTGACCCTCGAAAACTTGTACACATTTCCATCCTTTATCCCAATCCCACAATTTAATGGTCATATCATCGGAAGCGGTCAGCACGAAGGGCTGAGAAGGGTGAACGACGATGGCTCGAATGTAATCTGGGTGGGCTTCGAAGGAGGTGATCTTCTCGGACGTGTTGTAATTATAGACACGTAGCTGAAAGTCATCGGAACCGCAGACGATCCAGTTCTTTCGCGAAATAAATCGTCCAGCTCGTACGGGCACATCTGTTAACTCGAATGTTTTTACTATTGCCTTTCGGAGGTCAGTCACTGGCATAAAATCCGCGGAGCCACAGAGCTTACCTGAGTCTCATACGACCATATGTAAACATGACCTGAAGCTATGCATCAGTACACTCCTTCCAATGTGCATTGAAACATACCGCTGTACAAAGTTGTCAAAATCCATGGCTCGACGGGATGGAAATCAATGCCCTTGACTCTTTCGCTACGGGCAAACAACTGCCTCTGCGATTAAAAGATAAGTTAGCAATATTCACAACCACCCTGGTCCCTCTTTCTTGTGCGCAGCGTCGGGCTCAGTTCTCAATTGTCCCCATGGAGGGGCAGCAGGTGTACAGCTGGGGCCCAAAAGATTTGACAACATCGCTCTCTCAAGACTTTGCAGAAGCTCACCTTCACGTCCAAACGCATCTTTGCCAATTGTTATGCTGAATTCGTCTGGAAAAATCGAGCGGTATAAGTGCTGCTTGTTGCTTTGCGTACAGGTGGAAAAGGCCACCGTGGTGTATGTTGACGCCTCGCGCAGGGGTATTGACGACGAAAGAACTAGGAAAATCCCAGAAGACCGATCAGAGTCTGCGACTGCGCAGGACCTTTTTTGAAAAGAAAATCGTGTACAATCGTCAGACGGCTTATTTTGACATTCGTGGTCGCTGGCAGCTTGAGGTTCCGTGGAAGTTCGCTAATTCCCAATCGGGTCAGATTGATGGATCCTTGGCAGAAAGCTGTTCACCGCCTAGATATTTGCAATACCAACTGACTTAGGCAGTAATGATATTAGGTTACACATATCAGAATTTAATGTGTTTCACACCTCCAAGGGACGAAAATCAAAACTCAGTAATATCATCAATTCGTTCATCTTTTTAAAAGGGAAAACACCGTTCCCAAGCTCGCAGCATTCATAATCCAAACCATGCCGGCTATAATATTCCCAATACGCTCATGACCCAACCCAATCCAATTTCGCCCAAAAACACTATCCCAAAAAATACAACTCCAGTCTATGCGTCGGCCTGGACCTTTTTGACGACCTCAACAACGTGGGAAAAGAGTTTGTCCTTCGACGTTAGTCCACAAACTTGCTCAACAACCTTTTCTGGTGCATTAGCCTTCATTATCTTTGCGAGTTCCGCTGACTCGTCATCACCCTCGACGTTCTGGAAACGGAAAGCCATCTCAGCAGCGTCGAGCAGAGCACCAAATTCATCACCTTGCTCGGCGAGCTCGGCGGCTGGAGCAATGAATCGCTCTTTGCGGCTCAACTTTCGGAGTGGTGCACGACCAACACGCTCAACCGCATCCTCAAGATGGGGGTTGCCAATTCGTGTGATGATCTTCTCAACGTAATCTTTCTGCTCCTGTTCATTGATACCGTGCTTGCCAACGATCAGTTTGCTTGTCTCCTTCAAAGCCTTGCGGACCTCGTCCACGATGGCTGGGTCTTGTAACGCATCGTAGACGGTGGTCTTCTGGTGGTAGTAGCCGTGATACGCTGCTGCGGCGTGGCCAGTGTTGACAGTAAAGAGTTTTCGCTCGATGTATGGGAAAAGATCGTCAACCCATTTAATGCCTTCAATGGCTGGGCAGTCGTGGTCCTTGAATGGTGTGGCGTCAACCACCCACTCGTAGAACTTCTCTAACTTCACATCCAGGCCAGCGCTTGGGTCCTGTGCTGGAACGATACGATCAATTGCAGAGTTTGCAAATCGAGCACGCTCGTGGTGGTCCTCCAAGCGACTTGGATCGGTGTTTTTCGCGTGTTTGATGTGTTCCGCTAAGGTATCGGTTGCCCCGATGGCATTCTCGCAGGCAATGACTGCAACAGGAGTGGCTTCGTTTGGTCTCGCGTCGACGCCCTTGGCAATGACAGGAGCGATAAACTTGAGAATGCTTGGGCCGACCGAGCAGGTGACAACGTCGGCAGTCGTGATTTCTTCGATGACATCGGCTTCGTGGATCTTCGAGTTGATGGCACGGTAGTTGGTGATGGTAGTTTCGGAGTTTCCCTCTGCTCCTACTTGGATCACTTTGTATGACTTGTTCTGCTGCAATTGCTCAATGATGCTGTCCATGACATCGCAGAAGACAACCTCATATCCGGAGTTGTGAAGGCTGATGTAACGATTAGCATGCTGACCCACATATTTGACGTGATGAAATTCGTAAGACGTAAGGGTAGTGGTAACTGCTCATCTGCAAGCCAGAAACGGGGAAAGGGAGGTGATACTTACAATTCAGCGACGAAGCCTCTGCCGATGTTACCAGCACCGAAATGAACTGCTTTCTTTCCCATGTTGGCGGTGGTGGTGGATAGGACTTGAGGTGTGTAGTGTGAGATGCGGGGTACTGTTGACTGGGGATGTAGGGGATGTAGTACAGTATCCAAAACAATATTGAAGTGACCGCTTGTATAGCTATAGGTAAACAAAGGTTGAAGCGGAGGGGAGTGAACCACACGCGAACAGTAACAGAGACGGATTGAATGGATATTTGACAACTTCACCAAGTCAACCACATGTCGGGGGTCCGTCTGAATACTTATACCTGCGTGGGTCCATGAAGGAAGGGGAAGAGGCGTGTAATGAGGCGTCCACGAGGCTGGCCCTGGTGTGAATTACCGACCGAGGATTGGATCATGGTGAGGGAGTGTACAACTGTCCCACGGTATCTAACCGGTATAGGAGGAAGTGAGGGGGGAAGCGAGGCAAGGCAGGAGGTGGTATTGGTTGCAGCGGGAGCCAAGCACGAACGTGATTCGACCAGCACCCAACCCGCGATGCGGTCATTCTGCGCCGGGTTTCTGTGGGGGATTATGTTCAGCAGCTAAGGATGCTAAGGGGACCGAGTGCGGTTTTAGGCTCAGTGACATAACGTTGTGCTGCGTAAATGACGCAGATGATTCCGATCGCAGGTTTTGGAGCCAAGCCCGAGAAGCGGACGGGTTCGTGTGTGAGAAATTACCATGCGGTTAGGATGAGAATCAGAGATGGTGAAAAGATGCATGAGGCAGGGAAAAAGGGTGGGCGGATCAAAGGGACGGTACGAACCATTTACACCCGGAGAGCGTGGTTGAGGCCGCCGACAAGTGGAGGAATATTCGCAAGAGGTAACACAGCAGATGCGGAAAAACGTTTTTACATGTTGTGAGTGTCTTACTGGAGAGCTGAACCAGTCACAGTATTCGAAGCAAACGATCTTTTCATTGCATCCTCTTTGACCGAATTGTGCATTTATCCCCATGTTTCCCCTCGGTCCTACTTAGTTCTCGCGCGATGAGGAAACTCCACCACCCCGATCTCACGATCCAGTGATCCACAGATACGTCGACCCCACCAGAAAACGGTTGATGGAGTGCTCTCCGCCTGGGGTGAGTCCAACTCATCTCTGGAGGAACGAAGTATACATGAATTTGTTTACAATAATATTGACATGGACAGACTCATTTTCCAGTACTCATCCATATGGATGGTGAGGTGATGGGTCTAATTTCTTCTGCAGCATTATTGACTATGTTCCCCGAGCTTTATCTTCAAGGTTATTCATCATCAGGTCACTAGGTCTTAATTCTCTATCTTCGATCCACTTCCTCCAGCATACGATGCAAACGAGAGTCTGGCCCTCTGCACAGCCTCGGAATCTCACGATGTCACGATAACGAGTCTCACGATGATTTACTTTACCCCTCTATCGCGTCTATCCTACTATCTAGCCCCAAATACCTCGCAGGAAACGCTCCGTCCTTTCCGCCAAAAAGGTAAATTCAGCGAGGAAAACAAGTCCCGAATCACAATTCCATTCTCTCAACCTGTCAATTCCCATCGCTTCCACACATGCAACAGAGAAAAACACAATCACAACATCGGTCCAGTACATTATCACTCACCACGTCTCGCGCCGGCCCGTGAATGCCTAACCTCCCTCTCTTTCCCAGGGTCCAGATGCAATACCCTGCACGAAAACATCTCACGGCACGAAAATACCATTAAGTGTTATTCTTCCGACTTGAAATCTCAGATCTTTCATCATTTCAATGTCTCTTCGCTACGGAGACGGACCGAGGGACTTGATAAAGAGGTGTGGTGGGGTATGGATTGATTGTTTCTGGCCCGAGTCAACCCGAAAACAAACGATAGCTGGAGCAGATTGCGAGGTTTGTTCCCACGTGTTTGAATATTCGAAAGCAGTCTATGGAACTGGTCTATATTGTTTCGAGGAGGCTCTTCGATGGAGAAGAGGGTACCTCGAGTCCAACACACGTGACATGCGACTATCCTCGCTGTGCACCTCCAGCCTTGACGCTTAATCTGACAAACGCAGCCTTTTTCAAAAGTAGATTCACCTGTGTCGATATTCGAATTTCCGTGGGAAAGGGACAAAGATAATTGTGGTCATCTTCACGTGGTCTTTGCGCCCCACGCTGGTCTGGACTCTGGAATTTTTTTAGCTCCGTGCCCGCCAACGACCACAGATCGTCCATTGCACAATTCGCAACCATTTACAGTTGATTGAACTGTATGTGTTCTTGTTTCAGCAGGGGTGATGTTCTCAACTTCCGGCTAATATGGTCATGTCCACCATTAAAGAGATTGGATCTTCCTACTGTCAACTCCCCAACCTCATCGGCCTACAACCTCACCACACACAAGACAAGTTGCAGTCGAATCTCCATACCATTTCTCCAGTTGGTGCCAGTTGACACAATATCGCGTTTCTCCTTTCGTCGACTTCAGCAACTGAGACACTGTTATCTCTATTTCAAAGATACAAAATGGATATCTTGCTTAGAAATGTGCAGATAATGGTCCGGGGTTTCCCATACTCGTCTGTGGATCTTCTCGATTATAACTCAAGCTCTTGGTGGTCATAAGGCACGGGTATCGAGATGATCGAAAGCCTCGAACTGAACTCCCAACTTCAACACCCGAATGTCATTTCAGCCTCCGGAGCCTCGACGCTGGACCTCTCTACGCTCGACACATCACGATCCAGGCCGTTTCTATCAAGGTTAGCAGGATATGGAGGAACGGATCCATCTTCTTAGATCAATCTCCTGGAGCTACTTGCAGAGAAATGAATAGCTCTCTTGGGAATGCAGGCACAAACCCAACATCGCGTCGCATGATGGCGATACATTTCTATGATTATATGTTCTTGACGCCAACGGTCTTTCTGTTGAATTGGTTGACTGATCGATTCGAAGAGCGAATTCGCAGAAATCAAAATTATTCTTGCTGCTGAAGAGATCGGCAAGGTTGGTCATATTCTACTTTTCTTGCCTTGCATACCTTCCAAAAACATTACCGCACGTTCATCTTTGCCGAACTTCCATTAACTGCTGATACATTTTGATTTTACTCCATTTCGAACACGATTGTATTTTAAGATGATCCTTGCGAAAGGTACACACCTTTTGATCACATCGTTGAAAAGGGTTCTGACATTTTGGAAACTAAGCCGCTTGCTTGATTGCTACACTTCCCCTTCATTTATGGAAACGCATACACCTGTTGGTTCACAAGTTATGAAGAGGTGTCTGAAGTATGTTCATCGTATTGAGAGGTTTACTTTATTTCCTCATTGCAAAATGCAGATTTTTATCAGCAAGAGTGTACAACCTGGTTAGACTACCTCCTCTCACGATTTCTTCCTCAAATCAAGCAGGGTCCATGAATCGAGTCGAATCACAGGCCTGAAGATTAATGTTTTCCTTTTTCTCCAAATTTCATCTGCGAATCTTCACCTAGCAGATGCGGAAAATATCGACCCTGTTATTGGCATCTTGTCGTCATTCACGAGTCTTCTCAATCAGTTTTCCCCTATTATTGCCCATATCTGTCTTGTCGAAGCATGAGTAGGGAGTTAATCATCACAAGAGTTGCTATACATTCTATTTTCTGAGGATTGTTAGATCTCCTGCTTTTATTCATGTTTTCTATTTATGCTTAATGTTATTCCTCCATTTTCCAATCTACTATGATATCCTGTCTATTTAGGCCTGTATTTTCTACATCCCTCTCAACTTTTACGCCTCTGTCCTCAAGATTTTCCAGTTCCTGAGAGTCTCAACCACTCTGCCCGTTCTATATCAGACCAAAACACGTCGAATACTTTCACACTACTACCCGCCAACATGTCGCCAGTGAGAGGCGAGAAACCAGATCTCACCACAGCCTTAACGACGAATAATCCCGAAGTCCCAATCCAAAACCGTGCGTCTGCCAGTATCGAGAGTTTTCTCTATTTGCTAGAGGCTTTCTCCACTCTACCATCAAGCAGAGCCTCAGAAGTAGGGAAAGAAGACACCAGCACCAACGACACAAAAAATGACACCAACAATTGCCCCATTTTGGATACCGAAACAATATCAGAAAACCACCTAGAGAGACCACATCCTCCACAAAAGGCGAACATGGAAGCCAAAGCAGTGGAAGTGGAAGTACGATATCATCCTTGATAGACTCCTATGTTGATGCTGAGACCTCCAACAACGCAGCAATATCCCTCGAAACGAGCGTTTTAGATAACGCATACTTCCGCTACTCCACCGGGCTGGACCCCGAAGCTGGGAATACCTTTGTGATGCCAGTTCCAGAAGGCAGCGTTACTTTTAGTCCCGCGAAACGGTGTCAGAGCACGCATTTGGGGGATGGGGGTGATGAGGGTGTCGATGAAGATACAGGTGGCGGACCTTATGCTGATGGGTTTCAAAATTCTGCGGTAGGTGATGACGAGGTTTAGAACGCGGCGCTTGCTACTGCTGTGTTGGCTTTTGTTGTTTTGAGTCTGGAGGAGGGACTGAGGTGATGAGATGGTGTGATGGGGATGGATAAGCGAGATTCAGTTGTGAGGCGGATAAAATGATCAAGAGTTAGAAACCGATGTTTCTCGTATCGAGTAAGCACAATATATATGCTCCATCAATTATTTCTAGAAAATGACATCTTGTCAAGGCCTACCCTTAGTCGACTTATTCAGTTCAAAGACTAGCGTGCAAATAAATAACTGACGGTCATCTTGTCCTCCGCGTCACGGTTTAGGATTCGAGAAAAGGCTGGCTGAAATAATACTTACGAATGAATATCAATCAATCCTACTTCTCGTCATATACGTGTGTATTACCGCAAAGAGAAAGGCTCTCTGTGAAGTGAGCTAGAAATGTGAGTGTTAAATCTCGATTGCAGCATTCGTCGGTATGTTTCCAATCGCAGGTACTTCAAAGCTATAGGGAACTTGTCGCATCTCTATCTAGTAAATCCTAGATCTTCGAAACATCCGACGATGCCGATGTACTTCTTGTTGTCGTCACACCACGAGTCTGGGGAGTTAACACCGTTTAAGACAAGACTTTAGAACGAGTAGCAGCACCTCTAATATCCACATCTCGTGTCCGCTGGTGGAAGTGCAATGAACGTATGAAGCACTAGGTTGAATTTCCTGTCCGCCAATTATTGCTCTTAGCTTTCTTATTCACTTTGCACGATGAGCAGCAGTCGGAAACAACGTTACATGTGCGGAGAAGCGGGCCAAAAGTTTTAAGGTTACTAGGAGCGCTCTAAAGGATTAACGTGCCGAGTGAACTGCGTCAGGTCTGGATTTGAATGCTGCTGGTCTTGGATAAATTAGCATCTTGGCTTTAAAAGAATGCGTGGAAATTTGTTTGCTAACGTCTGGAAGGTGTGATTTTATGCTACGAGGAACAAGAATAACGATGCCTTATGATCTTCATCTGCGACCAATGCTACCTTGACGCAGTTTGTAAAACCATGCCGATTACTGTTCAAACCCCGAATGTTGTTGCTCTCTCTCAGATTCATAAACCCATCATTTATCAATGAACAACAAATCATAGTCGGTACAGACTGTCACGCCTCTTAATCCGGTGCGGATTGGAACTGACGTTTCTACCCAGTCGTGTATCTTGAAAAGCTTATTTCAGCCCTATAAAGGGGGGTAGGAAGTGCTGACAAGCGAGCGGGGATTTCCCAGACAGACCCGACGAAGGTCTAGATTTTCACAGCTTGAGATCCACAATGGACGAAGATGATCACTAAAGATATCGCAGTTAGTGGTAATTGGAAAAGTTAATTTTTCGACTTGGAGAGGATCTACATTTTGTTGTTCTTCTGAGTCTGGGGCTTTTCGGGTTGTCGAATGAAGGGAGTTCATCAAAACTCCTCATGAAATGTTGATGGAGTATTCTCTCGTTTGAATGGTTTATCAGAAACTATTGGTCGATGTGCATTTCGTTTGTAGTCAAAAGTTCATGCTGCCTTGAAGCCTAGCTGTGACGTATACTTGGGCAGTTCAATATTATTTGAACCTTTCGAAGTGTGTGAGGCGTCTAATAACTGACCACTTGGGTATTTTCAGTAATGCGCTTGCTCTCCTTCAACTTCCTTTCTTTGGAGGAGATCGCCAGTACGACCCCTCCCGGAGGATTGTCCCCCCACAAAAGCGCTAGTTCATACTTTTAAGGTCGCGTTGTAGGTTTCTTGGCTAGATTATATGCGTTTAGAATGATGTAGTTCGAGATTAGTGATGGAACTAATGTTCTCAAGCGTGGCAGAGAGTAACATACCTTACATCCACGCAGTTCTATTCCTCTCTTTCTTTTCTTCCCAATTCTCATCACAGAATTTCCCAAATCTTTCGTTCAACCAGATTTCACAGTCTTCAACAGCTTCACACACACTTCTACCCATCTTTACCACCAAGCTCTTCAAATATCCACAACCAAAGCTCTTCAAATCTCTCCAACATATCATCAAGCAAACAAGCGCGATGCCTCAACTCAGCACACGCCAAAATGCTCGCAAATTTAAGCCTGCCATGCCAAAATCTACAGAGTGGAAATCTGAATGTAAGACAAACATCATATCTGATCTGACATTGGGCTGACCATTTTCAAGATCTTCAGGCCATGCGAGAAATTGCGAGAGATCACCTCGAAGAATATGTCGAACGATATTACGACAGTCACGATGACGCACCCAACTGGCGCGAAACAGCTTTCGCTCCCATCTCGGAGGCGGAGGAAGATAATTACATGATCGAGCAATTTCAGAAGGCCATGGCTAAGGGGCAGCTCTACACGAGCAACATCCTCGACGGCCACATGGACAAGATCGAAGCTGCCATTGAAGCGTCAGCAAAGAGGGCCAAAGAGAATATCAACCCAGCGGAGCACTTCAACCAAATGGAGTCCAACGCAGCAACCTCTTACAACCTCAACCTCGATGTCCACATGGTCAAAGTCGATTCAGCCATCGACTTAGCCGCAAACACTTCCAAAGATCAAACCCCCAATGCGGAGCCGCTCAAGAGCCACAATCCTCAACCAGCAGCTCCATCTCATCTTCCTCCAGCCGAACATCTCAATCCAATCGAGACTTCCAGCCACTCATCCACCGAGACAGCAGCAAAGACAGATCACGAGAACGGCTCAGCGCAATTCAAACATACCAATGCGATGAGACCGGTGATCATCACTCCAAGTCCCACTTTCTTGGAGGCTTCAAGCGCTGCAATCGAGGTGATGGAAGACGATCAGGACTCCGAGAACATCAACGCAACGAAAACAGGGACTGAGAAACATCATCTCAAGTCACTATTGAAGAGCATCTTCTGCTTCAGAAAGGTCTAATCAGATCGAAGCAACAGCGTTGGCATTTCTGGGAGTTCTGGGTATTTGGTTTTTGGGTATTCTCACGGGTTTCGGCCCATAGCGATTGTTTCTGTATCCTAAAAAGAAATAAATCATTTCTCAGCGACGTCCAATCGATTTTGTATTGTGAAATGTGATGTTTATGTTGATGTTGTCAAGTGAAGTCAAGAAGTTGTCGGCGATATCCCTGCGCATCCCCTGCATCCCCTAAACATCCCACTGTAAATCCCCCGCATTTTCTTCAGCTGAAGCGAACGCCACAACCCCTCCATGGCACGACATCTCTTGACTTCAGCTCGACCTCAACGTCAAGATCATTGTCGTCGTCGTTGTCGCATCCACTGAATTCATGCATATTTAAAATTAACGGCCCCTTTGTCCAGATCAATAGACGGTTATTTGGAAATTTTGAGTTGACGCATTACAGCGCGTAACAGCATGTCCGTAGCGACACAGGCCACTGTCGCCAGTCTACCAAGATTGACGGCAGCAGAATTGAGCGACATTTTACTCAAGCAAGGAACCGACAGTCTGGATGTGAAAAACGATATCACTGTTATTGATGTGAGAGATGACGGTACGATCATGCTCCCTCTTGCCGTCTCTTCAAACTCATTGTCGCGAAGCTGCCAAACACCCTGCTAATCTCTGCATCTCAAACAGATCACATCGGCGGCCACATTCGAAATTCCCTCCACGTTCCTTCCGCTACACATGCCACCGCATTACCCTCTCTCGTCCACAAGCTACGCGATAAACCAGTCGTTGTCTTCCATTGCGCGCTCTCCCAAGTTCGAGGCCCCAAAGCGGCATTACAATACATAAGAGAACGGGAACGGTTAGTTGGACCGGGCAGCACAAGAGTGACTGCTGTCGTAGACGATGCGGAAGAGTTGGTAGTCGGGAAGAAAGGGCCTGGAGTAGGGGAAATGCTGAAAAGAGATCGGGAAGAGCAGTTGAAACGTGAAGAGAGAGGGGTTTTAAGGCATGAAGTTGAGGAAGGAGAGGAAGGCTGGGAAGATGTTGATCGGGAGGGTCAGGTTGTTCAAGATAGCCAGGCCGCAGGCGATGAAAAGCAGAAGCAGAGGGTTTTGGTTCTGGAGGGGGGTTTTGTGGAATGGCAGGCTGTACATGGTGAGGATGAACGACTGACAGAGGCATACAGCAAGGAGCTTTGGAAGGATGCATATTAGATATACCCAGCCTTGCTTTCAACGGGAATCGGAGCATAAGGGAAAAGCTTGCAGCGCATCACCGACAACCCAGTTGGTGGTTTCAATCAGCAAACTCAGCATTACTGGATAATCTCAGTCCTAGCAACTTCAGATATCATACCCAGATATAATGCCCCAACTTCAATGGAACTTCTACCTATATTTCAAGGCAATACGTTCAATTGCTATTGCTTTCAGTTCTTCTATGTTGGACACTATGTCCATTCTTTGTATCGCCTAAAATCGATGCATAAGGTTTCATTATAATCACTCAAAAATATCAAGACAATATAATTTAAAGTACAGTAAGCGATTCAGGGAGCTCTCATACTTTCCGGGTGCCATTCGGCTTCAAACGCTTGGTTTTGTCCAGTACATTTCCTCGAAGGGTTATATGTGCAGTTGTGTCGAACCGGCTCGCTCATCACAGACTACCTAGCAATACACTTAAACATCAAGCTGACTTTTCACCCGAAAATGTTCTCTTGCTCTTCAGAACCCATCCTTGCAATAATCACAGACATACTTTCTTCCGCTTCCTTTCCCATCTTGGAGAAATTAATGTCACTTACTCACAATCTTTTCAATTTCGTCCATCGCCCATGGTAACTCCGATTCTGTTAAATTTCTTTTCTTGCTTCACATAGGCGGTTGTTAGATAAAATTTACGTGTCACTAATTAGAGCGGTTCATTTCTAGAATAATAGATCGCGATGGCGTGGTCGCTCGGTGCTTCGACAGAGATTAAACGACTTTTAGTGGATGGCTCGGATTTGAAGGATTTTGGTAGTTTTCACACATTTTTGTGCTCCAATAAACACAATTATGTGTAGCGACAGATGATGTGAGTAGCCAAGACAGTAATCAGCGGAGTTTGATAATTGGAAGCGGTTTCTGGCAATGGCTGGCACGTTAATGAGAAGTGATTTATTGCAGGCTTTTGTAGGCTTCTGCCTCTTCTCGCCTCAACACACTTTTGTTTTTCGGGTACGACGTTCCCCAGGAAAATTACGTGTGGAAAACCGGTAAAAAAATTCTACTCATCAAAATCTAGGCGCCTTATTCAGAAAATAGGGAAGTGACCTAACCAAGAATCCACTTCGTTCCGAGGACCTAACCACAAGTACGGTACAATACTAACTTTGCAATTTGACTCAGAATGCCCCTGATGATCTGGTACATCCTTGATTGAAACTATCTCGAAACTCTTTGCGAATTAAGTGACCTAATCGTTGGCTGTCTGTTCCCATTCTTCAATTTTCGCGTCGCAATGGTTGAACATCAAGATTGAGTTGTTACCCACAAACCTTGCCTAATTCGAAACTGAAACTAGCAGCTCGCGTATTCTGAACCATCATGTTAGATCAGTTGAAAACCCTTAATTTAGTACTGCACCTAAATACCAGTTAGGTGCGTTACTTCGTAAATATGAAGTCACTGTTCTATACTTTAGCTGGAAGGGTATTACCCTCTCTTTGCACTAAATCCATATATGTCCCTAATAAAAATAATAAGGATACTCCTTCTTGTCCATCTCCTGCGAAAATGTTTCGAAAATATTGACCCAACGCACACATCACTTTTCTCGAAGCAAACACCACTTACTATAACCGTCCATCAACCATCCGCCCAAACCGCAAATAAAATGTCTTCAGATGCCCCGCAAATCAACGTGACAGTCTCTGTATATAAATCCGATGATTCCTCGGATAATCCGACTGGGGCTTACATTTATATCGCTTGTTTCTTCGGCACTGCCATTTTTGGCTACTTTTTTGGGAAAAGAATCTGGACAGCATGCGTCCAAGGTCCGAGACGATGCGTTAACAGATTGAGAACAAAGAGGATCGACGAAGTGCAGTTCGCTGAAAGAGAGCTTGGAATTGCGGCCAATACTCCAGCTAGGAATTTGTTCCATTTGCAGACGCGCCGTGATGATGAGCCACAAAGACCTGCGCCTGTTTACCAATTGCGGACATATTGAGGTAATTGCTGGTTGACCCTAAATCTTGAAGAAGTTTACTTGGAGAGAACATGTCGAGAGAATGCGCTTCGTGAAAGGAGAAGCATGTGGTGTTGCAGGATAGAATTGGTTGAAATGCGGAACGGAGACGGAATGAAGAAGAGAGCTGTACTCGTGGGGAATTCTTCACCAAAGCGACATTGAATTGTGCTAGTGTGCCCATTATATCGTCGTCTGTCGCAGTAAATCTAGAGGCTGAGTGCACGAGGAAGGGGAGTTTATGGGCGAAGTTTGGATGGCTCTACTTACCGCTGCAACACTCTTATCTTCATGCACTTCATCTGTCTGATGGTCTCAGGAGCTGAAATCAAAAAGATGCAGGCTTGATTCACGGCGCTTTCGTTTAAATGCAATTGATCTCCGAAAGAAGGGGGCCATGGAACGACATCTCCCGTCTTTTCAAAGCCCGAGAGGTAACTCACCAACTCACCTCCTTCAAATTCTAAAAACGACTCACGACTCCAAACCGACGTACCCTGACAACTTTTTTAATTGGGTGCGGTGTCAAAAATCTGTATCAAGACCCTCGCTTTGCTCCCTGGACACTTGGCAATGACATCTGGAGAGTTCTCGGGAAAGGGGAAGGGAAGCGATCATCCTACAATATTGTATAGTTTAGTTCATATTTAGGATTCCCACTTTTCTCGCATTCATGAAGACACCTGGGTATCTACAAATAACTTTGGGCTCGTACGTGCGCGCTTAAAATTTGAAATGAAAAAGAGGGTGTTCCATCTGTAGGTGCTCGCGGTGGACAAAAGAAGTGGCAGTCGTCGACACACGATATTTCTTCGGCTTAGTTGACGAAATATCGTATATTTAGTGGATTAACTTGGAACATTATTAAATATTCTGTCAATAGTATTAAGTAAATCAGACTTTTTGAGCTTTATTCAAAGTCGACGAGGCAGTCTAAGATTGATGGATAGTGTGACTGACTCTTATGTTGTGATCCGCGAGAAGTGACACAGCATCCTTGAAAAGTTGATTTCACTTTAGACTGCTTTTTTAACCACGCAGAAGACAATGTTTCAAGTACCTACGCTTGAATGAGGTATTGAAGCCAATGAAACACTAAGTATGGGTTGTATCGCATGATCAACTACTGAGAAAGATATTGTGGATGCGATGAGGAAGCAGAACAAAAAGAAGGTATATACGAGAATCATCTTCTATCGTATATTTTAGCAAAATATTTGGTTTCAAATTCCATACCAGCTTTCGAACCCAGAGTCCCCTCGACATCTGTGATACCCAACAAAATCCAAGATACACGATCTGAGTTCACGCAACATATTTGACGGCCCTAGGAGCTGGTCCGTATTGAACCTCATGTCCGCCAGGAAGTTCTGTAAGCCCTGTAGCAGAAACCTAAATTAGTATTGTGCTTCCAGAAAGCAAAGAAGTTTAAAAGCGGAGTGTCGAGTAACTTACAGCCATCAATATTCTCATTAACAACAGCCTTTTGAGCACATTTGTTCATCGCAGCAGTATTCTGAGTCTTGGCTCCCGCACAGTTCACGACACAAGCGGTGTCCAAGATTTTCTGAAGCGCATCTCCCTTCCAACCAAACACGTAATCGGCATGATTCGCATAACCGGTAGCATCGCCAAAAGACCATACGAAAGGTTGACTTCCATCAGCTGGCCAATCAGCTTTGTTGTTGAACTTCGAAGTATCCCAAACCACCTCAAATAGTACTTGAGCTGTGCGGACAGGGTGACTGGCTGGGCATGGACCTCCGCTTTCAAATGTGCCGGACTCGGGGTACGCCATGTGTGCCATGTGATCTGGGCTGTCGAGGTTCTTTCCGTCCCAGCAAGTGGGAAAGCGTTGGTTAACCATTATTCCCGCCTTGCAAGGCTTTTGTGGGAAATTGAGGGTCTCTGGCTCGCGAGTTCCTGCACTCATGTTATTAATGTACGGCTCTTGTCAGCGGCAATCCTTTCTCCGTTGGAAGTGAAAGCATTTCAGCCAGGAAATCTGCGATTTCAAGACCTACCAGTATTTTCCATACACGTATAAGTCAGTTGACGATACTTGGTCACTTCTGCCTTAGATCGAGCGTTGACGTCGCCAATGAACATGCGAAATCCCTAAGTAATCCTGATCAGAAACTCGTGTTGACCGTTGCAATGAGTCTTGGGTGCTTACCGGCTTGAATGCAGTGACTTTCGACTTTTGGGCCGTATCGTAGAGGGCATCCTGCATGTAGTAAACTGTAATTCCGGCCGTTGCACCAGAAATCTGGGATGTCTGAGGAACACGTTTAAATGTACCATTCTTGGCGCGGAAGTACAGAACAGCAGTCCAGTAATTCGAGAAATCTCTGCAGCGCAGTTAGTGTTGGGGATCATATAACAAGGGAAGGAAAACCTTCTCGCTGAAAGAACATGTTGTACATGTGGACTCAGCGGGCATATCCTTTTTAGGATCCATGGTAGCGTTGAAGGAGTTCTGAGAGGTCAGCTTATTGTGTTTATAGGGGATTGATCACTAACTCCGCCAACGATCTGATGCACATGAGTAGATGGAAGCATTCCGGGGTTGACCAAGGGGTCAAGTCTTTCGACTACAAGTTGAGAGCATTGAAACCGAATGAGCGCGCTGCCAAAAGTGGCAAGCATGAGCACCAGAAGTGCTTGATTAGTTGACTTCATGTCGTCGTTTCTCGGGGCTCTTCTCTTGAGTATTGGATTGAACTTTGGAGAACTGAGAGGAAAGTCGACCTTGAATACGGAGTCCCGATATCTTTTAGCTTCTCTTGTACACCTTTCTTAGAGAGGTCTTGGAATGGATGCTTGATCATTTATCTCCCAATATAATTGCCGATACTCAAGACTAGTGCTCAATGTGACCCTACCAGATCGTCGTTATCTATGAATAGACGAACGACAGGCTGGGTAATTGCCGGGAGGCCGCTTTGTGTAGGAATCAGGAAAGTTTTGAGGATTTTAATATCGAACCGTCCGATGATATTCGTCATTGGTAGCTGCGGGTTAAACACAGCAGTCAACCTATGAAGGTTTGCCTCTGGCATCCGTACCGACCAACACCCTAGTATGTCTTCGGAACTAAGGAGCTCGATGCGGGGTACGATGTTTTAGAGCATTCCCTGGGATTCAAGCTTTTTGCGCTACTTGAGAATTAAGTGCGACCATCAAAACAAGACAGATGGAGCAGTCAAGTGCTCCTTTCGCTAATCTCAAAAAGACTGGCCTTTTTGATCCGCCAAAGCCGCATTTAACTAAATTTACCATATCATAATTTCGAGTGGCCAAATAGTCTTGAGATTGGGAAACCAAGAGAAATATAAGAATGAGATATTTGGTCAGTTAGTCTCAAAAAAAGACAGTTCTTGTCATGTCTACTAGCCCAACTGTGAAGTCATGTTCGGATATCTGCCAGATCTTAAAATACCAAAGAAGTTTCAAGTGCAACCTCAAAAATAGGCAGAAAATCGTTTTTATAACTTGGTATTTTGAGCCGAAGAGTCGTAAATAATAGGGGTAATGAAATACGTCGGCAAGCATAACAATGAAATAGATTTAATACTGATCGCCAAGGCCATCTACTAAATAATATAATCGGCAAATGAATCATCGGTAGTTACTCTTGAGCTGATTGTGCAAAAAGCGTGAAGTGCCGAGTCTCGAGGAATCTGGGGTAACTCAAGGTTGGCTTAGCCAGTTATTTATCCATAGTAGCCACTCACTGAGATGCAACCGTCTTTATCGTCAAGTAAACTCGCGTATCTGGGAGCGCACATGGCCATTTGGGAATAAATCTTGAGACGGCCAACTTCATACCCAATATAATCACTGCGTGGTTGTCAACACAAGAAAAGCAAAGCAGTTTTCAAATACAACAAAGCCACTCACGAGCCCAAGTCCAAGATGCATATCCACTTCAGTCTAATCGCTATATTCCTTCCTATAATTCTTGCGGATGGGCCTTGCGTTGTGGATTCTGATAATTGCAGAGCAGTTATTAATGCAAGCGCTTGCTTCAATAAGTTTCTTGGGCAGGGAAATAAAGCAAACATCTTGAGTTGTCTTGCTGGTACTGAAGGGGACGCAACCCCAACAGTGAAAGTAAGACGGAGATGACTGCCCATTTACGACCTAGCTGACTAGTTGAACACAGATGTGCGCTTGCACTGGTTGCGTTGGACCGATGATGACAGCCTTCCTGACGAAAAACAAAGTTTGCACATAACGTTGGGATGGATTTGTGTTTGTCGTTGAGATTATGGATATACAGTTTTTCAAATTGTACATGAAGGAAAACCATTGAGGCCATTCTTTGAGATGATTTGGGAAACTGGACAGATATGTGAAATAATCATCGTGGGCTTCGCGTATGAGACTCTGGTCGTCGAGACACAATATGTGAACGCGAACACATTCGAATGCGCAACCGGCATTTGAAAAAGAACATGTCAGCCCCTGATTATACGGAGTACTCGGAAATGTTACAGTTTTGGTGCCCTTTGATGTTTGGCTCCACAGTGGTCTTTGAATACTGTAAGAACAGGCCGAGTTCAAATTACTACCAGCCAAGTTAGTCATCCTGCCATTTCACAGACAAAACAAGTGCCGGAACCCCATTCCTTACTCAAATAGAGTTTCAAGTGTCTCGTTGTTGAGAATGATAGATGCAATTCTCGATGTTTGATCAACCTGGTAGAATGAATATCGTGTTTTCACTGCCACTTATATTGTTCGCTGAGACGGCGCATCCAGTGCTAGAGACGACAAGGGAGAGATTTGAATTTGGTATCGTTTGCTCATTACTCCTCTTGACGCACGTAACATGCTTCAAAGATCCGCGCATGAAGTCTCGAGGTTGAATGCCATTGTGCTTTTGAGATTGCGCTGTGCCAGTCGTGGGATTGTGCATGATTTGTTACTTGTTCCCATCCATTGATCTGTCCAAGACTAGGCTATAGCCGCTGAGGATCTCTTGGTCGTTGGTGGCTGGAAAAGCTTGTTTGATATCAGCTGTGGGCGTGGAAGCGCCGCACTATCATGGTAGGATCCTCATGGCCGTCAGAGAGCTGCTGTGTTGATTGAAGTCCAAGAAACTCGTGAACTAGCTTTAAACAGTTGACGAAATGTCTACTAGTGACATAAAGATCGCTCCTCTTATCTTGTGTATTTGGAAAATAGAAAATAGAAAATAGTTGTCGGGGAAGGTGAAGAAGAGGAACAAGGAAGACACGAGCGCAAGATGTCAGGATAAAGTCCCGTGATCAAGGATAATCTCCCTGGTGGCCGCTATCTCCGAATGCTCCACCCCGTTCTCTATTATCGATCAGATTTAATCTCGTACATAGCTTTTATATCCTACTTTCAGCATTTGGCTTTGAGTTCTTATTTTTGTTTATTGATTCTCGCGCCCTTCTGATTTTTCCGTCCAAAAAACTTCTCCTTACGAGCTGTTCCCCTGCGCCGCTTGACGTGACGTTCTATCGTCATCTCCGAAAACACGAAACAGTTCAACTTTGACTTCAAGCGCGCTCGACTGCTCCTCATCGCATCTTGACAATTGCAAAGCCGTAGGACATTTGGAAGGTCAACTCTTTCATTCGAGCAATCGTATAGAGGTACGTGTATGTGTTTTCCATTCGTCGTGTCGTCCAAGACTTTATTTGTATTCGGTCTTCATGTTCCTGGATCGAAAGGAGCCTTCCTTCGACTCGATTTGGCAACAACACGCCACCATCCATTCCTTCACTCCGGATGTATTGGCAAATCCATTCTCATTTTCAAATACTGGAATTTCATTTGTATCTCTACTCTGGGGAGTCTGTATTACGACTGTTAGCCAGCTATACAGCCAACTTTGAATACACTTCCAGTTCAGATAAAACCAACACATCTCGCTTAATGAGCAGACGACCGTCAGCCCGTACAACAATCTGTTCAAAAACACATTATCACCGATTTAAGTGCTTACTCGTGAACAGTTTTTTTACGGTCCAGTAAAGTTGCACATACCGTAATATATGATGCGGTGCACTATTCTCTGAGATGCGGAGCATTTGTAGCACAGCCTTAATTATTACCAGGCACTCATCATCAGCCTGCCAAACGTACTCCTCATTTGACGATTTGGGAGCGGTTATTGCTCGCTTGAACCATCCAGCCTGAACCCTTTTCAGTCTCCCTTCGTCAAAAATTACCGAAGTCGACTCTCATCCATTCACGTTATCAAAAGCAAGCATATAATATGCGATGGAGTCCTCTAGGGTTTCCGGCGAGTATCAACTCTGCCAGCTGGAACATCCACATCTTCTTCTGGTGGTCTGTTATTATCTTCTCGGTCATCATGCTTACCCCGGTATTCATTCTCGGCCTCCTATTTGGTCTCATTACAGAGTCACATGGGCAAGACAATAAATTGGTGGTGGATCTAGGCTACGCAAAATACAACGGTTTTGTGGGCGAAAAGGGAATGAACCAATGGTTCGGTATCAGATATGCCGCTCCGCCTACTGGCAACAACAGATTCCGAGAACCTCAAGACCCTGCCGATAATCCGGAGGTCCAACAAGCAAACAAGGTGAGTTAGGCATGATGAACTATCGCTGTGCAAAGTCTGACTTCATTTAGCGCACTCCAGTCTGTCATTCGTCGCCATCGACGAAACTAAATCCAGACCAAAGTGAAGACTGTCTTTTTCTGAACGTCTTTGCTCCAGCGAAGGAAACGAAGCCTCGCGCTGTCCTCGTCTGGTTCCAGGGCGGAGGACTGAACTCGAATGCTGACGCGAATGGTGACGGATCTAGTCTGATCGCTGCTGCCGACAATGACCTGGTTGTAGTCACTTTCAACTTTCGAGTGGGTGTCCATGGTTTTCTTGCCAGTAAGGAAGTCAAAAAGGATGGAAATCTTAATGCCGGTCTACTAGATCAGCGAAAGGTCTTGCACTGGGTTCAAAAGAATATCCACCTCGTAAGCCGGGCCCCTTTCTTTTGACATGTAGCAGGAACATTCTAATCAAGATCTAGTTCGGTGGAGATCCAGAACGTGTCACCATAGGAGGCGGTTCTGCTGGAGGGGGCGCTGTATCTCTCCATCTCACTGCGTATGGAGGCAAGAATGAAAATTTGTTCAGCGCAGCGGTGGGTGAAAGCGCCTCTTATGGGGTTCAATACACCGTCGAAGAATCGCAGTACCAATACGATGCCTTGGTAAAAAGAGTCAAATGTGACAAAGCCCCGGACACTCTGAAGTGTCTCCGTGACTTGGACATCAAAACCCTATCCGAGAATAACCCAAATGTACCAGTGCCAGGCGGTGGTGGTGGAACACCGGTATATATGTGGTCTAATCACATTGACGGCGACTTCACCCCGGATTGGTCATATAACCTCTATGAAACTGGAAAATTTGTCAAGGTTCCAGTAATATTTGGGTAGGATCCCCCCGGCCACCCTGAGTAACATCCTCGAAAAATTGCTTACACGTTTGCAGAGCTTGTTCAAACGAAGGAACTACCTTCACGCCTAAAAACCTCGCCAACCAAAGCGAAATAGACAATTTCATGAAAAACAATTACCCGAAATTGACAGAGGAGGATCTGGCAACCGCTGCTTCCTTATATCCAGTACCAGATAAACCAGAATACCCAGATTCAACACAATTCTGGCGGCCGCTAGCAGACATGTACGGTCACATGCGCTACAACTGCCCCGGTCTCTACATGTCCGGCTCATACCCACGAGTCGGCGGCATGAATACCAGCTGGAGCTACCGATGGGATGTCGCCCGGCCCGCAAACCTCGCTAATGGGAATGGAGTCACGCACGTCGCGGAAGGCGGTGCTGTCTGGGGTAGTTATAAAAAGGAAGACCCCGAGTCGGCGTTGCAGCCGATTATACAATCATACTGGACAAGTTTCATCCGTTCTCATGACCCGAATACCCATAGACTGAAGGATGCGCCAGAGTGGCTGGGGTATACCGAGGGAGAAGATTCGAGTGGTGCCAATCGGAGGATGCTTTTTGTGAATGATCCTAAAAAGGTGGCTATTGAGACTATCATTGGATTGTTGCAGAAGCGTTGTAAATTTTGGCATAGCATTGGGGCGAAGATTGGACAATAAGCTGGTGCTGTTCCCGACGGGTTTCAAATAGAGCTTGAATTTTTGTTATTTACTGAGATCAATAGAGGAAATATACGATATTGCTTCAAGTTGATCGAGTAAATATCATCTTTCGACAGCCACTTATTGCCATTGATTTGCTGTCTCGTGCTTCCTTTGGACACTTAGTGCGTACGATTCCACGGATTTATGGACTTCATGAGACCCAAGATCCTATCACAACAGCTTTACCTGAGTGATTCAACTCCTGATCTAGCGCGGTTTCGAGCATGAGGAGCAATTGCGATGTCCTTACTGCAAGTTCTGAAAATCGTCAAGAGGTGATTTGCGAGAAAATGTGGAATTCAACATACCTTCATATTGCAATGTGTAACTCACGGGCGGATCTTCATCTCTGTTCAAAATGATAGGCTCACGAACATCACTTGTCGGTACCACGTTCATTCGTAATCCAACATGATTCCCTGAGTCTGCCCACAACAAATCGTTGTCTGTTTGCACCGTAGCGTGATTACTGCGAGAGGGGAAGGATGCACGTTCTGAGAGCCATTCCCTCCATACCCGGGTCAGCCCTTCTCCAATTGTGGCCGAGCTCTTAAAGACGCCAGGTTTCGGTCCTAGCTTCACAAGATTTGTGGTAGTGACCAACTGACTGAACAACTCGTGTGATTCGAGCGATACGTCCTGACACACAAGATCCTCATGCTTGTCAACCAGCCCAATGGGCGGCAGTATTGGCCAGCCGCCTGCCGGATGTGGTCTCGCTGAACGGCGGTTATCGATAGGCTTCAATGGGCGAAAGTAAGAGTATAGTTCTGACAATATACCCAATTGGCCGGTGGCCTCGCTATTTGCAGATCTAAAATCGCGCTCGGTATCAAGACCTGGTGTTGAAATGTAATCGCAGTAGAGATAAGGGGTGTAAAACTTCGCCGATGGATGGTAGCACTCTAGTATAAGTCTGTGTTCTTTGTGTGACGCGGCTTCCAGAAGTCGTCTTTGAAGAAGTCGAAGGATCACATTGTGAAATCGATGACAGGTAGGAGTAAACGCAAGCAAGGATCTTGAAGAGAATGAGGAAAGAATCGAGGTTAAAATCTAGGTTTTAGGTCAGATATTTACGCTGGGATTATTGGGATTGGGACAGACCTCGTTCGGGAGAGACTCGATTGGCGCGAGGGATGTTGCCATCTTGTTGGGACTGAGAAGAAGTTTGAATTTTGAAGTTTGAAGAAAAAAGAAACTAGAAAGAGATCTATGACAAAGAGTTATTTGAAAGAACGAGAGCGTTTTATATATCCTTCACCAAATTGTAATCATCGGGTAACAGAACAATCCATAACAGCCGTCTAGTGGAAGAACCGGTCAATGACAAAAAACTGTGGGCAGGTTGCCAACGAAACCACCAGAAGGTAGCTCTGAACGTTCCACAGTCCCGGATTCGAATGCTATCGTCGTTCGCGGCTAGCTGACTCTGATTGCTGACCAAAGGTGTTTCGACAAACCATATGGGATAGGTATATTACGGGGTCAAGCGCGATCGAACAACGAAAACGTTGGACGTCGATTGAAGCAGCTGAGTGGAGTAGGACAGAAGAAAGGAAGTATTGGGAGATGCAGGAAATGTTTGATGGCAGTTGGAGTTGGTTGGTATGATAATTGATGACGATAAGTCGGGTGCTTATCTCAAGACCTAATCGCAAGCTGGGTTTCGCAAGCTCGGTCTTTCTCGGAGAACGGTCACAGCGCCGGCCCTGGGTCGGGATTCTGTCCTGATCGGGCCGGCATCGGAGGAAGAGCGCAGAACTCCAAAACTTCGTGAACCTCAGCTAGCTTTCTATCTCTCACGTCTTCCCAGGACCTCCGAATTTCCATAGTTCTCCTGGATACGGCTTTGTTGTAGTATCTGCCCCGCGAGAGCGACGAGCATATCCTACTGCCAGTCGACTTTTCGCTCTCGATGATACGCAGGCAAGTCGGCACCGCATCTCTAGCACTTTAGGGAGTTGAGAAGCGAATTCGTGGCTCCGACGAACCACCTCCAAATGACTAAACAGGAAACATGTGGCATGGGATTACCTACAGATTCCTATCGTCCAAAATAATCCAGAAGTTGAGGGCGTTTTATGGCACACCTAATCAAATTTGGGATTCACAACTCCCCGAAGAGATGTTATTCTTGGTACAGTAAATGCACCACTGCATCGAGCGAATCGGCTTGCATCCTCCACGGTGGCGCAAGGGAGTCTCTCCTGGTAAAGCTTTGTCCTTCATCTTTTGGGAAAGATTCTGTCCATCTCTCTTGTCGCCGCAAGTTGCCTCGTATCTCCGTTGTCTCTATTCGTTTGGACGCCGAAGGAATCCAGAGTTATCTGCTCCTTCGTCGTTTAGACGATTTGGGATGTAAGCATCACCTTTTTGTACACCACGAGGCTGATGCAGTTGGAAAGTTGTACTACACGATTGGTGTCAGTCCGGGAATTTTGGCAAACGATTCTGGCTCGTGAAGCCGAATAAATCATCGCTACCAAACTACAAGTTTATGCACATGATTGACGGTGTAGTCGCTTCATGTGTAATCTGATTCCTGCCATGAGAAACTTGCGATGTTGCCCTGAACAATTTGTAAAAGGTCGCTCTCAACCGATATTAGCGCGCGGTTGCTATATGAAACGGAAAACTGACACGTTTCAATGATTCCATAGCATGATGTTGGCAACGATGAAGATAACGGGCGTCGGTTGAAGTAATTGGTAACTCTGGAGGATTTGCTTAGCACCCAGCCATGGCATGTGACGTGACTCGGCAGCGAACAAAATAAGTGCATAACCTCTTGACCAATATGTTAATTAAAGGTATAATGTAGTGCGGGTAAGTAGCTTGATGAAGGGTCGTACTTCATCTTGAATAGCGTCTAAAGATTCCTATGTACTAATTACTGCAACGATAAACAAATCGAGGATGTTTGGTCAACTCATAGAGCAAATATCATGTTCCGATTGCCACTGATGTACTCCCTCCACTACGAGCTTTGGGTCAAGGTAAGAGGTAGAACAGGTAATTCAACCATAGGAATTTGTCTCCAAATTGTACCACGGCATTGAATTCCATCTTTGCAGTCCTGTCGAAGCTGAAAGAAATCCATTACTAATCTATTGAGAGAACAATCGCATACTTTGCCTGAGAGGTATTGGAGACATAGCAGCGGTCCCGATGTTGTGTACTAAACTAGCAACGAAGATAAAAAATTTGCCTCGGTGGTTTCTAGTGAAGAAATTGTGAGCGCCGCGCTGTTGAGTGGGAATGGTTGATATATGCCAGGATTTTCGCTGGTCTTAGCGGTCTGTTGTGTTGTGAATAATAAAACTTGGGAGGCCAACAAATCTCTTATCAACCAAGAAAGACGAAAAGTACCGTTTTGAAAGGTTATTCACAGACTCAGATGTGTAATTCCGCAGTCGACCAGCTAATCTAGGACACAGCTGTACAGACATTTGTCGGAAGGTCGATCTTCTAAGATCATGTGTTTGGACACTTCAAAGTTGCTCAAGTGTGAATTGGAGCTCGTTTTCCTAAAGCTCTTTTCGAAGAGTGAATTGAAGTTCATTTTGTGATATGTGGTATAAATATTCAGATAGCAGAGCTTGAGAAACATGATTAGTCTTCAAGTCATCTCACTACAATCTCCTACTTGCGATACGTTGGCCAACAACGACTCATTTTTCCTATGCCATTGCAATGCCGTCGAACAAAGAACGGTTGTATGTTGTTCTTTATGCCAGGGTAGGAACAGCCAAGATGCCTGGTGGGGAAGACCAGTAAGTTAGTCTCGCGAAGTTTTGAGGGCTCCTGGAGGACGAATTCAACTGGCAGTCGAAAAACGATATTTTCTTAAAACAGTTGACGAAACATCGTATATTTAGTGAATCAACTTGGCACACTAGCACATATTTCGTCAATTGTTTTAAGTTAACGACTTCTTCAGTCCAAGACTAGTGGGCAGGTGAATGTCATTTATTTTGTCCTCCGCGCCGTTGGGTTCGAGTGCTACATAATGTTGTAAACGGAGAGCACAGTGTGGCTTGACTTCGACTTCAATTGAAATTCAATTACCGATGAACTGCTGTACACAATGCTGATTGTATCTTCCTATTAGGTATCACTGGGCACTGATAGTCGGACCCAAACAAGAGAACGAGACAGCGACTGGGTGGCGTTATCACGCTAGAGAGCGAATGGCTGGTAAAGGAGGCTCTAAGTGGTACTTCGAAGAGAGGGACATCGGTGTCGTAGCAACGAGCATGCTCCTGGTGCGTATACTGGTTGGAAAGGTGGAGAAAATGGAGCGCATTCAAGCACTTCTTCGCACCGTGCCGATCAGATCTAGCGAGCCAGGATGGAACTGTGTTGGTTAGGTGAAAGAGGCACTGAACACTCTCGGTGCAGATGGCAGAGCACTCGGTACTAGTGTAACGGGATGGCAGGCGGTGCGAGATAAGGCGATGTCGTACGTCCAGGAAAAGAAGAATCAGCATCGTTTTGATGGGAAAGGAAATTTTGACATGCGATTTGCAGCAACATATGATTTGTTGGATGGCAAAGAGACAACACCTTAATGGCGCAGCCAGCATGCGACCTGGCTAGGTAAAAGTTGTTTCAAATTCGGGATGAATTGATACACACAATGTAACTACCAGATATCTCCAAAATATTTCTGGCGAATTCTTTCCATTTTTAGTTCCTCGGGCATTGGAACCAAAAATTTGTCGATTTCGTCAGCCCAAAAAGAATTCCACGGGTTAACTTGTGACGCCGTAGTATACTCCCAATACGTGGGGTACCAGCCAGCTGTTTCCCAATCAATAATTCCCACAATTGTATCGTCGCGGACAAGAATATTCAAGCTGCTCAAATCACCATGTGTCATAACCGCTGGCGGCCAAGACCTATCTTGTAATGCTATGAGTTCGCTGACATCGGGATAATGATCAGGACTTGCTTCGAAGGCTTGTCTGAGGTATCGATGGAAATTGTGAATACTCTCGAAAGGCCCGTGGAAACTTGAATCTGACATTAGTCGAGCATCATATATCACGCCGCCATCGACATTTGAAACGCCCTGTCCTTGAGGTGGTGAGATGGCGCGCATTTCCTTCACCATCCCCCGAAGCTGCGCAAGTATCTTCACCTTCGACGCCTCGCTCCTTTTGACCCAATTTTCCCCAAGCATCTCCCCTTTGATCTTTTCCATGACAATATACGTAATGCCCTTGTGTGTGAAAGCACAGTAAACTTTCGGTACGGGTATCGAGGTATGCTGGGAGATGAATTGCATTGTTGATGCCTCTGCCCAGTAATCTTGGACTAAATAAGTGGACTTCGAATAGAGCGTAAGAAGTCTGATTTACTTGAAATAAAATGTTTGACGAAATCTTATATTGTTCTAAATCAATCCACTAAATAACAATATTTCGTCAACTTAATCGAAGAAATACCGTGTTTCGACTGCCACTTATTTTGTCCACCACGAGGTGTGGGCGGTGATTATTTCTCATCCACAAATTTCCTTTTCTGGTCGGGCGGAACACCAAGCACGATCTCATTCACGAACCATTTGGTACCTTACAACTACACATCTCTAGGTAATGCCGTGGCCAATTCCGCACATCCCGTGCGAACCCTTTTTTCCAGGCTGATCAAACGTCTGGTAGGAATCTTACTCCGAGATCTGACCAAATCTCGTCTTGTCTCTGTACGCCCAAAGGCTGTGCGGCAGACTCGTGTTCCACCACATATTTGAATGCCAGTCTCGTCAGATCATGATAATGTGGCTCACCAGTGGCTTCGTCGTAAAGCCGAATGAATTATCGCTACCGAGGAATAGTAACTTTTGTTTCACTATTTCAATAAACATTGCGGCCGTGTTCTGGTTCCAAAAAAGATGGCTTGACTTTGTGCGAAGCTGTGCCTCTTTTTCGTTTGAGATTTTTTCCCCAAAGATATGTTGTTGCGTCCTGCTGCATGCTTTTCCCATCAGCCAGTTGAGGGTGATCCAATCCCTTGACGACAACGAGACTTTCTCGATTCTTAATCCTGCGTTGTGGAGCTTGTTGTTCATCAATTTCTATCTTACGTTAAAAATATTCGCTCAGAGTCTTCTTGTCGGACAAGCCCGGGGTCTAACGTAGGCTGGTTGACGATTTCCAAAATCTCAGCTACTATGTGTTATTTGGCACCTTTTTATGGCTGCATGTTATTGGAACGAATCTGTCTGTCCAACTGAATTCTGCGCTCTGCCGCTCCGACTAGTCCTGACTAGGCAATACAGATGCACAAAATGTCAAAAGATCTCAGCAAAAGTCTGGAGCCATAACAATACCCTATGTCAAGACTGATATCAGCTCATCTCTTTGATGAGATCCTATGCGTCAAAACGAACCGAGCCGAGCCGAAATAACGATGATTACATGCATGAAAACCTGTTCAGGTGTTTGCTGATGATATCTACGCTTGCCTGGTTGAGCTACACGATATGATTTGCATCATACACTCGAGCGCTGGTTGGGATCTCCAAGATGTTCCATATAAGGTCACTGTATCTTCCCAAAAGTTTCTTGCCATCCTCATATACATTTGTCCTGTTTCAATCACTCATTGAACACTTGAATCACTTCTACCAGATAGCTCTTGGTACCATCTTATTCCTCAGCTTGTTGTTTCAGTTTTATAAGGACTATCGTCAAGATGTTTGCCAAAATCTGCTTCACTACCATCTTGTTTGCTGGTAGCATCAGCGCTCAAGCATCCAACACCGATCCAAAGGCCCTTGTAAATTTAGTAAGTTACCTATTTTCGTTTACTTTGGAAACATTCATTTGAGAACTGATCTCGTATTGCGACCAAACTCGAAGATTTTGTTGGGATATTTAATGTGTCGCGCTTTGAATCATATAAATATTAATCCAGCCTATGTAGTGGATCGATGTGCCATGCACTGTGGGAGTAGAAGCAACCAATAACCGAAACTTCTGGCTTCCCGGATTCCACGTTCCATTTGGGCCGAGAGATCGAAACGTCGGTCAATGTTACACTGAGACTTTCCAAGGTGTCAGCACCAATTATTTCCCAACCCAGACTAATGGGAAGAAATGCGTCTGTGAGTCAAAATCTTTGTCCATCCTGTTGTATTCTCGTCCACAGCTGATGCTTGATATTTAGTCACTGCCTACGATCAAGCCAATTGTAACGGAACGTCACCCGGTCGAGCAATCTCCTTTAATGATGTTGATCCCGTCGCTGTCAACTGCAAGCCTGGGCCGTTCCGTGCTGCTCCGCAACTTTTGGGTATCTCATACAAGGTCACCTGCCCATAGATGGTACGCAATACATATTGCGTCGATAAAAATCCAAGGATTCACCCGCCATATATTTTCAGGGGTTTGCTTGAGTGGAATTGGGTATGGAACCAGAAGCTAGCATAAGGAGCAAGTTGGTGCTGTTTTAACTATTGCCATGGTTTTGTTTTTGACTAGGAGGGACCACGATTCATTTCTAGGAGTAGAGAAAATTTGTTAGGTAGCATCAAATTCAACATTTGTGTACCCAAACGCCCACTGGTACACTATCAACCTAATTAACCAAATATACAGTATTCTATTAAACCAGTCGAATAATAAACATCGTATTTCGATTACTATTACATCTTCTACCGCGAGCGAAGGAGTCACACACTAGTCATGAAAGGACACTACTGAAGAGATTGAAAATGATGTGAACCGGGTAGGATTCCAAAATTTGACCAGGGTGGTCGGGTTCCTCTCTTGGTATTGTTCCTAATACCCAGTCAGTGAGAGTTTTTTTTTTTGAAAAGAATTATGCTTAACTGACGGTGGTTTCACCTTTTCGGTGGCTGCGAGGCCGTCGTTTGCTTGACTGTATACGAGTTAGTATACATTGAAAATTTTCGGTATGTCAAATGGAATGCAATACTTTTGTGTGAGGCATTTTGGCGTGAGGAGGATTTTGCGATACCAACGGTGGAACTTGGGATAGGTCTCAGCAGTCTTCCCTCGAGACAAATCAGGCAAGTGCCCACCCACCACAACCCACGTCAGGTCGGTACTCAACTTTCCCAAATTTCCTTTGCGCGCTTTTCCGACCGTACCATCCAACATCGCAAAATCCTTCACACAAACAATACATTCGCAGCTGGCAAAATGCCACACATGAAAATATTTCAACTCAAATCCTTAGGTGAAATTTGTAGAGTCTAATAAACGAACGTTTAGTCAAAGGGATCGAAAGAGCGATCCAAACGCTCCCGCAGAGAACCCCAAATAAGTAAAAGTCATTGTCATTAGCAGGTCCTTAAACTAACTTGATGATAGCAACAATACGAAGAGAGAAAGGCGAGGGAGAGGGAGGCGAGGGAAGAAGAGGTAGATACCGATTCTGTATCAGTATTCGACAATGGTACTGATAAGCGTTATAGAAGCTCAGAAGAATTTCGGCTGCGTTGGAGTACTTTGTCAGTCTGTCTCTTTTACTGTCTTATACTATTACTAATCATTCTATAGGTTTATCTTCTTTTGGCTGTCAATTTTTTGGCAATGGTTTACGCTTGGTCACATGACCAAATTTTGTTTTTGGTTGTCTTGGTGTTTTCGACTGGTTGGCTGGCTTTGAAGGAACATATCATTTAGTTAGGTGGATTGGGGAAATGGGGAAATGTTAATTTTGGAACAAAGCTTTTCATTCGTGCCAGACACCAAAAAGTGAATCGTGATTGATAGCCTAAAGTAATGGATTTGGTGTCCTTATTTATAAATAAGAAGAAAATGAACCAAAAAATTTACGATTTGAATTTATTAAAGTTTTGATTAATTAAAGATTCTACTTGATTTGATTTGATTGCCTTGGTTTGGAATCAATGATTGTTGTACGTACTTTAATTGCCTAGTATATACTACTTTGTAAATTCAAGAAAGGCACAGTGATTCTAGAAGAAGACAAATGGGGTGACTCAAAATGTAGGCATCCTGGCAGAGGGTTTGAGATCAGCAAAACAACTTCGTTAACACAATGTACCATATGAAGAAGCCCAAGGAGCGATTTGATAGAGGAGTAAACAAACAGAGTCAGTTTCCATCCAGGACAGCTTGTCATGTTATATGACAAGAAAGCCGCAGGACAAAAGTCGAAGCTCGGCTGAAGAAGACCGTTAGTGATCTGTGGGTTTGGAGGGAACCATGGGTTCTCCTATATCATAAGACAAATTGATGGAACGATCATTCGTACGATATTCCAGGAGATTATCTCAAAAAATTCAGATTACAACTTCCCTCACTTAGAATATCAGCTATTAAAAGCGAGTAATAGATCCCATGATAGGCAGCAAGACATAGGTTTCTGGATCTCGAGGCTCGTATACACATCTGTCGAAAGAAATCCGCGATCGTGAAGAGGTAAAAGAAACCTCCTATGATTTCTTTGCCATTATTTACGATTACCCTTGCCAACCCATCCCCCCCTTCCATTGCTTCCACTTGTGAACCACTTCATGCCATCTGATAGCTCTCCACTGGATTCACTCACTCCGTTCCAGGCAATCCCACGAACTCCACCGTGCCAGCAATCGTCCACAGCAGCATATATCCACGCGACTGCGCATACACCCCACTCCTCTCCTACTCTTCCTCACACTTTCACTCCGAGACAGTCCTCCAGATCTAAGGCGGTAATGACCATCTCAGCTCTACGTCTTCCACGCTGCGTTGAGCCCGAGGAACCAGATAGAGGGCAACACCAAGAGTCTTGAATTCCTGGAAGGTGATTTACCATGCCATCATTGCAATTTATTTCGACATATCTTGCGGCTTAGTTTCTGATTGTTGAAGAGGTTGGGTATTTTCTGAAAGACTGATCGAAAACTTGCTGCAAGAGAATGAAGATGTGGTTGCGAAGAGCTTGTAGTGGCATCTTTTTGTTTTGTCGGATTGCCACAGTTTGACTGCTGTTGAGGTCGGCGAGAGCGATGGATGTGAGTTGAGGCATTTTGAGATGTGCAAATTATGTGTTTAAAGTTTGTTGAAAGTGGTTGAAAGGGTGGTTGAGCAGGAGATGGTGGTTCGCTTATTTCAAGCTTGAGTGGGCTTTTGTTGACCAAAAATCGAATTGTTGGAAGTAGATGATTGACGATACTTCTGAATTCATAAATATCAAAATGCTTTTCCAAATTTCGCAGACAAACCTTTCCTTTATATTCTCGGGAAATGGCAGAAGCGGTGTGTATTGAAATCTGGGGAAATTACCAATATGCAGGAACAGCAAAAGCGGAATAGGGGTGCTGGTGATCAGGGTCCTATTCGACAAACCCCACTTTACCGCTCCATCTCATGCTCACTTTGATCGTGTGCCGTGGAGTTTGTTGGTTGGTCAACTGACGATATCCATGTCAGTTGATGCTTTACCGTATGTTTGTCTCACTTTGGAGGGGGGACTTCTCAACAAATTTTGGACGTGATATTGGGGAAGAGTAATGGAAATGCGATGTAGTCGGGCATCGGACCCCGCCTCCGAAGTCCTGGCCACTCGATTTAGAAGTTAGAAATAAGCCGTCTAGCGGCGGAAATAGAGGCGAATCCAAATCCATTATTGAGTTTATCAAATCAAACGGAAGACTGGATGCACACAGCATCTCCTGTATGAGATGTTTGTCCAAACGGAGTTGGACTCCGATCCCGCACGCCTGAGTCTTCCACAAAATGTTGCCCCGCCAAAGAAGAGGCGGTGTAGACAACCCGGCAGAATCACCACGGCGGTTTGCAGATATCGGAGATAAGGAAAATGGTTCTGGACCAAACGTCAAACAACCCAACATCTGTCTATGTCTGCATAGCGAGAGTGAATCACTTCATTTGAAACAAATAATCTCATAGACTAGCGCATCTGTCATACATTATCGAGGAGTCATTCGAAATTCCCCAGGCAAATAGCTCTTGGTGTATAAATTGGCGGGGTTCTCAATCTGTCTTATCGCTATTTTCAGACATCACCACATTCCTGCCACACCTGAGACATGGCTATCGATAGTAAAGATAACAGTGCTTTGGGTACGTCAGCTCCGCTCCACGTAGCACAAGCTTCCTCTTCAAGATTTCTTCTAACCGCTCAATTTAGATCGTCGCGACGACCGCAAGGCAGCTGGCGAAGATCAAAATGGAAAGGCTCAGGAACCATGGAGTGTCGAACAAGTCGTCGAAGGAATCCCAGGAGGTCCTCCACAAACCGATTCGAGCTCTCCCGTACCATTCTTTCATATGCTAGAGCGATTAAAGACGACGAAGCGGGAGGGTTGGAGGAGATTTGGCATCGCACAGTAAGAACATGCCAGGAACATACCTCACTTTCGGAATCTGTTGCTAACTTACAATAGCGGCGAATCGATATCCGATCACATGTATCGCATGGCCATGATCACGATGTTCGCTCCCCCAGCACTAGCTGCCAAAATCAACGTCCCGCACTGCACGAAAATGGCTTTAGTACATGATATGGCAGAGGCCTTGGTTGGAGATATCACGCCTGTCGACGGGATTCCAAAGCCCGAGAAGAATCGCCGAGAAAGCACTACGATGGACTACTTCACCAACAGTCTTCTCGGACGTGTAAACGGCGGAATGACAGGAAAACAGATCCGCGACGTCTGGCAAGAATACGAAGACAACGAGACGATGAATGCCAAGTTCGTCCACGATGTCGATAAGATCGAGCTAATTCTGCAAATGGTCGAATACGAGCGCGTTCACGAAACGAAATTGGATCTGGGCGAGTTTACCTGGGTGGCTACGAGGATCGAACTCGCTGAAGTCAAGGCATGGTCTGACGACCTTATGGAGGAGCGAGAGGTGTTTTGGGGTGACAAGAAGCATACTAGATTTGATACGGAGGAGGCTCTGAAGGCTGCCACGGCGAAGGAGGTTGATACGGAGAAATTGGTGAAGGAGCATGTTGGGTATTATGGAGATGGGAAGAGTACCTTCCAGTAATGGAAAACAGACGTACATTAGAAACGGATGTCATTGGTGTTTTGTGGTCTGTGCGTTTGTAGCATTATTTGCGGATATCCTACACAGCAGTTTCACTTGAAGGGATTAGACAGATAGATACCTGGGCGTTGGTGGGAAGATCGTTCTTGGATAGAATGCAATAGATTCTTTGCCTTACAGTTTGCTTGAAATCGGTTGATGGGGTACTTGTGTCTTGTGTGGCATTACTGGCATGGCATCTAGCAGCCGTCGAGGTGGATATCTCAAGTGGCTATCGAATCACGATAGTAACTGCAGGCATATTGCGTCTATTCTTTTCAGGAAATTGTCGTTTTTCAACAAGAGTGTTCCCTTGCCGTTTGCTTGGAGTGATCAATGAAGACGACGTGTTCTAGTTCGTGTGGCGTTTGGCATCTGGTATCTTCTGTGAACAAGATAACTAGCCGTCGGAACACGATATTTGCTCTAGAAAATTGACGAGATATCGTACAGTTAGTGTATTGCTTCTGGACGACAGAGGATTCTTTTCCTGGTCGTTTGCTTCAAAGTGGTCAATGGACACGTCGTGTCGTGTTCTGCATCGTGTAGCGTCTGGCATCTTTGCTGATCTTGCATCTGGCACTGCTGCGAACATAACAACTGGCAATCGAGACACGATGAACTCTTTTTATCATTGAAGGGTTATCGAGTATTTCGTCAATAATTTCCAGGAAACAGACGCTTTTCGACGCCGTTCCAAGCAGTCGGTAAGTCAAGCAGTATTCTGACACACTGCTCTCGTATAGCACAGCCTCGAAGCCAATTGCAACGGGCCATCTTACTGGCAAGAGATTGCAATGAGTGTAAAAGGTATGGTTGATTATTGTTTAGCTGTTCTAATTACAGTTACTCACGTGTGAAGTGATAATGATACTATACTAAGCAATCTACAGGCTATCCTTCGAAAGATCTATCAATACAACTTTTCACGATATAGTAGGGGGGCGGAGATGAAATGGAACGGCCTCGAATGCACTATCAATCGGCGTCCAACAACAATCTTAAGCTTGGTCACCACATTCGGAATTATATCCATCGTTTTGTTCATTTCTTTATGCTTGTAGACAACTGTCAGATCCGAAGATTAAGATAAACGACAAATGACAAAACATGCCATAGCTCTCACATTGGAATAAATCGTCCCAATGCACGAAAATTCCAGGCGGAGCAATGACTTTAAGAGTTCAAGAATGTTTCTGCTTCACCAGGTGCGGCTCGTAGTTGAGGAGACAGTGAAATTTATGACACACGGTTATTACTTTGTTGATCATGTTGACACAATGATTTACATTTAGTCAATTGCATCAGAGAAACGATATACTGATTTGTGTCTTTTCAACGGATGCAGCTTGCAGTGGGCAAGATAAGCGGCCGTTAAACTACGATGTTGCTTCGTCGATTTGATTGGGACAACAACGTTTATTTCGTGGATTTATTTTAGGAAACGATAAGGTTACACTGCTGAGCTCAATCTGTAATCCGATAAACTAGTTGAGGGATTGCTTGGTAGGTAAATTGAATTCTGTCATCTCATATCGATGTACCTCTTGAACTAGCTTTGTGAGGTAGGAATGTTTCCGATTGTGGTGTTAAGTCAAACTCTGCCTCTGGTAGCTTTATATAAAACAATTTATTAATGAGGTTTTATTTGATTCACCAACCTCATTATCGAAGTTTTGGACTGACCAGAAAGCTTGAAGCTTATCTTGGCATTTAAATCACAAAAATTGTGGAAGCAATGTTGCAAGGTACGCGAAGTATCACAAAGAGGGATCCTAGTTTGAAATCGTAATGATCAAGCCAACAAATAGTATGATAATTTATTAAGTAACATTTATCACAACAGCTACCAACAAAACTGTTAGTTATTGGGTCTTCCATTGATTCTTCTAGAGCGTCCAAGATCTAGAAAATAGTCAGCCAAAGTGCTAGTGAGTACACTTTTTAAAGAGAAGCGGGCCGAGAGCAAGAGCTCATCTACCTAGCTTCCCCCGTCTGCAACTTGTTCTAGAAGAGGGCCGAGAGCAAGAGCTCATCTACCCAACTTCTATTGTCTTAGAGATCAAGACTAAAATCGAAAAGGCAGCGCGGGAAGAAAAGAATGTGTACTCACAATCTGAAGTCGAAGATTATAAAGCAGAGAAGACGAGGTTTGTCAAAGTCGAAGAAGATGAGAATGAAGAAAAGAACTTTTGCGAGGGCAGATGAGGTGTTTATGTATTCATCTGATTCATGACGATCGGAAGATCGAAAACTGAGGATTATCGTGGATGATGAATGTGGATAGCATCAAATGCGCTTGTGAGAAGATTTGGGTAGTGCCTGAAGCATTATGATTAGTCGTTTATGGTGCTTAGCGCCAGATAAGCATAGGAGGGGAAGACCTCAAAAGGCTTGTTCCAAGCGAGCACCTATGGTATGAAGTTTTGAACAGTCAGAGTGGATAACAGCCAGAGTGGATAACAGCAAGAACGGGGACTTCTTATGGTGATCAACGTCCAGAATGGATACTCGTGATAGTAATGAACATCCAAATTGAAGACTTCGGAAGGCGCTACTTGCAAAGTGGTTGAGGTAGTGCAAATCTGTTCAAAGCCTTCGAAACTCGGGGGAAGTGCGATCGCTGGATCTGGCGATGAGACTGCTACCCAATTATGCAAAGTGATGCATTACGCAGGCGCATAGCTCTCATAGCTCCAAGCAGTTTGAAGATTGACATGTACTTTGGGGGGCCTTCTACATAGAACCGCGCGAATCAAAAGGAAATCAAGCCTCTAATTAAAAGGTAATACAGAAATTCATGGACTTGTCGGAGCACAAGCCTCATTAACTGCCACATACGAACATGGCATCTCGTTTACATGGATTTTGTACAACTTCAATAATAGGCAATGTTCAAGTAGCTTATCTCTCTCCTGAAGCATCGAAAACCATTGAGGGATAGACACATAATTTGTAATCGACATTTGGAGAACCTAGACTTCTATGAGCAACATGTGGAGAGTCTAGACTCCTCCAACGGGCCCCTTTCGTGCTATCAACAAAAGCCTCATTTCCACTGAAGGATTACAAGCTCAAGAACCCAGCAATTCAGGTGCACTACGGCAGAAAAGGAAACCACAACATGGAACTACTCACACAAACAGTTCCGCTTCTTGGTGAGCCAATGGAAATTGATTTTCCTGCCATATATTACTCTTCAGCCGATATCAACGCAGCTCCATTTGGGAAGAAGAACCTTGCTTTGATGTTTTGACGCTATTCTTAGAGCTCTAAGATTTCTCTGATATGTTGATCGGTTATGGTAGACGATGAGTCTTATTCCAGTAGCTTACAAGCTCAAACCTGTCAGTGGTGAACACGATAGTGAAGAATGCTCGAAGCTACTCAGAGCTAGTTTGATGCGAGTATTGCAATGTTTGACGCTAAATCCTATGCTTTCTTCCGTGGACAATTCACGGAATTCTGTGTGCGCAAGCGATTAAATACCATTTCGTATTATCCAGTGCAGAAAGACCAGTAGAAAGAACCTTACCAAAAGACGTGGGTTTCAATACTAGTAATTATCCACGATATTGTGTCCCACAAATTTGCAGTCCTGACGCTGCAAAATCAAGCAAAGCAGATCCCTCCCTTCTTTGTCCATTCTAAATCCTGGATAGATCGTAGCGTATGTCTATCGAATGAAGTCCAATAATTGGAATTGGATTGAACATCATACGATTAATGTATGATGCACTGACGCGTGAGATATGCCTCAACTTTGCACCGCGACAGCTGCACAACTCGTGAGGAGGACTTCGAAATGAGTGTTTTCGAATGAAAGTCAATTTACAACATCTAACATCTTGTTTGATCTTGCTAGCTGGTATTTCGACTCTTATACTGTTATATGAGCCCAAGTTTTCCGTCGTTGTCGTCGTCGGTTGGAATATCAATATTTACGCGGGGGTCGTCACCAATAGCAACGAAGCAAACTGGTCATGCTCGAAACATCCATGGCATGGCACACATACTCTTCGTCCGAGTTATCATATTTGCTGAAATTGATGGACGAAATATCGATATTGTTTCAAATCCATCCAATAAATGTCTTTTTCCAACTGGCGCTGTGGTTTACTTCATGGGGTTGCTGATGTATGGTGAATACACATTGGCTAGCTTCTTGGAGCCTTGTTGAGCCTCGGCTTCCTTCTTCAACCATCACACACCATTTCTCGACATCCACGAATATCAACCATGCTTTCGAGCCGGCCTTCGACGCATAGGATGGCGGAGACTCGACCTGGTCTGGGTGGTGGACGTAAACGTTCGCGGACTGAGGTAGAACATCATCGCGACGAATCTCCTTCACCTCTCGCAAACTCTAAGTACGTTTTGGCTGGTGGGATGGACACACCTACAATAAAGGCAGCTCGACTCGCATCGTTCAGCGACCACGAATATGGCGATATGGCATATAGGAGATCGCTTGGAAATGGCGGATCCAACCTGAAACCATCAGCGAGTGACCTGTATTCTGAAATGGACGCCTCAGGATACTTTCCAGCAGATGGCTACGGCAGAGATGCAAATGGCAGAGGACGGGCCTGGCAAGGTCCGGGTGGAGATGGATGGAGTAGAGCGGCGATTCAAGCGGTAGGTGGTGTTGTAGGGAAGGTTTGGGAATTCTGCAAGAATGGTGGTGCCGTATTTCGAGGATTCCAGGCAGGCGGTGGAAAAGGATACGCGCTGGACCACAAAGAACCGACATCCCCATACCCTACCGAGCATAGCAAATATTTGCAAGACGAGAAGAACGCAACTTGGGGTGGCATAGACAGAGAATCTACTCCTTTACCTGGAAGGTTTCCCGAAGAGGACTTTGTCGAAACTTATTCAGACCTTTCTAGGCCACAGATAGATGTCCCGCCAGCGAAGCGACGCCAAGTCAGCCGTAACAATACTCAAGATGAGCTCACAAAGAACTGGGTGGTTGTTCAGCCTACAACGCCGACTATCACCCCCTCGAAACCACGTTCTCGGCCTACGTCGAGGTTCAGTCAGCCGACAGCTTCATCTGCAAGTCGACGCTCAACTACAACCGCTGCTCGACCTGCTTCACGTGCAGGTAGCACTTTGACGGCTCCACAGAGACCCAAAATATCTCGCGCCTCGACTGTCTCGCTCATGGGCTCTCCAGCTCTCATATCCAACCACGGTGCAAGCTTCGCAAGTCCACGTGCAAGCCCAAATAGCAAAATACCTCGCCCGAGCCCTTCTAAGAGCTCTTCAGCAAAAATTCCCGAGAGTTCAGCTTCTAAAGAAGCGATAAGGTGGGCGGCTGTGAAGAGGAAAGAGGAAAGAGACGCAGATGAGAGTATCAGGAGGCTTGATGCTCAATTGAAGGCCATGATTCGTGAGGGCAAAGAAGCATTAGGTACTAAAGTTGAGGTGGAGATGGAAGATGATGTTGATTTGAGTGACGGTGCCAGGAAATGGGCTATCTAATGTGTCATCAGTGGTACGATATTTGGCCAGACTCTTCTTTTCGATGTTCCTATTTTGCGATGGATATGGCGTTTCTGGGGTTTCAGGCGAAATTGTTGGATTTATATTTGGAGGATCTACGGACTTTTAGGTCGTCATTCTTTCAGTACACCTCTGTTGATACCCGGAAACAACCACATCAGTACCACTAAATATTTTCGCAAATAAAATCACGCTTCGCACATTGTTGTGGCCATCACTGAAGTGGGCTGACGATGTTCTATCGCTGAATGTGTTGACTGCGAGCAACTTAAAATTGATGACATAGGGACTCAGTGTACTCAGGTGGCACTAGCTTACTGCATATCAACCGGCGTGTCTTTGCCGCAAAATTTGACCTTCCCATGTGGATGATTTAGATCCATACCTTGCTCTATGTGAGCCTACAGGTGGAGAATTGCTGACTAAATGTGCTAGATTTGCGTCGAAAAAAGTCTGGGTTTGGAAAGAAAATTCTATCAGTCAAAAATTGCCAGTCTTTTGAATTTGATTACCCAAAAAGTAAGTTCGTGGAGGGGAGGATGAGCTGTGGTTGAAAGACGAGATTTGCTTGGTCAGCCTTACACACTATCCCTTGTCTTGTCTATCATTTGCTAAACAAAACGATTTAGGATCTTTCTCGAGTCTGTTGGAATGAAATTTGCCTACCAAATACGTACCAAATACGCTTGAGCATAACTTGAACTCAAGACTGCGTCTGAAAGCTACCGCCGCTTATCATGTCGACTGCGAAGCAAAATCTTCAAGCCCCGGACCTCTTTTTTCCTCGTATTTGAATAGTTTCCAACCTCTTATTTTCTTATAAGGGTTGCAAAAGTTCAGGGGTCGTCCCAAAATCCGAAATCCTTCCGCTTAAATATGCATGCAGAGGCACATCAATTCTACAATCATATTTACCCAGAGGAATATATTAATTAATCAATAAATCCCCACATATCCCAGTAACGTTGCGAACTAACCAACAGAACATCCTTCTTCTAGAGAACGGCTCCCTTTCTCTGATGGCGCACACAGTCTAGCAAATACAAATATTACACGATGATAATCAGCCTGTTCATCGTCTGCAGCACCGCGGTGAAGTAAATGCATACAAGTAAGCCTCTGTACGTACAGGTTTTGCAGCATTGATGACCAGATATCCGACTATAAGGAGGTTAAGGGGAGTCCCCTCGTAATTCAAACAAGTTTTACTCAAGCTACAGTCCATTTCGTTGAGTCTTCCGTACAAGAGTTCTTGGAGAGGTCATCGAGTAAAGCTAAATCATGGCTTCTTACCGTCAACAGAAGCTGAATCTTTTGCTACTCTTAGCAATCGCCGCTCCTTCGACGAGTAAGCGACAGCTCTTCAGAGGTTGATATCAGATTTGCTAATGACTTTAGACGCGCTAGCCGCTCGTCAGGCGACGGAAACAGTTCCAGGAGATAGAACCTCGACCACGACTTCACTCCCACCGACTCTCACTGCACCAGCAATTGATCCCAACGACGAAGATGCCTTCTCTTGCTGGTATGCTTCATTTGCATACTCTACCATATCATCACAAATCAGTAGCGCCGCCGCTGCAGTTCCATATACATCAGCTCAATTCTTTTCCACCTATACATCAACCGACTGTTGTTACCTCTACCAACCTCCCCGGTCCACCACTACACTGTGTGATGGGTATCCACGCGTTCTTTCAATACCTGAGGATACCTACAATGTGACAAAAACCACGATTCTTTATGACTATACACTTTCAACCCAAGGCGCGCTTCCATCACATACAGAAGTGCTGCCTTCATGTACAGTGGACGTGGAAGAACCTGCTTGCACAAAAATCTGGTCTCAATATGACTATACATACACATCGTTAAAATCTGCCTCGAACTCCTATTACGATACCTACGCATTGTATGGTAGACCTCCTTGTCCATCGCCCATGACAGCCTGTCCGTCCGCCAAAACAACATGTTCCGTTGAATTGGAAGATGCGACGGTGTATTACTGGCCAGTGACAACCACCTCGGGTGACTTTTGCGCTCGCAACGGAACGACCATCACACCATCACCAACCGACCCTCCAGCCCCGGATACCACAGAGATAGGAGACATGACCTTCACCTCGCCCTCCGTCTACATCGTTGCGCCAGATGCGTACGCTTGGTACAAAACCTCCGGTCACGGACTCATCTCATATGGTCGAATGTGCGGCCACTCCGAGACGTCCGCCACGTATACAATTGCCCAGGAAAGCATCAGTACCATGTATGTTCATGATAAAGGCGTACATTATCCTATGGACTGGGAGGATATGAATACCATCCGTCATGAAGCATACCAAAGGGCCTGTGGTAGACGATATGGATGTAGCAGTTTTACGGACATTGTTAGCTCATTTACGCCGCTTGTCGTACTTCCTGATGAGATTCGGACGCAGGAGGTGGGTTGGAGTGGGTGCGTTGGGGAATCTTATTTCAGACCTACGTTTGTGGAGCTGGGTGGCCGACCAAGAGTGGACGATGAAGATGATGAAGACGAGGATGAGGACGAGGATGAGGATGACGATGACAAGAGGAAGCCCAAGATTACTGCCCCTGCCAAAGTGATTGCCGCCAGTACTAGTACGATGGGTACTTTTGATCCAGAAGCTACTACCAAGCAATTCAACGTCAAGCACATGGAGTTTGTGGAGGAGGTAAGGATTCTCGTGTTGGATGGAGGGCCACCGAGAGTAATTGGGGCTTGATGATGAGCATGGAGCTTCAATATCTGCAGCAACATGCTGACAAGGTAGCAATATTAGAAAAAGTAAGGTTTTACCAAAGATATGAATCTTGTTCCATTGTTGATTCTCACCACCTTCACATCAAGTTCCCAGCAAGCTCCCCGATTTTAGTCATAACTAAACCAAAAACTTTCCCAATCACCTTCATAACCAAATATGTAACCAAAAGTGAAACCGTGGTCTATGATTGGTCAGTCAGTATTTTTGCCTTAGTCGAATTGATACAGCGGCTTACCACAACACAAAGAGGCACGAGCTGGACGTTGGAGATCAGAAATTAATAACCATTCCCAAGTCAACCGGATTGACATCAAATGACTTACCATACGGAAATCCACTTCGGGGATGTGGATCTGGTGGATGATCTGAAAACTATTTAGTATTTCCTATAATTATCTGAGGCATCATATCCATGTTTGGAAAGGCATTACCACAACTTCATCCCTTCTCATATGGGCATCGCCCTCTTCCAAATCAATGGTGTAGTTTGTATGCGAGGCGGCATTGCCGCCGCCGCCGAGAAGGATCCGAGGGAAGCCGGCGCGTCTACGAGGCATTTTGCTCCTAGATTCCAGCGCATTAGCTTAAGTACCTTTAATGGTTACTAAAATGGTGAATGAAATACAAAGTTAGTTGCTATGAGGGATATCTTACAATTTGGTGGAGACTAGATTCATTTTGGATATTGTAATCGCTCAAAGTTCTTCCTTCTTCAAGTTGCTTTCCGGCGGAGATGAGACGTTGCTGATCTGGTGCGGTATCTTTCTTCATGGAGCGCAAAGAAACAAAAAGAAGGAAAACAGGCGCCAGAGGTACTTGCCCCAAGTCCTGTAACTAGTCGAAGGCGACATACTACGGTTGTTACGGGGTGACGGTGGCATATGCTAAGGAAGGGACGAAGTTCTGTGTTGTTGGGCGACATGACATTGGCCCACGAAATCATTTATCAATATTTGACAAAGTTGGTCTTTCATCAAAATCTGTCAAGAAATCATCGCGTCGCCTCTATATTGGATGTGATTTGAGTGAAAGGGGTGGTCAAAAGATACTCTCGCTTATGGGGGGAAAACAAAATTGTTGAAATTGAGGAGAAAAACATATCAATTGATTAATGATGCTCAGCTAATCTCCCTACAGTTCCTCACTCAAGCCTATCCATCAAGATAGTCGTCTACATACGATGTGCCTGTATACTAGGCCAAAAGAACTACAATGAGCTGTAACTGATTAGTAGCATTTACGTCTTGCCAGGTTCTTTTGGAAGTAGTCAACTTACAAAATGGCCGCAGCCGAAAAAACACAAAAAATGAGCTGCAAAGCCTGTCCAGCACTAGTAAGCAGGTGAATTGAAAATTCCAGGTCAGTCTCAAAACTTGCAGCCTTTTGGTCCCAAGTTACGTGGTAAGTGATGACCTGAGCACCACCACCCATACCCTCCTCAACTCCTCCTCCAACCACCCGGTCACCGCCAGACCTCTCTTCTTTGAATGCCGCAAGGGGCACGGCGACGTCTTCTTCGGCTCGGTCCCTCAAGGCTATATTCACGTTCAGAGAAACAGCCGTTAGCGACAAAGGGATGTGTAAGGACTAACGGTCAAGGCGGCGGCGGCGAGGTCACTGGCTGCCCTCGGAGAGAGCTTCATGAACATTTTGCCTATTATGGGCCTTGTTGCTGCTGCCGCCGGTGCTGCTGGTCGTCATCGTGGTGGTGCTAGGTTTGCTGGCGAGGCCGCGAAACCACCGCCGCCCGAAGATAATCGAAGGGATGCCCTTCGGCCAGTCATGATAGTTGGCTCCTATATTCCATAGTGTTAGCTTGAGTGGCCAGCGAACCGTGGAATGACAGGTCGAGGTAGACCAGAAGGACAGTTGCTGGGAGGGATATCTTACCATTGTGGTGCCGAGAAGGGGATCGTTCCGAATGTTGTAATCACTCGGAGTTCTTCTTTTGGATGTTTGGATCGGACAAGGTGCGTTCTTTCAAGATGCTTTTCGGCGAAGATAAAACTTTATTGTTCTGGTGGTATTCCAAAAGAAAGAAAGGAAGAGAAATGAGAAGAGGGGATGCCGTAAGACTATCACTGAGTCAACAACATATCAAAGGAAGCAACCAACAGTCGACAGGTGATACATTTCGAGGAAGGAGCGACGTTGACGGCAATGGCAGAAAAAACGTGACCTTGACTCGCAAGACTTCAAGATCATCTTATATCAGCAGATTCGGATTGGAGCTCGATATGATTTGCTCAAAATGATGGACGAAATATGCGATAATACGTCAAATCGATTGAAGAATTGTAACTCTCATGTCGAGGTGTTTCAACCGTCATCAGCGCACTTCTGTTGTCCAGCACGAAGCGGGTTAGCTTAGAAAGTCAAGCAACATAATACTAATAGATGCAACACTTGATACTCATATCATCAAATCCGTAACTTCGTCTATATACAAGCTTTTTCTCCGGAGATCATGCCCATTCATTACAATTAAACCATCATCAATGGCAGCAGCCAGAATCAGCGTCAATTACGCCGTTGGCAAGCAAGCACATGCGGAGCTAACTCTGGAAATAACATTCCCAGAGCAAGCACTAGCCGCATACGAAGGCAGGACACTGACATCAGCCACGAAAGTCTTAGTGAAAGCACCGCAAAACTCTTGACTTTCAGCGAGACGGCCTGGAACGCTGGTGGCGCGCATAGCACGGAGACAGTTGTCAGCGTTACAGGTTGGGGCTTTGCAAGCTTCACGCTTGGTCATCTTAACGACGTATCCTCCGCGCTCGATGGTGTTGATGTAAATGTAGCCGGACTTGAAGTAGGCGTATGATGCCCAGGTTCCGGAGTACTGCACGATACCGCCACCCTCAGCGTTGTCATCTTCTGGGTAGATATCGACTAGAGAATCAGTCAGCATTGTTCATTACGATGGTTTAAGGAAGGAGCTTACAGAAGGCGGTTTCGCAGACACCCTTTCCGGTTGGATCAGTTGGGATGGAAGAGACGTCGTAGACACGCAGACCAGCACCGTAATTGGACTGATAAGATAATCCATCAATCACGTACTGATTATGGTCTATACCGCGGTTTGTAGCTTTGTAGATACCTGTCTGCTTTGGTGCTGCAAGCGATGAGATATCCCACTATAGAACTCGTCAGTCAAAAATATATTATTTGAGAAAGTCACGTGTGGCAACTTACGATGTATGTCACAGGATAGCCATCTGCGGCAGGTCCTGCCGAATCCTCTTCGTCAACCTCATCATCCATAAGGAGATATTGCTGCCAGTTCTTGTCAAGAACCCAGCCTTGGTGGGTGTACGAAGCTCCCTCGTAGGAAGTACGGGAAATAACTTTTGAGGCATTCTTGTAGGTAACATCGTAACTAATTTAAATATTAGACGAGATCAGCTTTGTTCCGCGTATCAATAGCTTACATTGTCAGGGTGTCCTCGTTGTAGCCGTAGCAGATATCTCTGCCCTCGTACTGCTTGTCAGGGCCGTGGTAGACGAGACATTGCGCCTGTTTTATAGTCAGTTTTTGTATGAGTAATAAACAGACATTTACTCACATCATGAACGTAAGCATCTTGAGGATCACACCCTAAGCTTTTTGGGTTGGATGGGTCCTTGAGGTCAAAAAAGATAAGACCTGCGCGGCAAGGGCTAGTTCTTGGTGCAGCTCCCACAGAAACTCCGTATCCCAATTCTTCGTTAATGACAACATTATGGGTCCTTCCCAGAGGGAGATCGGCGAAATGGCCAGTCAAATCTTTCTTGCCGTCGAAAGTAACAGGGCTCGCTGGATCAATGGTGAGGAGCTGCGCTTGTCAGTTTTTGGCCGAATATCTAAGCGATGATGATTTACCTTTTTCATGTCAAAGATTTGAATACCGTGACCAGGTAGTTCACTACCGATGAGCATGTAGTTCTTGTAGCTACGAATCTCATGCCAGATTGAATAGTATCCGACTGGGGCGTATGAGGGACTTCCGAGATATTAGCCGAGGATCCAGGGGGGGCGAACATTTACTCATTTACTTACAGGAATCCTAGCTTTACCAACTGCCCAGTCTTGGTGATTTCAACCATGGCAGTACCTTCGTATGCTCCATGGGCTGCGGGAGGTTAGGCTCGTTGCTATTTGCACTTCATGAAAGGACAAAACCTACCAATAAACTCGCGGCCAGAGTCGGGGTCTGTCCAACCCCACGTCGAACTACCCTCTCCGGTAGGAGCACCAAGATCTGTGTGAGAAATGAAAGAATACAGATCCATCTAGATGAGAATGTTAGCCACGTGACTCGATGGAAAATCTCTCAGAGTGGTACAAACATTCTTGCACTTGAACTTGTACAATGGGTCGCCCGGCACCGCGTCGGCAAAGCCATTGATACACTTTGTATATCCGAGCTATAGAGATACGCATTAGTGTCATTTCGTAGACTACAAAGTCTCAAATATGGTTGGGCATTCGAAGCCATGCCAAGTTTTAATCGACAAAGCCTCGTGGCCATCACATATCAAGCTTTGTGCTAGAGCTGCAACGTACTTTGGGGAACTGTGAGGAGTCCATGGCACCGGCGGCAGCCTCACTCTCCCAATGAGCCTGCGTGAAGTTAGCATAACCAAGTCTGAATTTAGGCATGCTACCCGACCTTTTTAGCAGCCATGATCTTGGAATGCTTAATTCCAGAGTCGTACAACTCTGAATAACCCAGTCAGTTCTGTATTATCGCTTGGGAAGGATAATTAATCACTTACCGGCTCCGCGGACCTCATCTTTGGCAATTTCCTTGGAAAAAGCAGCTCCGGCGCTGAGCGCAAGCGCTCCTAACGAAGTGAAACGCATCGTGGCTTATTGTCAAAAAATGGAAGCTCGAAAGTAAGCGTCAATTAATGAGGGCTTTTGAGGGAATTGAATCCTTGACAAGAAACTTTCTGGCCAAAGGAGAGAGGGTAGGTACATATACTGCGCAAGATAATGCGTGACCATAGTGGCATCCCAACTTTGAATGCATCTTGGCAGGTGATACAAGGAACTATACGACAGCGCTTGAGATCAATAAAGACTATCGTTCTGAGAAAGGAAAGTGTCAAGATACTTGGCATTTGGAAGAGATAGTGACAAATTACATGCTCTTTCTAGAACAGGCGTGGTCGAAGTATGAGAGGCCAAGATATAGTGGCAAACCCGACAACACGGCTTAGACCCTCAAATGTCTGGTCGTGCTGGATTGATGGTCTTGAATCTCTTGGATACAGAAGCTTTCTGCACATCAAAGGTTGTAGATTGCAAGGCTTGGTACGAATATGGCAGGTGGTAACAATGGCTAAGCGATTTAGGCTCTTGGTGATGCTTGGCGAGTGCCATCTCCAGGTTGACATCTGCAGAAGAACATAAACGAAGAAAGCGGGGGAGGTGGTATTTGGTCTCACCAACATATGCCATATTCGAGATCTTCAAAGATTAATAGATGTTGTCTTCGAGTTGAAATTGGAGAGGTTGGTTACTATCTTGCAAGTTGCACTTCTGTGGTCAAGAATTCTTCGCTTGAAACCCCTTGAACAATGTCGACGAGCACGATTCGAAGTCAAAACCTCAACCAGGAGGTTTATCATTGCCATACTTGCTTATGCTTGGCTGCAGATCGGGCAATCAGGGCAAGAAAGGTACACCCGAGCCAAGGGCTTTTACTCCATACGATTGTACCGAGGCCGGCCGCAATCGACGACATCTCGAGGTTACTTTTTGACGAAGGGAGCGAAAAAGTTGGAGACATGTTTCCTCAGTAGCGACTGAGATTTAGAAAGGCCTATTGCGTCGGCTTCGTCGCAGAGTCTTTGCAGTCTGAGCTGGAAATCGAACTAATTTTACTTTGTCAAGACAGAAGCTTCTCAATCCACAGGAATTGTCGAAATCTTTAAACTTTCGAAATGGAGATTCCTCTCCATGGACATACACACATACTGCTATCAATTCAGGACATCAGTTATCATACCATGACACGGGAACGGATAGACTTCAGGACGTTGCGTACGCTCTCCCAATACCTCTTTGTCTAGAAAGGACACTCGGTCTTTCGCTCAGCTCTGCGAAGAACACGGACGAGAATGGTCAGCTTAGCATTGTGGTTTGAATAATGGTGTAGAGAGAGGTAGTAGGCAAAAGATGCAGTGAATGCTGTCATACGACTTGGGCCAGAGATCAATGCTTGACAAGGTAAGTCAGACCAACTGGCTTTGCGCCATGCGCACGAAAGCTCAAGAGTGAATGTCCTATGCCGCGTTGTCAGGCAGTCGACGAAGCGTTCGGCAGAGGAGGAGCCAAGATCAGGGAATGTCAAAGGTATGAAGATAGAATTCAGCGCTGAGGTGAAAGAATTATGTAGAGAAAAGGTTGCGCACTTTGGTGGACGAGAATGATGGGTTGTCCTTGGCACGGACCGCATGGTGGGCTTTGTGGCCTCTTTGATGGAGTGAGAGATTCCTGCTACTGACATACATACAATCAGATGGTCAACAAGTGCCGGGAATTTCTAAAAGAAGACATTAGACTTGATTTCCGTCCATTATTAGTATGATGGGAGTCGAGAAACAGGATTTTCTCGAATCAATTGACACATCATCCGATATTTCGTCTATCACTTCCAGTAACTCATATGGGAATCCTATCTAGGATACCAATGACAATAAAGTCCAATGATTGTGTAAAGTCCAAGTTGACAGAGGTCGGAGCATCAACCTGACGAGGAATGTGACCTTTTTCACCACGGAATTTGAGAATACGAAATAAAATGCTTCATTCGAGTTCAGCAAATGTTTTAAGCGGGCCTTGATATCAAGAGACTTGGATCTTAATATATGTTGTTTATTTTATTGGAGATAATTGAATTGTGCTGATTCTCTGACAAAATTCGAGCTCATGAAAACAAGTGACATGTCCACAAAATGATCAAAATAGGAAATGGATGTTTAGGGTTTTGATGTGTTGTTCTCGAGTTTGTGAGATTTAAGTACTTGGCTTTGTTAAAATAGCTAAAACATCGTGTTGGACCGTTGGTCACAATTTGGCCTTAATTTCCCAGAAATAGAATACAATAAAGAAGGCCTAGCAAATAGCGATGGGATTTCTTCCTGTCCTGATTATATTGACTCTTGTGTTCAAATACATTTGCATTTTCAAGCGAGTCTAGGTTGAGTTAAATTAAAAATTGAACCGGTGAAAAAATGTACATGCCCTTAGTGATTACGGCTTCTGACCATCGAAAATCTAACCAGAAGCTTTCAGCTTCGTCCAATAAAAGGATATTCGAAGTCTCGCAATATAAATATGCAAAGTTACAATGCAAGACTTGTAGTCAATCCAAGAACTAACGTCAATCAAGTGACTTTGTTGAAACATAGAGTGTCTTTCCATAAGTATCACCTGCTTGAGACTGAACCATGTCATCTCAGCAGCATGAGAGGAGATTTGTTCAACATATAGAAGTAGTTAAAGTAAATATGCTATTTCAAGATATCACAGAAAAATGTAATTAGCGCAGAAACAAATCCAACACCCACGTTGTGATCCCTGACATCAAACCCTTTCTCAACAATATCCAATCAAGATCCTTCCACCACACCAGAACGCAACTCAACCACACTTCAAAACCTCCAACCTAATACCCCTTCCACCCCCTTCCACCTATCCTCTTCTCCTGACCTCCAGCCCAACTCCACCCACAAACCCTAACCTCAATCCCCATGATCAACCCACACCTCCCTCCCCACCTCCTTCCACGTCCCGCCACTATCGACACCACCTCCACTAGTCCCAGTCCCCCCATTACCAACACCCCCCCTCTTGCCCGTCCCACCACTATCAACGCCGCCCCTTATATCAAGAACATCTCTCGCCTCGATACTAACGTCGATTTCTCTACTGTGGAGAGAGGACGTAGGCAAAGGTAGTCCGAGGACGTGAAGCGCGAAGAGGAGTGTGACGAGGATGTAGAGTTCTAGACGTATGTTCAGCTAAGTTCATCTAGTACGGAGGAAGTGGGTGGGGGATTACTGGATAGCATATTCGTAACTCGTTGGATCTGGATAATATCGCCCAGGAATTAAGATCCAACACCTCATGAATTGAAGGTAAATAGGTGGACGTCTCGCATTTATTTGGCTCTTGGCTGTTGGCGATTCTTGTCGTCAGTCGGTGAGGTTACAGTAACCTCCTCCGAGAAGGATGCAAAGTATCGGAGTTTCGCACTATTTTTATCACCACTCGTCACACATCCCCCATCTACGCGCGTTATAGATATGGCTCCCTCTTTTTCCGTTCAACTCTCAAGCTAGCCAGCCAAAACACCTGTAAACAAAAACACAGGGGTTGCTAGATCTAGATCATGGTTTTATTACTTCTAGGTCGTCACATGGTAACCTTCTCACTCCATGAACGCCATGCCTGCGTCCATCTCATCAAATAAGTATCGTGTTTTTCCTGCCATTTACATTGTCCACCGCGGGAGTCGATGCAAGAGTGTTACTTGGTAGGATATTTCAAACAGATAAATGAGAGACTTACCCGCCGCCGAGATCTTTGCAGTTGCGATATGAACGTCGAGAGAGCGTCCTCAGAGGTCGATTACTCAAATGTGGAGGCACAGTACGACCAAATCGATGTACCATTTTTGTACTAATCTTACATCTGCTATCATGACGCTAGACCTCCTCTCTTCTCACTTTCCGAAAAGAAGATAAGCATACGCCACAACCTTCTTACCAGCGGTTCAGCTTCCTCATCCAAAGCCTGTGAATCTGTTAGTAACGTGCATTGTAATGATATTTGTGGGAGATACTTACGCCCGCCAATTCTTCCACCAGCTCCTGAGGCTTGGCCCTTTTCCTGATGTGCTCCTCAACCACCTCGACGAGTAACTGCTCCTGAACGCCCAAGTATTCCATAATCTTCCTCTCCACGAACGGTGTGAGTTTCTCAACAACAGCATCGTCCACAAACTCCCATTTGACTTCCCAAGCCCACAGCCCGTCCTTATCAGTAGGAATCTCCGCAGCCAGCTGTCGAGCAGCGGCATCACGTTCCTCAGGGGTAAGTGATGCAGCTGCCGCTGAAGGATCGTATTTGATAGGAATAAGTGTCCGTTTGGTAATTTTGTCGGCATCTTCTTCATCTTCAAGAAGACCTTCGACTTCAGCGACTGTTCTACGAGATGGTGCAGCTTTTTGAGCTTTCTGCGCGGCAGCACCAAGTGACAGCTTGAACGGTTGTTGTGCTCGGCCAGCACGGGATTCGAGTTCCTCCGCCTGTCGATCAAGAAATGAGTCTGCCATTCCACGCGCTTGCTCTTTATCGGCAGTTTCTCGTTGCCTTTCACGCTGCTCTGCTTGACGATCTTTGTCATCCGCTGCAACTTCTCTTGCTCTGAAGACTGCACGATTTCGAATCCACATACTTCGATCCGCATAATACTCTTCTGTTTTTCGAGATGCCTCCACTTCGTCGTCCCATTTCTCCAATAACCGACCCATCTTCTCTCTCTCAATACTCAGCTTACCTTCATCCTCGTCCTCACGCTCCTTTTCTCGATGTACAGCAGCAGTACGTGCTTTTTCTCGATTGAGCCACCTACGTTCTTGGTCAAGGTACTGCTTTCCTTGCTCAGCTTCCTTTTTCGCTGTCTTCCGTCGTTCCAATTCCTCATCACTGGCAGAGTCGTCTTCTTCATCTCGATTGATCCAGACGTCACCACTTGCAGCACCGTTGATACCGCTGCCATTAACAAATTTCATCCCAGCTTGGTAATCACGAGGCATCTGCGCACTCTGTAATTTAGGGCCAGACGGAGCATTTAACACACCACGGGGGCCCAGAGGGATATTGTTCGTACCAGCCGCTGGTCCGCTTGGAATTGTCGGTCCGGGAGAAGCGAGCCGTGAAGCTCGAGGTGCACCATTTCGTTGTCTCTCCAAAGCTTCCATCTCCTCTTCTCGCTTAAGACGCTCCATATCTCTTCTCGTACTTCGTTCTCTGAAAGCTGTGATTTCCAAGGCCACTGTTTCCCGCATATCGGCTGGAATATCAGCCAGCTCATCGTCGACTGCTAACGGTATATTGATAACTTCCACATTATCCCTACTGCCATCTGCATCTAACATCTCAGTGTCGCCGTCATGAGCTTCTGCTTTGATGAACATAGAGGGATAACATAGTTCGAATAGAACGCCTTTGAGATTCGCCCGGGCAACATCTAACCTCGACTGTTCGGCTGCCGGATCGTCCCCACGATTTGCTTTGTAGTTCTCAAGATAGTTGTATGAATTGTCGTCCACAAAAACTAGTAGTTTGGCCTTTTCAATTTTGACGTCTTCCTTATCTTCTTTCTTCACGCCGTCGCTAGGCTCTTGCTTTTTGAGTGGTATTTCAACATCCTTCAGAACTTCTACCGCGACCGCTAGACTTTCAGCATCATCGTATTGTGCAAATCCAAATGTGCATTCCTTCCCATTTGCATCAATCGCTCGATCCCACCGTCGTAATCTGCCAGCTGTGCATAGAATCCTCTCTACTCCTTCATCGCCACCAGTGCCTTCGGTGATGCCGCCAACGAAAATTGTCCTAACAATCTCCTCTTTGGTAGGCGGGATCAGAGACATCATATTATCTCTCATCGCTTGTCGTTGAGCTTCCATACCCCTTTCAGCACCCAATCCAGGTCTTGCACCAGCAGATACAGGATCCGTGTCTCTCCTTCCTCCCATAGCTGGTGTAGTAGGTTTCGAGGGTCCAGTTCCCAACCGAATGACGGGCGCAGAGAAGTTAATGTTTGGCATATTGGGAGGGCCTTGGAAGCTCGCAGGAAGTCCCGACGGTCGAGTGCCCTGAGCAATGTTGGCTTGCTGTACACCAGGAGGAGGAGCCGTACCTGGCGCAGACATGCCCGGAGGAGGACCTGAACAATTAGAAGCTACAAAGCATTGAGAAGCGTGTACTCTTACCCATTCCTGGGGGCGGTCCCATACCAGGGGGCGTACCAGTCTGGCCTGGGAAAGATCCAAATCCCGGAGGACGCCCATAAGGCGGAGCTATAAGGTCATTTTGTCAGTATTCGAGCTTCCAAACATTGCGCAGAAGGCTGGACATTGGCTCACCTCCATAATTGTACGACATAATGAGAATAAGGTGAACTGCAGAAGAGTATCCAAGCAATGAAGGTCCAGCGCCGAAAAGAGTGTGAGAAGATGATTAAGAAAGCGACAAGTTGAATTAATTTTGTCGCTGGCGCAACACCTACCAAACACCTCAGCTTCCGTCGCGGTCCTCAAAATTCAAACCACCAAAGCACAGACCATGTACATCACCCAACGCAGTCTAGCGCCATATGGAGCTCCAAACGTCCAAATTTCTGTACACCCAAAGCCGCAACGACATACCTTAACTCATCACCACCAACATCCGCCACGTAAGTCCCTTTATACTCGCAAATTCAGAGTCAATAAGAATTAGCACGATGGAAGTCCGAAGAGCAGCAGATTTAATACTGCGTTCCAGCAGCTCGAATATGACGACCTTTCTCACACCCTCAAACATGATCCGCTGGACACAGAAAAGCCAATTGGCATGCAAAACCCCCTCAAAGCCATCCTCACGACGAACATTCACCACCAGCCATAAAACCCAAGCCGCCCGCGTCTCAACAACCACAACCGCAACCTCACCAACCCCCGAATCCGCACCCTCAGAATCAAACGACTCACTCCCCTCCCTCTCCAGCAGCCTCTGGGCCCAAAAGCCCTCCCGCACCCCCTTCTCACCCTTAAAACCCACCTCCTCCGCCTTCGAAATGCTCACCATGCTGAACCCCACAGCCAAACCGGGCTCCCAACTCCCCCCATCCTTCGACAACATCCTGGGGCCCAACCCGAGCAAGGAAGCGCGCGAGCTCGCCGGGAGCATCGACATGAAGAACTACGCGCGGGAGCTGCTCTCGGCCGCGCCAGTGGTGCCGCGTGTGAAACTGCGTCTGAATCCGAGTACGGGGCGCGCGATTGCGGTGACGCAGCAGACGGACGTGGCGTTTGCGTTTAAGCTGCTGGAGATCGGGGTGAATAAGAATAAGGTGAAGAATGATTTTAATCGGCAGCGGTTTCATGAGAGGGGGGGTGTGAAGAGGAAGAGATTGGGGAGAGAGAGGTGGCGGAGGAGGTTTGGGGATGGGTTTAAGGCTGTGGTTGCGAGGGTGAAGCATTTGAGGAAGCAGGGGTGGTGAGAGTACGATTTGGTGGTAGGGTATGAGCTGGAGCGTCACTTTGTATGATATGCTGTATACACTTAGATAGGTATGTGATACCAGATAGAACATATATTTTCCAACACCCACGTTAAAGCTTTAATCAAACACCCTTCTTACAGCAAAACATGAATCCATCAGCATGAAGCACGAAGCGCGTAATTCCCATCCCATCCCATCCCATCAACCACCGCGCACGTGATATCCTAAGCCAAGCCGAACCCGCTCTAAACGCCCTAGTCACTCTGCATACCGAAAGCAGCAGATCAACGAAATTCGCCACCTGAACAAACCACCTAGCACGAACTCTCCAAACAAAAATATTCCCGAGAAAACCCAGCCGAGAACGCCCAGAACTCCGCGGATACAACAAAAAAATAATCAGCAGATTGTGGCGCCGCCCGTGTTGTCGGGTCGAATAATGATATAATTCTTCGCATTAGGGATATAGGGAGCTTAGTATGAAGGATGGAGTTTGGGCGAGATAGGGCAAGTGCGTAGGAAGCCGTTTTGTTACTAGTATTTGGTACAGTAGAGTTAGTGTTGCGAAGTGTTAGGTGCATGGGATCGTTGAAGTGATATGTGAGAGTAATTAGTGCAATAACTAAAGAATGTTGAAACTCAAATATATTACGAAACGAACTACTTCGCCACACTGTGTGAAGCATTGCCACAAGTGTCAAAAACATAATTTCCAAGTCTCCAGTACTCCAAGCAGTACTTGACAGCAATCGATAACCCGCTCACTCAGATGTGAATGCTTTGAGATTCAATACAACAGTGAATCGCTATCTCTTCCCCAACATCATTACAAACTTAACCAATGCACCGTACTGTTTGCAGGCCGAGGTAATTCGTACAAGCACTACTTAGCACCCAGAATACAAAGTATGAATGTCAACATCTGATGCGCCGCAAGATGAGGAAAATGCTAGTGACTTGATGAATACACCTCGTCCATCTTCCATTTGTGATACTTTAAGGATGGACTCCCATCGTCTGAACTGTTAAAATCTTAGTTCATGAAGTAAGGCACGCCATCTCGAACACGCAACTTCGCACGCTCACTTCATGGCCATACAACAGCCACACTGCTCATACTTTCTAAATCACAGTATATGAACACCAGGCACCTATCCTTTGTAGCACCGTACAACAGTTCGGCGGTAGTTGAAAACCCGCGTTTTATCCCCACAACACGAAGCAGCGTACTCACCAATAAACGAGCAAGAACCGCATTCTCCGGGAGCGTTTTCGTCCTAACCAGAAGGACCGCACGCCACGAGACGACCCGGAGGCCATGTCTGTCCAGAGCTAGGGTGACTTGCGGTACTCTCGACTGATCAGTCTATACCGCGTGTTTTGACAACGGATTCTGGAAGACCGCCGGGCAATTCATGCAATCCGACATCACAAAAGCCCATGTTGAAATCCCATCGACGGTCATGGCTCCGAGCTCACCTTACCATCGGTGATTAACGCCACGGAAAAATTGCCCCACTCTATGTCGTCGCTAACGGAGAGTAACTCTAGAACTTCGCAGACACTTGCCTTCGGCGTCGTATATACTTCAGAAATAGTACGAGTATAGACAACACTAATACAGCTAGCACTGAGCGTTATTATTGCCACGAGACCGTGAACCATATTGCTGGGTTGTATGGATAATCGGAATCGCACAATGAGAGGGGCGCGGCGACGGACCTCCCTCCTTTTCGATGAAGGCTCGGTTAACTTCGGGAATTTGAAATGGATTATTCCCGCAATCTTGGGCAATTATAACCTGTGCAAAACGAAAAAACTTGAGCAGGTGGAACTGGATCTGGGATATAGCTTCTTTGATTACTTTTCGGGATTGGTATATAGTATATAAACTAGTCGAACAGTTTATGTCGCGCAAGAAAACGTAAGAAAAAAAACAAACGCGCCTAATTACAAAAGAGACAACAAACGTACATACTTCGTATTATCATGCTCTTCATAATCCTATACTCGTACAAATGGATTGATAGCAAACAAGAAACAAGGCTGACCGTCGAATCTTATTAAACTATAAAATGAGCTTGAACGATAGACAAGTGTCACCTTTTGGGGGGGGGGGGGTAAGCTGGGCCTTCAAAAGCCTCGTTATGAAGCGTCACAGTAGCGTTGACTTTTTCCGGCCATTTCCCATTGGTTCTAGAGTTCCACAGAAACTCCTATGCTAGATTTATCGCAACATCAACCAGAGTCTAGCTGAAACTACGCTCAACATATTTGCGCCAAATTATAAATAACAATACCATATGAGGCATAACTATCGTGTCTCTGACTCTTTGGGGGGTGTACAGTGCGTACTTGAAGCGGGATGTAACATCTCAAAAACGAGAACCAGATGAAGGGTTGTTGAAACAGAGTTAAGTGCTAGCGATCGGTAACGACCACCTGGATCAGTCGCGAATTAGCGTAAGCCAGCCATGAGGACCCCTAGGTCGTACCATGTCCGATCCATATTCCCGCAATGGAAGAAAGCAGTTGGGTGGCACGAAGGTGATCGAGTTATCGGACACGGTCAAGATTCCGAAATCGAGATCCATTTAGCGCCTCGTCAAAGCGTCTCTGTTTCCTTCTGCTTCGAGTTTGTCTTTGGCAGCCACCCCTTTTTAGGCGGCCCTGAAGACGTTGGAGGTGCCACTAACTCCCATACAGCTTCTTGTCCATGGGTTGGATGGCCACGCTTAGCAGTTCCAGATCGCAGGCTTCGGGCTCGGTACGTCCCCGAAGCACGTACGGACTAGTAGACAGTGCAGTAATTGGAGCTGCAAGAGGATTAAGGGACAAAGGGAACCCCGAATCTGACGTGTGGTTGTTACGGGTCGTGAGGTTGCTTCCCACTTATGATAACTTTCTAAGCCAAGAATTTGCCGTCGTCCATAGACAAGTCGAGCCGGATTCTTGACACTTCTTACTCCCTCATCGGTCTTCGCAGCAAGTAGACATCCAATGTTCATTCTGACAAGCTATCCTATGGGGATATTTGGAAAGATCTTGTGCACTCGCAAAATGGGTTTGAACATATGCTCATTCTGGTACCATCCGCGCGGTTACGGCTTCTGGATCATAGAATCTCGCCCCACTGGCATCTAAACCGATGCCTCTCCGGCGAGTGTCCCGAGGGTCCTTTGTCGGACAACCAGAATCCGATTCAATCGGTAGCAACATCGAGCCCTCGCCAATCGTCTGAAGTCGTCGCATCGGGCGCTAGAGCAGAAGCCCATCATGTCGCCCTCTATTTCCGGTACTTTGAGTAACACAGTTTTGCTACACTACTGTGGCAATATATGGTGCATACTGCTACCACACCTAAAGGCTTTTCAGTCGAATGACAAAAGCATCATGAGCGCCCCCCAAACAGCCTATGGCCTGCCCGTCTCCGGCATATGAGGACTTCCTGGGCCTTGCCGACTTCACAGGACAAGCTGTGAACCTCGTTCTCGTTCTAGGTCTCCACGATTTAGACCACCTGGTCCACCACTTTCGGCAACTAACTGTTGTCATATAAGAATCTGATACGTAAATCTAAGAGCAACACTCAATCCCAACAACCCGGAAGGAAGTACAACGAGCACACTTGACGTTTCCGGATCTTTCTGCCTGAAAGTATTCAATCGTGAAAGCTACCCGTTGCGCCCCTCCTTGCTTCTGGGCAAACTTGCTGCGGTCCGTAGATTGGTACGAGGTGCAAAACGAAGGAGATCCCTCCGCCAAACGTAACCCGCATCGAGATATCAACCAATGCCTGGACGACTCGATTTTCAACGCATCGAGTTATCCTGATGGCATTTGGCGGCTTTTCCGTATCCACTGTCTTTGCAGTCTATTTCACAATCCCACCGTCGTCGTCTCCCAACCACCAATTGCGAAAAGCCACACGACAGTCCCAAAGAGCCAAACATCTCGAACAAGTCGTCAATAAATCCTTCCATGGGATCGACTCATAGAAATTAATTAAATGTCTCTTCGCAGCATTCGTCCTGCGGCTGGTGCGTCTGGGAGTAATCCAGGTCAATCCGCATCCGGCAGTACGGGGACCCTAAAAAACCGCGACAAGAGAGACGAAGGCAGCTCTTCCAACTCGAAACGACGACGAGTTCCCGAATCTGTTACAAGAAACGCCTGTTTGAATTGCAAGAAGGCTAGAGCCAAGGCAAGTAACATTTCGCTTCCATCCACGTCTCGCTGACCTCTTGTCGACGCGATTTTTCGGCATTTTGTCTTGGAGGGCCTACGTTGGCTTTCTCACTGACAAAGTGTAGTGTGACGGTCAGAAGCCTTGCAAAAGATGTGCAACACGAGTAGAGACAGCGGAATGTATCTACGAGGTGCATATCAAGCATGCAAAAGAGGAGCTGGTGAAGCAGATTAAAGAATTCAAGGCAAAAGACCAATTGACTGACAGGATCCTGACGGCATTGAGCGAAGAGAACGAGAAGGTTCCCGAGATCATCGAGCGACTGCAGAATAGGGAGCAGTATGAGAGTATCGTCGAATGGCTTGGTCATCCCCATATTGAAGACATTGATTCCACATCACCTCGAATATCGCACAACTCTACGTTCGAAATGTCAGACCACGAAATGGGAGGAGGGCCTTTGTCCACCAGATGGACGTCTGTGAAATGCGATGGTTCAGTGTTCGACCACCTCTTCTCGTTGTACTTCGCTTGGGTGCATCCAGTTCACACCTTGTTTGATGAGGGCCGCTTCGTCGATAATTACAATAACCAGTCAACGGACTACTGCTCCGAAAGCCTCGCAAGTGCAATGTGTGCTTTGGCCTGCCACTTACACACCGCAACCGGCGCGGCTGGTATAGACGAGCCAGATTTTGATCAGCTAGGAGAAGAATTCAGTGATGCTGCCATCGCCAATCTTGATCCACAGGACCACACAATCACCAATATACAAGCATTCGCGGTCATGTTCCTCGTGGACTGCGCACGCGGCAAAGGACTGCGAGCCGCTTCATACCTAAGAGAGGCTACCAGTGCCTTGTCGGCGTTGAAACTCGAACGATTCGAAGCATTGGAGGGATTTAATGAGGTTTGGAAGAATACACTTGGTGGCATCCGGAATTTAAACGTGTCAGTAGACGTTCCTCACACTCAGCCGATCTAGAAATTCTGACCACCAGTAGTGAATGGGCGCAGGTGACCTGCCAAATCCCCGTCCATGTTAACAGTAACGGCTTTGATCAAGTCGAAGAATACGATGCAGCAATCGACAAGAGGGCCTGGTTCCTGTACCGTCATGCGCATGAAGAAGAAGTAGAAAAATTTCCCAGTCTCCTTGGGACGACCAATCGAGAAAAATCCAACCTAATCGACCTCATAGGAGAGGCGACGGCGATGCTGTACACTCTCAACACGGCATGTCTGAAGGCAAATCACATCTTAGGGCTTTACAGCAGGTTTGTAAAGTGGCGGAACGAATTGCCTGAGGTCCTCAAAGACCTGGGAAGTAGGAAACGGCCTGCGCTTCCACATATTCTCTCGCTTTGGTACGTATTGCGCCATACCTCTAGAGACCACGTTAACTGTTTAGGATCCTATATGCCAGCTCTGTGACCCACCTGCTACGACCCTTATTGGAGCTGCCTGGCTTCAGTAATTCCTCCGTTCGAGCCGTGCTCTGGCATCATGCCCAACGCGGACTGCATGTGCTAGATGAGAAGTACAAAACAGCATACACTTGTAGATACCAGCCGGTTCTTCAAATGTTTTCGGTCCTGCATCTCACTGGCGTTATCGCTCAACATTTTCCGGGCGGAGTTTCTGGGGTCGGAACCGAAGGAAGTGGTACAGATGGACCGGAGGCTATACATCTTGGAATAGAAGCCCTCGGGCAATCGCGAAATGGATTTCCAGTGGCCGGGCCATTCCAAGAAATGCTACGGCGCACAGCAGCCCAGGAAAACCTTCTAATCATGCCGCCATCCCCAGCACTGAAGAGGATATATCGCATCGATGATTTTCTCGACGCCTGCACCAGGCCCACGTACCTCCAGCCCTTCGCGGAGATCCACACTAGATTTCATCCTTCGTTGAAAAGCCAATGGGTGGCGGAGGCGGCTACTTTTCGTTTTATCGATTCGATTTTGAGCGCGACAAATAGGGTCCCATCTGCTGAAGAGAGAGGCGCGCAAAGCCTTTTGGACATGAGTGGTATGAGCATACGTAATTTGCTTAACTCTAATTAAAGGTTCGAAATCGCGTTTCCTCCGTGATGTAACTGCGTATCCTTTGCGAAATTTTGGCGCGGAGCGTAGGCTGAGGGGTGGATTTCTGGGTCCGTTAGCAGGTCAAGGAATTCATTCTGTTCCCGACGTTGCTGTCGTCTTGGGGGTTCGGGGAATCATTGGCCATCCGCGTTTTCTGCAAAAACGTGTCTCAATTACCACACATTATATCACACGCCTCTGCCAGAATTCCTTCATGCGTTGTATAGAAGACTGAAGATAATCGCAATGTTGCGCATGCTGTCGTGCGGTGTACGCGGTGTCTTAGTCATGGCCATCTCCAATCCACATCCCGCAGAGTCCTCCTTTGGATGATACAGTTGACTCGAGAGGATGGACGCCAGTTATTGACGCGTGGGTATTGTCCGGCCTTGTGGAGGTGTGCGGCTGCCCTGTCGATCGAGGTTGTGTGTTGCGAGTTTGACTGCTGCAGGCGCTATCCGTCGTATGCGGAAAGTTCCAGTCGGATGGGAATCATCGCCGGAGGTTTGTCCGGCCTTTATGGCGAGCAAAGCATGCGCCTGGATGCAGCCAACCACACAACAGCTGTTCCACCTCTCGCAACTCATGTATGAATTTCATAGCAGAAATTGTGGCGATTGACAGCGTTTGTGGTAGAAAGTCGCCCCATTCGCTGTGCTACCGCAGTGCAGTTGAGAGCGATGGCTGCCACCAACGTACGGCACTGCATCGAGAGGAGAATTCGGAAGATCGGATTGATCGATTGAAATCGGGCGTCGCGGACTGTCTCTTGACGGTTTTTCGAAGACAAACAATGATGGCGTGGAGTCTGGAGGAGAGAAAGTTGGGCAAGAGCTCAACTTTCTCTCCGTCGCGGAGTCGGGGAAACGGCCGACACCTGACCCGCTTTAGCCGTCTTGTGCCGCCGTGATTGGAGGGATTGCCGTAGATCCCTCTTCAGAACGCTGAGCTGCTGCCAGAGTGAAATCCATCGTAATGGGCACGTACTGCACACTTCTTCTGCTTGCCCTGCTTACTCTTCCTCAGTCCCATCTGCCTCCTCCTTACCACGTTCGAGACCTCCAGCAACGAAACTCCGAATACTCCTAGTCTTCGGTGGAACGGTGGCGCCGTGGCAAGACCATGGGATCCCCATAACGCGACTGTCTCTTCTGCCAGCTTGGAGCCCTCCCATTGCCCAGTGTCGCAATCGTCTTGGTGGACACAGGTGCTCCCAGTGGCGATTTAGGTACATTGTCGATCGAAGAGACAGGCAACAGCAATCTAGTCGCCCACTCTCGACGTTTCCGGAGGACCTGACTGAGGTGGTCGTAGGCCGTCGTAGCTGCTGGAGGAATTCAGGGCTTGTACGTCGCCTGGAACTGGCGGATAACGCTCGTTGTTGGCGACTCTCATAGGATGACCGCACGTAGGAGAGTCGTAATGAAGCCAACTCCTTCCTCATCATCGTTCCCTCTTCTTTCATCAAGCCGTAGTTGCGAGTCTTGTATTATCGCCTGGTCCTTCGTCGTCGTAAGCCTCAGTCTGAGCATTGCCCTGTGCTTGTAGAATAGGCATGAGGTTTCCGTAGGTAGAGAGGCGAGAAACTGGTAATATGAAACCACAATCCTCTGGTATAGATACCCCGCTAGTGGTGTGCGGGTTGTGATGTCTGTAGCTATTATCCATCGGAGGGAGCTCGTCAGATGGCATTCGCAACATGTACTTCGATTCATCACTACGACGAGGCCCTTCTATCAAGTATTGGTCGCTGGAGGCGATACTGTTGATGGCGACCATGGTGGAATCAATTTCAGTACAGCTGCCACGACTTGCGTTTTGTTTGTTCGTGACGGGTTTGGTTTGCTCCAGTGTCCGGGTCGTGGTTGAATGAGGGAAGCCATCACCGTTCCTTCCAATCCAGTAGGTCCCGTCGCTAGTCCACTGCAACATAGCTTCGATGCAACAGTTCTCGGAATTTGGACTTTAAATGTTCAACAATCCTGGCCAATCTCTTGACTCGGACGCCAACTCTTCGCGCGGACTTGGTGTTGGTGTTGTTGATGGAATGGGTTGAGAAGAGCGACTGATCCGAAGTGGAGGCTCTAACTAGACCGGCCATATTTAATACGGCAAGAACGACTGCTTGTTTCGCTCTCACTAGCTTCATTATCAGAACCTTTTTTCTTACGACACACCTCATATTGAGAACTTACGACTGATGTCTCGCTTGTTTCGTATGGCGTCGGGGCTTCCGCGATGGCGATCTGAACAGCGTATTGTTCGACTTTCCACGTCATGGGATATATTTACCCAGCATTCGCGTTGACAGAATTGTGGCTGACGGTGTTGCGTCAAATGGCATGTTGACTAACATATCAGCCATATTTGTTACAAGTTGCCGTGGATACCAGCATCAGTTCATCATCGATTGTTTAGCATCTCTTGCAAGGACTGGTCATGTTCCTAGAAGCACTGGGTCCCTTTATGCTCTGGACTTCAGCGCCTATGACCCGATAAGTCACTACACGGACCAAAGCTCCGGACATATGCAACGGCTTTATCGTCGTTGGCATCCTTGGAGCAGCATCGTCAAGCACAGCAGAGAGCAGAGATATCTGAGCGACCAGTACAGACGTTTTATACTCCTGTGTCCGCTTGCGACCTGGGGCAGTAGCTTCCCAATCGTTCAGTTGGCGGTGCATCGAACTTTGCAACCACATTATCTCACAGACTAAACTCAATTGGGTCAAACAGACTTATCCATTATAGCCGTCACTTAACTATTGACACGAGGTTCGAGATGGCTATAGAGTTATCAGAAAGTATTAGGTATACTACATATGACAACTTCCTTACGGTACCCAAGGATTGTCGGCAGTTGGAGTTACACAACGAGTACCTTCCAATGGCACGTAGCAGACCACAGAAATACACCCCAAAAACCAGATATCGACCGACCGTTAATCACACTTGATATCGCTAGTCACCCCTTATTAGTGCCACGTAACAATAATCTCTTCCCCCCAGAACGATCTCCTAGTACTCTCCATCTAGTCACCTCCAAGTCCTGCCACCAATCTACTCCCAGACATCTGACAGCCCAGGAAATCTCAAAACACGACCAAACATAGCCATAAGAAGCACCAATCCACTGCTTTACTCATGCGTCTAATTTCCCACCTACGAGCACATTCGCCGAGCCACTATGTTAAATTTACTGAATTACTATGGCAGATTCTTCGAGTACGAAGCCCCAGTGTCTGATGGGACACCCTTCTAGTGCATTGATGCATTGATGCTAGAACCGATTTCGCATAATATCTTCCTTGAACAATCATAGTTACTCTTTATGATAGAGGCAATATTGTACATTCACTCAAAAGGATTAGGGAAATATAAACTTGGGGCAGAATATTGTTGTTCAAGTCCAAGGGATGTCCTGTCAGTTTTGGGATATACTGGGGGAGGATGTGAGATTTTAGTACTAGATCCGATGTAGTTACATATGAACTAAATATGTTGAACGGCAATGAGACATAGATATTGACTCGAGGAAGATTAGTGGAGAGTTGAAGTAATGACAAGAATAATCACACGAGGTTAGAGGTAACACTAACGAACCCACACATTTCACACACAAAAAGCAGGATATCAAGACGAAATCATACACCCCGAAACAAGACATTCCGGATTCTTGCAGCTCCTTCTTCCTCAAATTTGGCATAGGAATCTAAAGATAGAACATCCTGGATACACATCATATTTATCGTCCTCATACGATTTAGACACGATATCACAGGTCTTCCCTCCCCCTTAATTTCTTCCTACATCCCCAAAACAACCAGCCTCCACATCTGTGCACCCCTCTAAAACAGTACAAACTATATCTCGCGAATCAATGTCTAAGATTGAATGAGAGTTTATCTTGTTTAGTAAAGGTGCTGTATAGGCGAAGGATGGTTGTCTCGGTTATGTTGAGAGATCTGGTGCGTAGTCTGGATGGCGGACTGTTGAGATGGATGTGGGATAGTAAGAGGGAAGGAGCCGAGTATGTGTATCAGGTAAAAATGTAGGTCATGAGTAGTTGTTGTGAGACGTTTCTTCTGTTCTGGTATACTTCACGGTTCCAGCGTGCAAGGTGTATTGTCGAGAGAAGATTAGATTCAAGATGAATCCGATGAAGTAGATATGGGCAAGGTTTGAAGTTTGTAGTCCTCAGAGGGAGTAGGTGTGATTTGTGGGTGTTGGTGGGGAATTCGTGTGGGAGGCGGATGAGAAGGGATACTGAATGATGGATGGTGGATGGAAAGAGCTTTGAGATAAGTTGAGAAATGAAGTGGATTGGATATGTTGTAACAAAATTTGCTTAGCATATTCATTTATATAGCCAGCTATCCCGCTTGAATCTACAGCATGCTACCCCCAGCCCTAAAGATAATACGCCAGACCAGTGAGTACCCATCCATCCATCCCATTTCAACCTAAACCCCATATCATACCCACCCCTTCAAAACCCACAAGCAAAAGGCCAAGCAACCACAAGTCCAAGAATCTACAAAAATTTCAAACGCCCACTCCAAAACCATACAACGCCAGCGCTCAAAGGCCCGCCCACACCTCACGCCTTAGCAACCCACCCGGCATTAACGAAAAAATCAAAGATCCTACCCGCCTTCTGCCCATCAACCCGACAAAGCTCCTTGACCTGTTTTTTCTTCAGCGCGCCATTTCCCTGGACCGCCTCCTTCAGAATCCGTTCCTTAAGCACCAGATACGGTTTCGGCTGGATACGACACATCCGACAAAGCTCGCATTCCTCGGGTGTGAGGAGGTGGATGTCTGGTGCGTTTTCCTTTGTGAGATTCAGGGGCGTGACGTTAGAGAGAGGGGGGATGGTGTATTTGGGTTTGATGGAGGCGCCGTTGGTGTGGCCGTTGGTGAGAGCACCGTTGGTTTTTTCGGCGAGGGCGGTGCGGTGGGGGAGGGGTGTGTCTGCTAATAGGCCGGGGGCGAGGTCGGGGGCGATGAGGGCGGCTACTCCAGATGGTGTTTCGAGGACTGGTGGTGGTTTTGCGCTGCGTTGGGAACTGGCTAGGCGTTCGCGGTCTAGTGAACCCATCGGTTGCTTGTTCTGAACTCGTTGTGACTTTTCGAGTTCATACTTCTCACCTCCGCGCATGGTTTCTACCCCATTGCGCCGCCATTCTTGAAGCTGGGAGATTGCTGCACGGAGGTGTAGTTCTTTGGTGAGACCTGTGGTAAAGTCCTCGAAGTCGTTCTTATTCATCATCCTTGCAAATGGCTTGGCTTTGTTGAGTAGTTCCCTCTCTTCCTTCGTACGCTTCTTGTCTAAGGCAGCGTTTTTCCGATACTCGAGAAGTCCATGTTCGAATATAACTTTCTTCCTCTCAGCTCGTTGGGTAAGACGCGTATTGTAAATATCCATCACCGTCATTTTGAGCTCCATTTCGGGCTCCATCTCGCCAGTCCGGGGATTGATTCCATCTCCAGGATCGAACTGCATCAGTTGGACTGCTTCTTCTGCTTCATTGCAGAACTCCGTCTCAAATTCTAACCGCCCAGGCATATAACCTTGAACTTCATGACATGAAGGTACACTAGCAGTTGGCTTTGTTTTGGGTTGAGCTGGTGGAGCATTTTTTGCTTTTTCCTTCCTTTCCTCTATCCTACGCTTCTTCAGCGTCTGAAATTGTTCCCTCGGAATTTGGTCGATTAAAGACCTGTCTTTTAGACTTGCGCGCGCTGGTAAAGGAAATGTTGATGGCGGAGCGTTTACATATGTGTCAATATAATGGTCGCGAACCTCGTCTTTGTCCCTGTAGCCTCCGATATGGTCTGCGACGTCAGCCCATGAGCCTAGCCCGTATATTTCGCAACCTTCAAGCAGAAGCAGTTCCTCGTCAGCCCCCCAGTCTTTGTCGTAGATGGGAACCGAATTCTGTTCGATAACACGGTAGGCATGAGATAGCTCATGGTTCGCCGAAGTCTCTGCGCTCGAGAAACATTGTACACAGAGATCATACTCGTTGCAAACTGGTGCGGCGCATCGGATGCGAACCTTTTTTTGGCATCAGTTAGACGGCGCAAGTATAGATCCTCAAGACTCACTGTCGAGGTAATATCAGCCGAACACTGATCACAAACATATTTTACCCCCCCTTCCCCTCCTCGAGCTGCTACTTTCTTTCTGATCTGCCCCATCCCGTTCACTTCCACGTCGTCCTCCTTGGGTGAGTCCAATTTGTCGCCGTGATGCGCAGCAACGACCCGATCTCCTACGTTAATGGGAATATGTACGCCCTTTGTGATTCTCGCTGGTGAATGATGACCCGATCTCCTACGTTAATGGAAATGTGTATGCCCTCTGCGATTTTCGCTGGAATGTTGAATAGGTAGGTATGCGGTTGCTGATTTGCGCGTGGTTTGAGGATGCACGTTGGCTGCTGCATCCCGCCCCACCTCAGAACGTTGGCTTTGTCATGTGCTCGATTGGGCTAAACAAGGCATTTTAAAGTGGGACATCAAATCGTGATGAATAGCAAAACAATAAGTTCTCTTTATCGTTGATGGAAAAACAATGTTCGTTTAGATTGAATTATAACTTACTTTCCCAATGAAAGTTTTACCTGTGGTAATTTATTACAACTCAACCACTGGGCACTGCAACAAAGCCTCGCATTATCCCTTGAATAAGGCAACATGTGCGAGTCTCGTGGGATCAGTAAGTTTAGGTCACAGTTATGGTGGTGGTAGGTAGGTGACGTGTGCTCCTTTAACATTTTCATTCCCTGGGGATTAAACATAAGATTCTATGAAGGACCTGCAATAGAGACTCGAAAGACCGGATTAAGCCGCAAGGAGATACGGGCGGCTACTGCATCTTTACTCGACTACCGATATCTAAGATGGAGACATCTATGTCTTATATAATTATCCAACGGGCTGCGGGTCAACTTCTATGGAGTTAGGATCTGTCTACGAAGTAACTCGTATCTTGCAGTAGTCCCTTGCGGAGGACCAAAAAAGTGACAGTCACCTACCTAGGTACCTACTAATCTTGGACCAAATAATAAGTCGATTTCGTATAGAGCTTAAAAACTCTTATTTACTTAAAACAGTTGACTAAATGGTAACAATGTTCTAATTTAATCCAATAAATATACGATTGCGTCAACTTATTAATCGAAGAAAAGTTGTGTATAGACTACCACTTTCATTTTGCCCTCCACGATTCATCATCGTGGCTGAGTGAATCCCGAGGTTGCCTTCAACATATTTTGACACAATTCATTTGTACAGCAATCACAGGCCATTCTGGGAAAAATTACACCTGACTCGATCTCATTACATATATACGTCAAACTCTCAACTTGTAGTTCTGTTGCTTTCATTAAATACTTGACTTTCGTATTCCAAGTTTCTAGCTTCGTATTGGGCAAAATAAGGACAGAACCTTCCTTGTGATTCTTCTGTAGCCTATATTTGAATCTGTTTCAAATAGGGTTAATAAGATTATATTTACTTAAAATCATTGACGAAATATCGTATATTGCGTCCAATATTCTGAGTAAATATCGTTTCGACTCCCGGAGTTAGGCCGAGACTTCTAGTACACGCTCCAACGCCCTCATCCTCTCCCACTACAACTCTTCTCCCTACTACCTACCTTTCCTTCGTCCACGACAACCTAAAATATGTCTTGGAAATTGACCAAAAGTGAGTGTACTCGTGCTTCCATTTGCCACCAGGGAAAAGCGAGCATCTCCCATTTCCCCGCGCAACTCAAATGGTAGAGCGATATTTGCCCGCACCTTGAAAACAACGACTATTGAACGCCGAATGCTCCCAGCTAACGATCACTTCAGAACTCAAGGAGACCCATCTTGGCCCTCTTGCGAACACATTCTCTCGATCCCCCTCGACATCTACGATTACGCCAGACCCTAAGGACGAAAAGGCAGGAATATCTGGAACCTCCACTCCTGCCAACGACAATGGCATTGGTACGTACGAAAGCAAGAAAGCACTGAGACATTTATTAACTGGTATTCGTAGCCGCCTCTGAACTCATAGCGACCCAACCTCCAGCGCAACCCCGACCCGGAATCTTGATCGTTACACTACACGAGGGTGCCGGCTTCTCCCTACCAGAGCAATACAAGGCGACTTTAAGTCATCACCAGCAGAATTCGCTCTCGCAAGGAAACGGGTTTGGTGTGGCAGGATCCGTCCGACCTGGCTCCTCGCAGCAACAAGGAAGTGTTGCTGGCTCATACGCAACAAATGCGAGACCGCAGACATCCGGTGGTGGTTTTGGAGTCGTCCCTACAAATCACGGCCGAATATCGTCTAAATACCTTCCCTACGCTCTTCTAGATTTCGACAAATTGCAAGTCTTCGTCAACTCAGTCGCAGGCACTCCTGAGAACCCCCTATGGGCCGGTGACAACACCGCATATAAGTTCGATGTTTCACGAGTTACTGAGCTTGCAGTACATTTATATCTTAGAAATCCCAATGCCCCGCCAGGATCCGGGCGTAGCCAGGACATTTTCCTCGGTGTCACACGAATCAATCCTCGATTCGAAGAAGTCCGTAAATACGTGGAGGATCCAAAATTAGGAAAGAAGGACAAGGAGAAGGCTGCAGCAGAATGGCAAGCCAGGGAAAAGTCCTTAGGTCTTAGCGGAACCGAATGGCTAGATGTCTCATATGGTACTGGAAAGCTCAAGATTGGCGTGGAGTACATTGAAAACAGAACCCGCTCGTTGAAGATTGAGGACTTTGATTTGTTAAAGGTCGTCGGAAAAGGAAGTTTCGGAAAGGTCATGCAAGTCAAAAAGAAAGACACACAACGAATTTACGCCCTCAAGACGATCCGCAAAGCACACATCATCTCTCGATCAGAAGTTGCACATACTCTCGCCGAGCGATCGGTCCTCTCACAAATCAACAATCCCTTCATCGTGCCACTTAAATTCACCTTTCAATCTCCCGAAAAGCTGTACTTCGTCCTTGCCTTTGTCAACGGAGGAGAGCTCTTCCACCACCTACAGAAAGAGCAGCGCTTCGACATCAATCGCTCTAGATTTTATACAGCTGAGCTTCTTTGTGCTTTGGAATGTTTACATGGTTTCAATGTCATCTACCGCGATCTGAAACCAGAAAACATTCTTCTCGATTACTCTGGACATATTGCACTTTGTGACTTCGGTCTCTGCAAGCTTGATATGAAGGATGAAGACCGCACAAATACGTTCTGTGGTACACCTGAATATCTTGCTCCTGAGCTGTTACTGGGCCAAGGTTACACCAAAACAGTCGATTGGTGGACTCTGGGTGTCCTCCTATACGAGATGTTGACAGGCCTTCCTCCTTTTTACGATGAAAACACCAATGAAATGTATCGAAAGATTCTATCCGAGCCACTGCATTTCCCTGGTCCTGAGATTGTACCTCCTTCGGCCAAGGATCTACTCACCAAACTCCTGAATCGCAAGCCAGACCAGCGTTTGGGAGCTAACGGCGCCTCTGAAATCAAAGCGCATCCATTCTTCCATAGCATCGACTGGCGCAAGCTTTTACAACGAAAGTACGAGCCAACTTTCAAACCCAATGTGGTAAGTCAAACCCGTGTATATTATGAATGTCCACACAATTAACTTTGACTAGACCGATGCACTTGACACGAAAAATTTCGATGATGAGTTCACGCGTGAAGCGCCAACAGATTCTTTTGTCGATGGACCCATGCTTTCACAGACAATGCAGCAACAATTTACCGGTTGGTCGTACAATCGCCCAGTTGCGGGATTGGGCGATGGGGGAGGTAGTATCAAAGATCCTTCATTTGTTGGCAGCGTTCAAGACAGATAAACCACAGGCTGGTCCCTGAAGCACGACAGTCATGATGAGATAAGATTTCAGAGCACAGATTTGATAATCAGTTCCTCCGGCTGTGTATGGGGTTAGAGGAGCTGGGATACTCCTCTCACAAGTTCTGCAAGGTAGTTTTCAGTGGTTTACAGCAGGAGTGGTTTTGACAGGAGAGCAATTGTTTTCCTTGATACTCGTGGCGTTGGATGGGGGTTTATTCTGATTTTTTTTGTTGTTAGAGAGGTTGTCAACTAGGATTGCAGAACTCCTAGCTTCGAGGTTGGGTTTCGCCAGCCATGCGGTGAAAAGAGCAATTACATAGAACGAGGTGTGATGCAACCTATTTCATCCAGCTTTCGCTTTAGCCCTATTTGGGGATTGTGAATAAGTCACTTGCATGAAGTCGTTTATGCTTACAGAATGCTACAACAATCCTACTGCAATTGACACAGCCATCATGAACTAGTAGACGGTCGAGACTTTCTTCTTGGACCTTTATTATGTGAGTCGCTCAGTAATTGCATTTAGCGCCCAACCACACCCCTGCTCGCTGCGACGACCTGACCTCAAGCTGATGGTGGGGTTATGTAAAACGTCATAAGCGATTATGCAACCGGTCTTTCCATCCGTAAATCGCTTTTATTTACTCAAAACCCTCGATTGCCTCACGACTTTAAAGAATTGAGTAGAGCAACAGCTGAGAAACATCAACACAATCTTCGGTAAGTAAGAACAAATTCTGTCCACTTCTGAGAGCATCGTACGAGCGGAAAAACCGAAAGATTAAGACCGTGCGGGGTCGTATCGAGAAAACACCCCACCACTTTCCATAGTCGAATTTATCTCATGACAAGGACCGGAGATCTGAATTGAAAAAACATCAGGAAATATTTGGCTGACTTATGCATTCCCCTCAGTACCTGACTTCCATACCAAGCAATCGCGAGAATTCCCTTCAATCCTAGTTCACCGGAGACGCAGCTGCCAACAAAACAAACCACTCTGTCCAGACATCTCCGGCAGATACAACATATAATCTTCAACTTTCTAAGCTTTGAAGAGATAATATACTCGATCGTACCTACAAAATGGCAGAAGCCGGAGTCCAAGCTACGTCGCTTCCATCATGGAAGGCGTTGCAGTCACACCACGATTCCGTTGGACGATCATTCGTCCTGAAAGAAGCATTCAAGTCGGACCCGAAGCGATTCGATAAATTCTCTCAAACATTCAAAAACACTTCTGATAACTCGGAAATTCTCTTTGATTTCTCGAAGAATTTAATCACCGAAGAGACTATTAAGCTGCTGGTCCAGGTTGCGAAGGATGCCAAAGTTGAAGAGCTTCGCGATGCTATGTTCAAGGGAGAGAAAATAAACACCACTGAGGACAGAGCCGTGTTGCACGTTGCGTTAAGAAATGTGTCCGGCGAGCCCATCGAGGTTGATGGAAAAGATGTCATGCCTGGCGTACAGAAGGAGCTGGAACACATGAAGGAATTTAGTAACGCTATTCGCAGTGGAGAGTGGAAAGGTTACACTGGAAAGCCATTGACTACTATCATCAATATTGGAATTGGTGGTAGTGATCTGTAAGTTCTATTATACGCTGATGCCATCGATCAATTACTGATTATTACAGTGGTCCAGTTATGGTTACAGAAGCTCTCAAGGCCTATGGCGACCGTAAACAAACCCTCCACTTCGTTTCCAACATTGATGGTACTCATATGGCTGAGGCGGTACGTGACTCTGATCCAGAGACCACTCTCTTCTTGGTTGCATCAAAAACATTCACAACAGCCGAAACCACTACAAATGCAAACTCCGCAAAAACCTGGTTCTTGGAGAAAACCGATGGAAAGGGTGATATTGCGAAGCATTTTGTGGCTCTCTCTACCAATGAGTCAGAAGTCACCAAGTTCGGTATTGATGCTAAGAACATGTTTGGATTCGAGAGCTGGGTAGGTGGAAGATACAGTGTGTGGTCTGCTATCGGACTGAGTGTGGCTATCCACATTGGATTCGATAACTTCCACCAGTTCTTGTCTGGAGCTCAGGCCATGGACAAACATTTCCGCGAAACTCCTCTTGAGAAGAACATTCCAGTCCTTGGTGGTCTTCTAAGCGTCTGGTACTCCGATTTCTTCGGTTCCCAGACTCATTTGGTTTCTCCGTAAGTCACAACAAACATACTACCAATACAGCAGTGTCTGTAATTAACCAAACACAGTTTTGACCAATATCTTCACCGATTCCCAGCTTATCTCCAACAGCTTTCTATGGAGTCAAACGGAAAATCAGTTTCTCGTGACAACAACTTCATCAAGACCTACACTACCGGTCCAATTCTTTTCGGAGAACCGGCCACTAACGCTCAACACTCTTTCTACCAACTCCTCCACCAAGGTACCAAGATCATTCCAAGTGACTTCATCCTCGCAGCCGAGTCACACAACCCAACCCCTGGTGACAAACACCAGAAGATGCTTGCATCAAACTTCTTTGCACAAGCTGAGGCTTTGATGGTTGGAAAACATGACGAAGAGCTGAAAGCAGAAAATACGCCTGAGCCTCTTATGAAGCACAAGACCTTCAACGGTAACCGACCTACAACATCCATTCTCGCACAGAAGATCACACCAGGAACGCTTGGTGCTCTGATCGTCTACTACGAGCATTTGACTTTCACCGAGGGAGCTATCTGGAACATTAACTCTTTCGATCAATGGGGTGTCGAGCTCGGAAAGAGTCTTGCCAAGAAGATCCAGAGCGAGCTTGATGAGCCTGGAAACCCATCTGGACATGATTCCAGCACTGGTGGATTGATTGCTGCGTTCAAGAAGAAGGCTGGTCTTTCCTCATAGCTCTCATTGAGTAAGCTGTAAAAGCGACACGCTGGATTTTGGACGCTGGCTGGTGGGAGGGGAAAGCACAGAGGAACGGATAAATTTAGACGTGTAACGTTTTGGAAATAGGATGACTAATTTGCCAAACGATATAGCCAAATTACTTTACATGAAATTTATGAAGCAATTGTTGACTCAATGATGGCTGACTGAAGTACTTGCACGTGCTGTCTTGATGGCTTCATGGAAATTCTTGGCGCTCCAAAGCGATCTCAGATAATTCCAACCTTTTTGCACCTGCGAAATAAAATTTAACTTTTGAGCTTAAAGTAATAATGACATTTTAAACTTTGCTTCGACAGATTTTCACGTCCAATTGTCGAATTAACTGATGTTCTATATGAAGTAAGCTTCAACGCGTTGGGAGCTAATGCGCTATGTAATGTTTTGGCTAGGGCACTTTTTGTCCACCCACTACCTAGGTGTCAACATCACCGCAACCTCACAACCCAAACGACATGGCGATGCGATTCCCGGTATTGCGACTGATATGGGTCTTTTTGATGGGCTTAAGGGTGGAGATGCTGGCGGATGCGCAGGAAGAGCATACAGCGATTCCCCTGCCCAGTTACCACTACGGCGCAAAGATTGAAGTTAGTTGTCTGAATAGGAGCATGTGAGTATGCGCCATTGGATACAAGTGAGGATGGATCTAGGTGCTAATTCGCGTTTGTTAGTGATACAGGCGAACATATTTCGAACGAGAGGAACGAACTGGAGTATGTTCCGTTCCCAGTGTGCAATGAGACGGGTAAACCTTTGGAGCTCATGTATGGGATTGAGGAAGGTATAGAAACGCGCAATACGAGCAAGGAATACAGCTAACACTTTCACTCCGCCAGAACTCAATTGCACAATACCAGTAATAACAGACCCCTTCTTCCACCTTCTCGAATTCTACATCCACAACGATGCGCCCCTATCCTGTCGAATCCCCTCTCGCCCGCCCCCCTCCGTCCAACTCGCAGAACAACCTTCTCCCCCAACCGAATACGTCCCCCTCATCTTCGCCCTCGCAGGCACCCTTCAACTCTCCCACCTCCACATCTCCACGCACCTCAACATCCTCCTCCACTCGACCCCAAAACACCATCTCCACCACCACGACTCCGGCGTGATAGATTCGGGAGCTGCCTACTCGACCTCCCCCCTCTCACACACCACCGGCCCCGCTGCTCTCACGAAGAAACTGGTTATCGGTGACCCACTGCCCCTACAATTTTCTGTAAGATGGTTTCCGACGCCCGCGCTGCCGAGGGAGAATGGGAAGGTGGAGTGGGCGGGGATAGGAGGGCATTTCTATGTTAGCACGGCGTTTTATTGTTTGGTCAGTGCGGGTGCTGGGGCTAGTGTGGTTACAGTGTGGTTCTGGGGCGTGGTGCTGCCGAAGAGGTTGAGGGCTAGGGCGAAGGGGATGGGTGCGAATACGCCGTTGGGGTATGGGGTTGGGAATGGGTGGGGGATGGGGAAGAGGGATTGAAATGTTGCGTGGAAGAGAAGGATTGGTTCTAGAAGGTTGCATGAGGTCGCGGTAGCTTGACTGGAAAGGAAAACCGAAGTGGACAGCTCTTGACACTGAGCTGGCTCGTGTTACATTGGATTGTAAGACTGGAACGATACGTAATAATTCTGGGCAGATAATTGGGAGTCGAGCTGGATATACCATGAGCCGTAATGGCATTAAGGGCAGGACACAAGCTGTGTGTTTAGCGGAACTTGGTTTGGTCGAAATGGGATCATGAGATGAGCGTTGTACGAGAGTTGAAAAGCAATATCAATACTTATCGTCACTTCTTCACGAGATGGGTCTAAATGTGGCTGTGATAGCTGTGATATTTGATCGTTGTTTGGGGTGGACAAGGTTAGTGGGGACGTGAAATTCGATGTTTAGACCTTTGGGTTGATGGGATCCCGGGGACTTCGTGTATGGATTTCAGGAAATGGCATACTTTAGAGTCTTCTTACAGCAGCTTCATATCATGAGGAGCGGACTAATCTCGATTATACTCGTAGCTTAGACGACAGATCCTATCAACTCAAAGTACTGCTTAGACAGGGTGAGGTTTCAATCGTCTTACTCATTCGAACCTGGTCTTATTTACATAAGAAAACAGACGAGATAATGCACGATATTTTGTCTACTTGTTTGAAGAAATACCGTGGTTCAACTGTCATTAAGGAGTTTTATCGCACCAAACATACACAGAATTCTCGAAAGCAGAGCCGCATTCCAGCCTCCAATACAGCATTTTCAATATCAAAGTCCGACAGTTTTTTGACCGTCCAATGTCTGGATGGAGATCGTGCACCTGCCATAAAAGCTTGGACTTCGTCGCGAGTATCATTTGTCGACGGAAGCTCTTCGATTGGTCCAGCGAGCAATAATTGGTGGCGGGTTCTTATTGGGCGCCTTACCGATTAGCGAGAGGGTTTTTTGACTGCTCAGGCATGAGAGGATGTGTTTGTACGAAGCTCAAGAAATTTCAGGAAATAAGTAGATACTTCTCTCGTCAATTGTCTGTATATTTTCAGACTGAAGAGTATCTGTAGAACGATTCGTCTTTCTCAAAAATCATCGAGGAGTTCTGGATATGAGGTGCGTTCAACCTCGGGAGCCGTTTTGTCAATATGCAGGTATTCGGAGCTGAGCTGAAGATGGACCCTGCGAATACAATACGGTATGTAACCTTGAAGTACTCGCAGGGGTACGGGTTTGTACACGATTAAGTCCTGCATTTCTGCGTCTTTATTGCAAACCTCTGATGACCCAAGCTTCAAGAGTAATTCGACTTGACGCTTACACCATTACTAGCATATCTCAAGCATCCCAAGCTTCTTATTACCACAATCCAAGGTTCTCACCACCTTCAGGCTCACGAAAACGCCTAACCAATACTCCATACCTCCCACAGCCTCGTCCCAAACCAGCTCATGCGGCTGAAACGCCCCGTATTTTCTGGACCCCTCCCCCCTTTTTCATTCGCCTAGACGCTCCCTTGGCAGACGGGAACACCAAATATTGTCGTTCTTTTTCTATTTTCATACGCTTGCCTTGGGACAGCTGCAAGGCAGATGAAGCAGGCGTCCAGTGGCTTGTGTGATGGGGAGATGAGAGGGTGTGGGGTGATGCCTGGGTTTATAAGAGATGGAGCTCCTCCCGTCAGGGCTGAACGATTGGAATTTGTTGAGAGTTTTTTGTGATTGAAGAGAGATTTTTGACGTTTTGAAATTTGAGATTTGAGATTTATAAGTTGCAATTTGAAGCGCAAAGGATTTTAGAGGATATTGGATTATTACTGTCAAGATGGCTGCTACTTGGGATCAAAAACGTGAGTTTTCAGCTCTGGAAATTCAAATGCGCGTGGAGACAGAGAAAGAAAGAGCGACAGAAAGAGGAATTGATGGGATATGGACCAGAAACTAATTCAAAATAGCTGTTCCAGAATACTCTGCTCAACCACCAGCGCAACTTCCAACACCAAGTCCTCACCAGAGTCCGATGCAATATCAACAGACCGGTCAACCGTAAGTCCCCCAATTCTCACAATCCTCCATCTCATCAATCTAACGCTTTCTAGCCAACAACAATACTTCCAACAACCAATCCACGACCCCAACAATCCTCAAATGGCCCAAGCCCAACAGCCTCAAGTCGTATACATGCAACAACAACCAACCGGCATGACCTCCCCCGGCCATCCACAAGTCCAGCAACAGCAAGTCCCTATGCAGCAAATCCATCCTCAGCAAGGGGGACAGCCCGGTCAACCAGGCGCCCCAGCAGGAGGCCGCACATATCAGAACGTCACCCCGCTCGCGAGTCTGGGACGTAGCGCTGCGCCGGTGGATTGTCCCGCGTGTGGGCAGAGGAGCATGACGAAGATTAGCTTTTTGGCGGGGAATTATACACAGTAAGCCTTATTCAGAGTCTGTCGGATTCTGCCAAAAGTATTTCGCTGGATTGACGTGAGACTAACGGTTTCACAGCGGATGGGCAGTCGGTTTATGTTGTCTCACCTGGTTCTTCTGCTGGGTTCCATACGTGGTTGATGGATTCAAGAATGTCGATCATAATTGTGGACAATGCGGTGTTTTGCTTGCGACTTGGCATCGTAGTGGTGGTGTTGATGTGCATCAACACCAGTAGATTGCTCGTTGAGGGACAAGATTGGGATAGGAGGTGAAGGAGGAGTCGGGTGTTCACTGTTGATATTGTGGAGGCTCATGACTATATTTTGGCGCGAGGTATTTTGGACTTAATATAATGGCTTTTTTACACGCGATTCTTCTTTTTGATTTTGAAAATGATTTTTGAGTCAATATGCTACATGATCGTTACAGTTATTTTCTTACCTTGCTGCTAGAACTTGTCGGTTTGAAGCGAAGAAAACCTGCGGAAAGACGCAATTCGTGTGTATACTGTTCAAACTTTTAAGGTTATAATGACGCTGCCGCTATGATAAAATTGGGGTACTTCCATTGGAAACATACCGACTTAAACGAAAAAGCTAAGAGACAAATCTTATCATTCAAGCAACAACGTCTTAGTATTTGAAGAGCTAATATTTTCCAGAGTAGACAATTTCAAGTGTTCGAGGCGAAGTTCGGTGTAACAAGGCACGAACCGTACTTTTGGTTTTTGTAAACGGTTTTGCTGCAGGACGCATTTTCCACGAGTTCTTCCTTTCCAATTTCGATGACTACTTATGTATTTGATTCAACTTACCTCTTCATTTTTAGTAAATCGGGTGTTTCCAATCGTGCTGGCGAGAGTGGAGCTGCCCAATTCTGCAGCGTTTAGCTTCGCTTTTCAATTGGCAGAGATTCCCCACGACTCGGATTCATGCAGCAGATTCGCTTGATTGGACATCTCGTCAGCAGCCTGAACACAATCTTTGCAGACATGTAAGTTGGCGGCGGGATACTCTCTTGTGTTTTCACAGCCTTATTATTTTGTTAGTTTATCTACCAAATGCCTTTGGTAGGATCACTACAACTTTGGAAATGTACGGAGTATTATGGATCTTGACGACGCTTCTCTGTTAGCAAAATCAACAGCGGAATTTACTCACCGACATCCTCCAATCCAGATATGCACACTTTGCAAGCTCCTTTTTGAGTCTGAAACTAGGCTTCCCACGGCTCGAACCATTCCACAACAGATATTCCAAACACCTGAAGGATATTATTTCCATCGAACAACTCAAGAACTCGAGCTATCGGCTAACGAAGGCTGTAAATTTTGTACAGATGTGTTCAAACACCACCCTCTGCGGAATGATTGGAAGTTTGAGAGCAAAGACTGGAAAGTCACTTTGAATATTTCTTATGATGCCCTTGAAAATCGTCTGGTTATTTGTGGCTGGCGAGCCAGTGATCTTTGGTTGGGAGCTTATTGGAGAAAAGAGCGAATGAGTGTCTTGGTGGATTGGCATTTGTTCACATATTCTGGTATCTCTAGACAACGAGTTTTTTTTTTGTTTTGGCATAACAGCTAATTTCTTTAGATAACCCGGCTGCTCAGTACATTACCGGAAGAATTCCCTACGTAGGAGTAGGTTCTTCTAGAAGTTATGAGACGGCCAGAGCATGGTTAAACGAATGCATAGAGCATCATGATGACTGCAAGATGCCTGATATTGTTATTCTTCCAAAGAGGTTGGTGGAAGTGTCGCCTTTAGGAGCTATAGAGGGTGCTCGCTTAGCCCAAACGGAAGGACTTGTTGGAAATTATTATGCACTGAGCTACTGCTGGGGAAAGCCACAGCCATTTTCCACAAAGTCGGACATCGTGGAGAAGTATTCGGAAAGTCTTCCTATCGACGCATTGCCTCAAAGCATTTTAGACGCGATGGAAGTGACCCGTCAGCTCGGAGTTCGCTTTCTATGGATTGACTCGCTCTGTATAATCCAAGACGATCCTGCAGACCTAGCGAACGAGCTTGGAAATATGGGCAGAATATACCAGAATGCTCAGCTGACGATATCTGCGGCATCGGCAGCAGATTGCACAAAGGGCTTTCTCAGTCGACGGTCAGGAGCCGCCGAAGATGAAAATCCACGGTCCTGTTCATTAAACGTGGATAAGCATGTCTTCGGAAATTTCGTGCTGAGCACACACAGCAATTGGGATGGCCATTGGAGTCGCCACGTTTTGCCCATCAACAGTCGAGCATGGACACTTCAGGAAACTTTACTCGCCCAACGACTTCTAATTTACGGCAACGAGAGCGTAGTCTGGAAGTGTCAAAGCCCTTCTGCAAATAAACCAGATTGGTATCGATCGGCTGGTTTCTTGGATTACTCTACATCCGACATCATCGGCACACGTATTCCGGACGCTGATCAAGGAATGGGAGTACCACCAGTGCCTTACGATGATCAGAATATGGTGAAGAGAATGATGTGGGGGAATACGGTGTGTCATTATAACAGACGTGATCTTTCAAATAAGCAAGACAAACTTCCAGCTATCTCTGCTGCTGCGGAATTCTTCTCGAAATTTCTAGGCCCGGAGCCGGGAGATTATTTGGCTGGTCTCTGGAGAGGTACTCTGGTGTATGACCTCTTGTGGTATATTGAAGATGACGATCTCGGTTCCCGGGATGTTTCCAACCATCTAGTTGCTCCATCGTGGTCGTGGGCTTCTGTTTCTGGACGCATATCTGATAGCTATGTCAGTCTCACCGCTCAAGGAAAGTTTGTTTCAACAGTTGACATCGTGAGCTGTAGTGTTAACCTCTCAAGTATACGCACACCCTTTGGTGAAGTCCGAGGTGGTGAACTCGTTATTCTCGGGCATCTGACTCATTTGTTAATTGGTCCAGGTCATGATATCTACGGAAGAATCGAGAACTCAAGATTATATGAATCCGATACGAGGAAAGCAATGGAAGATACGAAAATAACATGGGATACAGTCGATGATTTTAAGAGGTTGATGATGACAAATAGACTGTCACTCTTGCCTAATGGCGCAGATCCTTACGTCCCAGCTTCGGTAGTAGTTTTAGGATATACATTGTGGGAGGACGATTGTGAAAGTGTGTGGTACAAGACCGCTCGTGGGTTGGTACTGCAAACTGCACCAGGTGGCTCTGGATATTACTCTCGGATTGGAACTTTTGAGAGTCGATGTCAGGCTTCGAGGGCCTGTTGGTGGGAGGAATCAAAAATTAGCACCGTAAATGTCATATGAAGCATCCTACACTTGGGCTGCTTAAAAATCCAGACATAATCTTAAAAAGTTCGAACTTAGACGGCAAAGTATTCATTGTTCTTTTGTGCTCTCCGATATAAGCTAAGATTGATAAGACTCCGAGGCTGTAATTTCTGTGCGCTATTCCAGAAATCCAAACTATCCCAATACCAAAATCTATCTAGTTGTGAATTTTAAACTAAGACAAATAACCAGACGAACGTGACAACGCCTCCTCACCATCCGCGCTTCTCCTGAACCGGGACGAAGCCTGCTATCTTTCTAATACATTGAACAAACTTTTCCACATCACTTTTCTTCCAGGGCATGGCGTGCCGGTATTCAATTTCAATGGCAGCAGAATGTTGAGGATCGTAGTAAGTTTTGAATTGCTCCTTGCCACGCTGGTAGTTTGGATCTATAGTGCCATGCAAGTGTAAAGTGGGCACTTTGATAAGATCAAGCTTGTTGGATCCATCTGGGAGGAGGGTTAGCCCGGTAAGATATGGATATGGAAAGTTGCCGGCTTACCTCGTGATATCGAGCTGACCATAGGTGCTCCCCCACCCATACACAACACACCAAACTGCAAATCAATATCTCCATTTCTGAAAAGACCTGCTTCCTTCCTCCTCTGTTGATCTAGCAATAAGCCACCAACTACTCTAGTCCCTTGACTGAAACCCATTGCTGCCACCCAGTTACCGCCCTTTTGCCTCATCATATCCCACACTCTATCAATTCCATCCTCCTCCATCATACCGGAGCTCTCAAATCCACTTCCATCAGTGAGCTCTATTCCATTTGGGGAAGTGAACCAGCTCCGATAAGGCTGGTATATTTCATCTCTGAATGCTGGAAGGACTTCAGGGCCTGCTGAACGCTCAAATGGTGCGTCAAAGAATACGAATTCATACTCGTTTCGCAATGCATGGGCCGTTGGCGAGCACTGAATCTCTGAAATAGTAGAGTTCGAACCACCTCCGTGGAAGAAAGCGATTCTAGGGAGAGCTGGGGCCATGTTGGTGTTAGTTGGTGCTTTCAGGTAACCAGTTGAAATGGATCAGAGTCTCAGAGAGCTCGTTGTCTTGAAGTCTAATGTGAAGCTTGAGAAGTATATATCGCTCGGTCACCTGAGCAGGATTTCAAGATGGGTATAGAGAAGGAATTGTTTAGAAGATGATGGAGATAAGAATACATCACGCAATGTCAGCGTGTAATCTGACGTTACACTTCGAACGCCGCAGAATCCTACCTACCTGCCGGACTCGGACGTCCGAGGAGGACCAATAGAAGAGGTCATTGAGCTGGTAACATGTGACTGAGTATAGACATTGAGATTTCAATGCATATATATAAGTGTCATGTTGTGAAACTTTTTATTAAGAGGTTTTTATGAGTAAGAAGATGTGGTGTTGTGATGACGTGGAAATGATAGGTTAAAGGTCACGTGGAACGCTACGATCTGGAATTATGGGTCTTTCCTTTTTCAACCCATACTTCAACTTCATTATCTCAAACAAACAAACAACCATCTTGAGCATTGCAAAAAAACCCCAACAGCCTTGAAGTCAAGGCCTGTTGATAGTCTTTTGCTTTTGAGTATCCGATCACGTGTAGCTATCGTGTCTTGTCCAATCGATTCCTGGTTATCTGTTTCTGTTTGTTTCGTACTTTGGGTTTCATGAACACAATATGGATATTCTGCACATGAGTCTTACGCTTCAAGCCAATATCTAGCAATGTTTTTGTCAAGTTCAATAGCGCTCTGTTTCCCTTCCGTTCGTTTCGTTATTTCTTTCGGTCTTATTATTGGCCAAAGTCACGCTTGCATAGCCGCAGTACTTGAGAATCAGCGTCAGTTCAGTCAGTAGACTTAACACACCGTTCTGCTAGATTCTGTTGAGATCCGATTTTATCCATCGTGAGCCGCTGCATCATTATACGAGCTGCAAAATCACCGGTCGTTGCCTACGAAAACATTTTACCGTGTCTTTCATACCACAGATTATGGAAACCTCTCCGCTGCTTCAGATATCCTCCCTATCTACCTTGGCCAATGACTGCGAGTCATGCAGAAATCGTTTAGACCGCAAATCTATAGGCTTACAGGTTTTGTCACAGTCTGCGAAAAGCGGCTGCGCCTCTTGTTCGGTTTTACACCGCGTAGTGTTTGAAGTGTTAGACTGTAGATTTCCAGCATGGACAGAGATCAAAGCTGATTTAGTTGTGGCATTTCAAGCTAATTCATCGTTGAGTATTATACTTAGACAAAGCGGAGAAAGAAAAATACCCTCTCTTCAATTCGCCATTTATACCAGGTACGGTCACCCACAGTCTGCGTCGCCTTTCGTAAGAATAGGTCGCGATTGTTCCGGACCTCGACGAGACGCATACTCTGATGTCTGTAAAGACTGGATCGGTAATTGCGAATTAAGCCACTCACGATGTCGGAAAGGACCTACAACTTTACCAGGCCGTATATTAGATGTTGGATTTCACGAAGACAATCTAATCCGCCTCCGTGTCTTTGAGGCTCCTCAAAAAGGCTATTATACAGCACTCAGCCACTGCTGGGGGGGCCTCATTCAGTGCAGGACGACTAAGGGTAATTATTCTGAGAGACTGGACGGAATATCGGTGTCGAGTCTTCCACAATCTTTTCAGGATGCGGTGACTGTCACAAGAAGTCTTGAAGTCAGATACTTGTGGATTGATGCTCTCTGTATCATTCAAGACGACATAGACGACTGGGAGACGATTTCAGGAGATATGGCTGCAATCTACCGTAACGCCTACCTGGTGATCGGTGCTGATATGTCTGAAAACTGTCATGAAGGGTTTCTGAACTCTTGGGAACCGGGCAAGTACCCAACAGGCCCCGGAAAGCCTGTTGCGTATATTACAGACGAGAAAGCCACTTTATACTGGCGCACTCTTCAGCATGAATTCAAACCATGTTCCGTCTTCGCCGACCGCCATAGGCGACAGAAAATCGCAGAGAGAGTCTGGACTTTCCAAGAACATCTTTTGTCCACAAGAATGATACATTTTGCAGACACCGAGCTAGTGTGGGAATGTGAATGTATTGTCCTTTGCGAGTGTATGGAGATAGACCCCAAAGATACGCCAAGCGGCAATTCGATCGATTTTCGCGGTGGTATGGACGGTTTTCGTCAATGGCTCCAATCTTCCATGGATAACAAATTTTCCATGTGGTCATGTATTGTAGATGCAGTAATGGGGAAAAGCATCACGTACGAGCAAGATATTCTTCCAGCTCTTTCTGGAATCGTTGGCGAGTTTCAGCGTAGCGGTGCTGGTCCATATCTAGCTGGTATATGGTTGAACGACTATCCTCAAAGTCTCTTTTGGAGTGCAGGCGGTAGCGGCATCTCTGATCAACGGCCTGTAGCCTACAGAGCTCCCACTTGGTCATGGGCGTCCATAAAAAGCGACCGGCCCCTTTGCAAATACAGCTTCGGGTGGAGCCAACATAGAATACTCAAGACCTACGCTAAAATTATTGCTGCATCATGCACACCAAAGGGAAAAGATCCTCTGGGAGCCGTAACAGATGGATTCATGGAAGTCGTAGGGCCTCTTTTGCAAGTTCGGTGCATTGAGTTTGTTGGTGGGAGCGCTACACTCGTTGCAGACTCCGAGCTCACTTCATCATCTCTCAATCCTATTCGAGGTTTTTTTGATCTTCCAGAATCGCGTGTTTCATCTAAAAATGTTTTTTGTTTGTATATTGGCTCATGGAAGTATCTATATGGGGTCTTTATGAAAGTACGTCCCAGGATATCTGCTCATTCGGGTCTGTTGTTGATCGCTAGTGAAGGCTTAAATGATGGTAAATATGAGAGAGTTGGAATATTCGTTGAAGGGCTTGTCTCGACTGAAGGTCTTCCTTCTGGGGTTGTGGAGACTGTTGTCACTATCATTTAAGAGGATAAGGTTGCCAGTAATTGTATGATTATCGTATGCCATCATATTCAATAACACGAGGGAGAAGATTTAAAGTTAGGTGGAAAGCGCGTCATCTTCCTAGTTCACATAGAAACATAAACTCAACCATATCAGTAATACAACAAGAGACGTGGTAGTCGTAGTGAACGAGTAGCTGTCGAGAATCAACATCTATTCTGTCAAGTTGACAAGACATCGTATGTTTCATTGATCGTTTTCAGTAAATGGGTTTACTTTTGCCTCTTCATGAAAGCTAGCAACAATCAACAGTGGTTACCTACGTTCTATTGCATTGCGAGTACAGGAGAACTAGCAGGTCTTGCCATTTATCTTATGAGCCGTGAGGACAAATGTGATCGTTTTGACAACTCATCTCGAAAATTTGAACTTAGCCATACCATGGATGAATCAACGTTTGCTGTGATACGAGAGCTTAGATATTAATAAGGTAATTACAACAGGTGACGAAGATGTTAGTGTTGTTCTTCGCCATAAACTTGAGCAAATCGTGAGACGTGGTGCATTTTAAGGCATACATACGAATCTATACAACACGGTATGAAATTGATCCAAGAGTCATATTTCGCAGTTATCAACACACTTAATACGTGCTCAACCCTCTCACTCCCCTGTGTCTATGAAGGCTACCTCTGGAACCCATGCCATGAATTGTCGTAAGCGAAGGTCGGTATCATATCCCTCACTGCGTTTTGTTTCTTTCCATCTGTCGAACTCTGTATCTTGTTGAACTTTTACCATTGAAGGCAAAACTCCCGGACGATATACATTCCATACGAACATTTCCTTTAGCCCTCTGATCGAAAAAGCCTGACCTAGAGCCGCTTCCCAATTCTGCATATTTTGTGACACCATACCAGACATACTGACCCACCACACTTTACAGCCTAGTCTCTGTATCTTTTGGAACTCCTCAGGCAGTTTCAACTCCTGGCTGGGGAGAGCATGCGATTCAATAAGTCGCGGCCAGTCTTGAACAAATATGACATCTTTGGAGAAGTTAACCCATATCCGGGCTTCGCCAAGAGCTAGTCGTTCCCAGCGCTCTAGAAACTTCTTATGGGGTGAGTCGCTCTTGTAATAGCCAGCAAAAGCAAGCTTATATCCGTTTTTCTGCATCAGGTATCTGCTTTCGCGGTTGACGTAGAGCATGGCTGGCGCGCGTGGTAGTTTGTCATCGTCTCTCGCCCGAGGAAAAGTGTTGTCGGAAACGTAGTCTCCAACTAATTGTTGGTCTTTTAGATTCTCGTAGGTGTACGACACCGAAAAAAGCTTCGGCAAGAGTCCACGAGGTTGATAGCCGGTGGGCTCCATGAAGCTAGGGACGGCTAGAGGATGTGGCTTTACGTGGACGTGAATGTTTAAAAATAGAATACGTGGTTGAATGGCCATCTTCCAGATTTGATATCGGATTTCTGTGGGTAAACGAGGGAAGGAGTGGAACGCTGTTGCTTTGGAAGGTCCATTGTCTGGGACTTGATTCTGTGCCCGGGACAAGCGATGAGCAGCGGCCATTATATCGGATTTCAGAAAATCAGATGGAGCTTTTTTTTCATCTGCATTAAAGAGCGAAGAAGAATCAAACTGTGAAGTTGATGGAATTGGATGTACGTGATCAAACGGATGGTGCCTGGAGTTATTATGACATCGGAACGGGCAGTTGCGTGCCGATACGTGTAGGTCGGTGCCGAGCTCGGGGATGTCGGGCCGTAGTTCTACTGATGTGTTACACCCACGAAGCAAAAACTGTACTTTACTAGATGATCGGTAGGTATAATGCGTAAAAGTAGAATTTTAGTTTCTAGTTTAAATGGCATGAGATGCCAATATATTTGATTTAGATAGCTTTTCAATTGTCAGATGGTCTGACCTGGCGCAATCAGCCCTGACCTTAAGCGAGATTATTCTACGACCCTGAAGTTCGTTTCTTCAATCCTCCCTGAGCTTTTACACCAGCAATTAACAAGACAAACTTTTGCACAGCGTCAACTTGTCCTCGTTCTTCCTACTAGCACATTTGAGCTTCACATAAGGCAGGCTAAGACGTCGCAATGCCGTCGTCTATTTGGACGCGAAAGCGTGATCTTGTCTACCTGATCTACTTCATCGTGGCTCTTCCTATTGTGTTTAGTGAGTCTCACCATCCTTGGACTCAATAGCCCAAGAGATATCCCCCATCAATCCCTCCTCAGACTGACTCCTAATCTCCGAAATCGGTCGACTGACAATATCGTGATAGTTATGGATTGCCAAGCCATATATCCACCACAATCTACGCCAGCTGTCTTGACCTCTCTCAAAGAGTTTTACATTAGAAACTATAATGACCAGTTCTACGTTAAGACACCTCAATTCTTCAAGACATTTCTGTGGTTTGAACTACTATACCAAGCACCTGCTATGGCATGGGGTATCCAGGGACTGTACAAAGGTACACCTTCAACCATCAGCATACCAAACCATAAGTTGCTGACACCTCACAGATTCTCCAAAGGTTCCGCTGGTATTATTACCATTCTCTGTCAAAGTATTCCTAACCACATTGACATGCATGCTGGAATTTCCTGGGTGGAATATCCCAAACCAGCAGAAAATTACTCTCTGTACGCTCTACGGACCATACCTTCTTTTGTGTACGTGCATAATGATCTTACTTCCCGTGTCAGTGCTAACAGGTTGTGAAGCTGCTTTTATGATGGGCGATATGTATCTGCGTTTGAACACCATAATCAACAAGCTGATGGCGTCACAAAATGAGGGCACGAAGAAGTCGCAGTGAAATATTCCAGCGCACGGTGACATGACAGTTACAATAATTTTCTTCTAGTCTTAAAGGCGTTTTATTGTAGTCACTCAGAGTAGTCACGCAGGGAGTCAGGGTCTGCGATATTCGGTGGTGGTCATTTCGAATGAATGCACATCTTGACACTGAGCAGCAGTGGGTAAAATTGAGAGATTATTTACTAGTGTCAAGGAAAGTGTTTGCTCGGCGTAGTTTTGGCAATCCTGACCCAAGATGGTAGTTCACTTCAGTATTCAGCTTTAGGTCACTTTCTTTGTGTTAATGACTCAAATCCAATATGACTGACTGATGAGTCAAATCCACAAAGAACAAGCTATTTCAGTTAATTCTCTCCGTATTACACCACTGCTAGCTACGCCACAAAGGGAACAATCAATTGTTCACACATTAACTGTACACAACAGAAATTCATTCCCCAATCTTCCTTCCTTTCCGTATGTTCCAAATGGATCACTCTATTTCATCTATGTCCCACCACAAACAACATGAATAATCCATGAACAATACTGAAATTGCCAAATAAAAGGAATAGTTAGAGATGTAAACTTCAAGTCTACTTTCTTTCTTTTTCAATCAATCATCTGGCATCACCATCCAGTCTTAACAAACAGTTGAGATTTTCGCAAGCAAGAAAACAACAAGCAAGTAGAGATTTAGAGAAAGGAATTCACCAAAACATCCCACAAGATGTCTTCCAAAAAGTTTTCAAAATCCACTCTTTCACCCCTGGCAAAGCCATTTGAGCCTTCCCCACGGCTCTTCTCAAGATACATACCTCAACACCACGCAATAATTCCCCCGCTGGCTGGAAGTTGGCAATCAACCTCGATTTCGTCTACACCTCCATAAGCACCCTCTGGATTGGCGAATACCTCGACACTTCATTCCTCGATGTCCTGCCATATCACGCACACGTTGCGCAGGAGATCAACATCTGCATCACCTTTCCCCCGGCACACGAAGAGACAATTGCCTGCAAGCAACAGCAAAGCATATTAATCCAGGAGCTCGTTCACCGACTCAACGATTTCACCATGATAAGAGCTATTGACATAGCGTTCCAGATCCCGGCGAGTGATCCTATGTACAGCTTCGAGCAGATCATGAATGCTGCGCGTTTCTTCCCACTTAGATTTCGGTCCTGGACTTTCAAGGTCTGGAATGGACTTACAGGACACTGGTATAGTTACTTTGAGGTGGATGAGTGGACGTATGCTGATTTTCAGATTTTGCATTTCGCGCTGGCTTTGAGTGGGCAGCAGCAGGAGATGAATGCTGCTGCTGCTCCGATCATGCATCAAGATCAAGAAATAAGATTTGTTCAAGATACTTCGCCAACTCAGAGAACAGTTGGTCGTCGGAACAAGAACTCGAAGCGCACCAAGAAGCCAGCAGTGCAGGCGCAAAAGCTAGAAGGACCTCCACTGACGATAACAACTCTTGGAGATATCTTTGATGCGGCTGAGGCAAAGACAATGGCAAAAGTAGCAATGGCTAGAGATTCTGAAACGGCAGCTGCTGAAGTTATCTCAACTCCCAAGGTAGTCAGAGCCACTAATGTGGCGACTCGTAAGATCTTAAAATGCCTTGGCCCAGACCATAAGGCACAGTCGGTCTAAGCCTGTAGAACAAAGTAAAACCCTCTAAAAATCCAAAAACAATTCAAAACCCTATCTTCATTAATTTCAACTAGCATTTTTTCCACGCGTGAATGCCAACATGCAATCGACGACCGATTACACTACCCAGAGAGCAAGTACAATACACACACTCGCTTAACCCCCCTTCTCACCCCACGCCCTCCTCAAGCATCTCACCCTCATCCTCGTACATCACTAACACCTTCCCCATCAGTCACCTCTACCAAACTCCCCCTCCAACAACACCTCACCACCATCCCAAAATCTCACCACCCCATCCAACCAACAAAATTCAATACTGTAACCCACCCTAACCATTTCCTCCCTCCATAACCCCCCCCTCCACCTTTCCCTTCGACAACTTACGATAGATAATCGCAGCTACGTAAGTTGGTAAGTACTGACAAACCTCTCACCAACCAGCCCATCGTAAACCGCATCTAGAAGCTGTTTATTGCGTGCATATGCAGGCATCTGTTGCTCGCCAGAGGCGTTACACGACATAGAGGTGGTGAGGGGTGAAGGAGGGATCGGAAATGTGGGTGCGGGGATGGATGCAGGGAGGCTTCGGGTGGAGGGCTTGGGAGGGGAGGGGTGGTTGCGGCTTGTTGGTTCGGGAGTGTAGGAAGCACGTAAATTAAACAGAAAGGAAGTTCAAGGAAAGAAAAAGATAATAGTGTAGATGGTAGAGAAATGATCGATTCTATCGCTCACCCCCATGAGAATGATTAAATAAATAGCGAGTCCAAATCACCACAATCAAATATAATTCTTCATTACCCTAATCCCCCAAATAACAAAAGTATCGCAGACTAAAATCCGAACTCATAGGGTATATCTCCATTCTTCCACAGAATCATTCTAAGCAGCCTTAGTCTCAGTCTGCACAACTCGCTTCTCGTCGATGCCAGCACCATCATCGCCGTGGAGTTCCTTCTCGATAAGATTGATATCAACATGTGCGACCTCAGCAGCATCACCATCGAAGATCTTGGCCAGCTCCTCGAGAGTGGGACCGCGGGTCTCGACGTAGAAGAAGTAGACGAAGCAGAGCTCGACGAAGATCCAGATTGTGTAGATGAGGGAGAGATTCCAGTGGTGTGGAAGGTTGTCCCAGGCGATGGCGTTGGTGTAGCTGTTATATGTTAGAATATATTTCTGGGGAGAACTGGGAATTTTACTTACTTTCCGAGAACTAGAGTGGCTTGGACAGTGAGGTTCATGATCATGAGTCCCTTGGCACGGAGCTTGTATGGGAGAATCTCAAGGGAGTATGCGACGAGAAGACCAGACCACGCTAGAGAGTAGAAGACACCGAAAACCCAAACGAACACAACTTGTGGGTAACCAGCAGCCATCTTGGGGTTGAGCGCATCTGGGTCTGGGTTTTGCTTCTCGAATTGCGAGGCGGTGATGGTCCAGCACAAGAAGCAGACACACATTCCGACGGTGGATGTCAAGAAGAGTGGCCGTCTACCGACTCTGTCGACAAGGAGAGCGCAGCCACAACTGACCACGAGGGCGAGAAGAGTTTGTCCTCCGTTAAGCTTTGAAAACTGTCAGTAGTTTTCCGTTACAAGATATTAATTAACATACCGGGATCTTTTGGTTTTGCTTTGTAATACCCATGCTGTTGTAGATAAGATTCATGTAGTTACTGAAGAGAGCGTTTCCACTGTATTGCGAGATGATACCGAGAGAGATAAGAATGGCTAATCTATATCGATTTCCCTTTGTCTTCAAGAAATCGCTGTAGTTACTGGTCTTGCGGAATTCAAATTCGAGTCTCAAAGTCTCCTTGATTTCTTGGTACTCGAACTGGACAGTTGGGTTATGCTCATCACCGTTAGCGTGATAGTAAGCTAGAGTCTTCAAGGCCTCTTCTGGACGATCCTTAGAAATGTGCCATCTTGGTGATTCTGGGACCCAGTAGATGAAAGTGAGTTGGATAACTGCAGGAAGAATTTGGAGAAGGGTCAAACTGCGCCATGACCAATCGTTCTTGATCTGCATAGTAGCCCAAGCAAGCCATGCAACGACTAAAGAAGTGTTAGTGAGATTCAAAGCGTAGGAGAATATTCGATGTTCTTACAGAGAGCACCGAGATTCCAAAGACAATTGTAGATTGTGGTGACACGACCTCTGTGTTGAGGGTGGCAAATTTCGGTAAGGAGAACAGGGGAGGACAATTGAGACAAGCTGTTGCCGAAACCGAGAATGAATCTACCACCAACGTACACTGATAATGTTAGCTATTATGTCAATGACAGGAGGGTAAGTTCAACTCACTTCCATAACCATTGGAAAATGCACCAAGAACACCCCCAAGAATCATGAGAAGGCAACCAACAGCAATGGGAAGCTTTCGTCCCCACCAATCTGCCATATAAGGGCTTGAAGAGTTTCATTAGCAAAGTACAGTAATCTGTGATACAGTATACTTACACAAGCGGAAAGCTTGCAAGACTGCCAATCTGATAAATTGCATTCATCAAACCAAGCGAGCTGCCAGTCGGCTTCTTGAAGTAGGCTTGCCACTGATCGAGATTCTGCGAAGTGTTCAACATCATACTATGATGTCCCGTCAGCAAAGGGTTAAATAGATAAGCTGCTGATAATCTCACCCATCATAACCAGTTGTTGCAGATGCCACGCAAAGGACTGCACACCAGAAATACAGTTTCCTCAGATTGGGATCCGAATACCACTGCACTTTCTCGAATTCAGGTGCCTCCGCGGCAGCAATACCTGCGGCATTCTTCTTCTCGGAGCTGACGCCCGCAAATGCAATACCAACCATCCTGGCGTGGGTTGAGGTTTGTTGCGGTCAGGATGAAGAAAGAAGTTTCGCTATCAAAGTGTGAAGTCGATGCTTTCAACCTGCGACTGTGGAATGAATTTAAAATTGGATATTCTCCAGAGATATGAGTCTAGATATAGAAGTTGTTGGTTTGCTCCCAAGCATGCAAGGATACGAGCGGGGTCCATGGGACATCGCATGGTTTCGGGAACCATTGCATGCTTCACTGCACCTCGATACCGTGAATAGGGTCTCGCCCACAACGCTCATCGTCTGTCTGTATACGGACATTTGGTGTCTTTCAACAGATCCAGCAAATGATGGCCATATCATGTCGCTGATAGGCTGACAGTTTCAACATGTGAGCGCCAATTCCACCTATCAAGAAAATAACGTGCGGCGTGCAGATTGGCTACCCGGGTTCTATACTGCCATCGACCCAGCGCCACGATCGTGAACAATTATCCAAAGCAGAAAAGTTCACTTGGGTCCAGAAGCGTTTGTCGGCTAGACTGCATAGCTTCCGCGCACGCTTTCCAGATTCACTTGGACTTAGCAAATATTATAGGTACTTAGGCTAATTTCAGTTAGATCGCGTTTGAGAAATTTGATTGGACTAACTTACGGTTCAAAGAATTGTGCATTCATGGAAATTGCGGCGCAATCATTGATCTAGGCAACTCAAAAACCAATAGCCAGAAGCAAATCGCTTATAGCTGCCCCAATACAAAGCAGATTGAGAAGAATCTCTCGTTGGTAAACACTCATCTTTCCAACATATTCACGTACATCGAGGTCTCGTTCTGCACACCAAAGTGTGGGGGAATTCGTTGGCGAGTTACGGAAAAATGGTTCAAGGATCCGAAAAGGCGTTGGAGGCTTGCTCAAGGCTTTCCCCCAGGTTAGGCTAAGCTTCTTCTGGTCCCGACCCGCAGAAATATCCCAGTGGCCAAGGGGAGAACTCACGTGATACTGATGCACTTCAGTAATTGCTCCCCTGGTAACTTGTAGAAGATACTTGCGTAGGCAATGAGTCGACAGTTTCATCTAGACAAATGATCTTGGCCTAGTAGATTCACCTTGCTGCGATATCGGTCAATGTTGTGCTGGTGGCTAGAATCGTGTAAAGGTAAAAGTAGATGAAATGATCGATGAACCCAAAGTCTTGTACGTAAAAAGCGGAAATGCTAATGATAAATGATCTGTTAGTGACCAAACTTTTCATGTACCCAGTACTACAGTGCCTAGTACCTTTGCCTTTTGAATATGTGTTTCATGTGTGGAAATGCACGCACGCGGCTGAGTCTCCTCGGAGCAACAATTTTCGGGCACGACTTGCTGAGCCATGCAGACGCGACACGACGAGGATACTGACGAACGCCGATATGCTCTGTGCGACTGTACTCCTCGACGGCCACTCGGCACGATGTTCCCTATGCCACATCTTTGTCTCTGGAGAATTTTCATGTCAGTTGTGATAAAAGACGCTTTGCGCAACCGATCGTTAGTCGCAGCCCAAGAGGCTCCAAGAGGCTTGAGACATCAGGAGCTGTTTGGGAAGAGAGGCTTGCATATCCATGTGATACGCAGATGAGGCTGGAAGAAATATCTTGATAGAATCTAAATCAGGAGACTTGAAGAAGACGATGAGCTGACGTCCGGAAATTTCGGTTAAGCTTACCGGGCGCTAGAGGCGATGGGTCGTAATCTGGGGTACTCCCGTACCCCATGGGAAAATGCAACCCACCCGGACAACGAAGCAACCAGATACTCCAAACCTCGCCAATTGGGGGTCAACTTGGCACGTGGAGCGTGTTCTCTTGTCCCCAAGATTCGATAGTTTGGCCGAGACATGGAATGGTGGGGAAGTGAAGTTTTTGCATCACGACAAAATCCAGCAAACGAAGAATGATGGCCAGCCAGGATCCGCGAGTTGGACGAAACATTGAAGTTTTGAGTGTATTCTAGCTCGTAATCTTCGCCACATCATTGCCACTTTTTCTCATACAGCGATAGATGACAGGAGTGGGTTTTCGTGTAGCTGAGTTTATACCTCTTCGGCAAAATCCCATTTGACCGACGTTGAGATAGAGCTCTCCGAGCGAGCGGCTAGCTCATCTATCAGAATACGAGCAGCAGTACCGTTAAGGTACTCACTAGGGTCCCTACTAGCTCTGACCTAGCTGATTCCGACGTTGTGGAAGGCACTCTAAAGGAGTGGATACTTGCGTGGTACTCGCTCGCGAATCTGGTCATCAATTTGTCGACGTGGTCCATGCTCAGGAACGGGTTCTGAACACGTCTAGAAATGCCAGCTACCGAGACGGGGTTGAACAAGGGGAATTGAACGAGGAAATTGAGAAGGGTAACAATTTGTCGCGGTAAGCGCATCGACAATCATTCTTTTCACGGTGTTTCTGGCCGATTTCCGGGGCTTTCGCACAGATAATGATCTCTCCTAGACATCATCGGAGTTCAGGTCCTGTCACCGGTATGATGCTCGTGGCGTGTTCCAGTGTTGATTTTAAAAGCCTTTGAAACGAAAGGGGAGAAGGGTCCATGTATGATCGAAAGTATTGAGAATGGCCAGTTCCTGTGGCAGTCTAATCCATGATTGTGGTCCATTTCACAAACACCACTCCGAGGAGACGACGCAAGAATGTCGAGATTTGTAGCCTTGTTCCCAACTCAAGCAGATATCCAGATGTGTGCGGTGCGTTTTGATGGGTACGCACATACGAGATAGACCTGTTGTCGAACCACGGTTGCCATGACGAATTTTCGAAAATCCCGATATCTTGCTTGCCTCAGCATTCCTCATCTTCGCATTCACGACTGGTGTGCTTTCATCGTAAGCTAATATCATTTAGCAAATTATTCTTGTTAAAGGCCGATCGTTGGTCCTTACCTTCTCGTGTAGTTGCAACACTCTTTCCAAAGAAACGAAAGAATTCCCGAAAAATATCACAGCCATCTCAGTTTCATGAACTACGTCAACATTGACCTTCTCTACCCAGAAAGGCCTTGTCATACTTCGAAGTCCATAGGGGCATGGGTTCAATTGCTAGGCAACTTCTGATTCTCTCACCAACAGCTCTCCCACCAAACGAATAATGACCAGTCATTCTGGTGGCCGTTTTCTACACGCGTTTTCTACGCGATCGTTTTTTGATACAAATGCGACCATGTTGTTACTTGAATGATTGCTGGCACCAGCTGAACCTCGAGTGGTTTATTGAAGGCTCAATTGATGAAAATCAGGCTTCTTGACGACAATTAGTGGCAAAGTCGACGCGTTGGGGGCATGGATCATATATCACGTGCATTACGGGTCCGTCAGATTTCCTAAACTTTGTTCCGATTAGACATCCTGCTTTCTCTCAAATACACAAAGTTCCTGTATTGTACTGGAGAAATCAGCGTGTTCAATTTTTGTGTTTGGAATCCCTCATGCACGTTTCTGGTTTTCTTTTTGCTCTATTTGAAGTTTCATGATGCGCCTGTCATATTTTCGGTGGCACAGCGTGCGTCAGTGCTGAACGTCTGTTCTTTCGATCAATCGTTTGATCTTGCCGCCTTGATGTACTGTTCATGTACCACGAATTCATCTGTCGAATCAAGCGATGCCATGTTTTGCGGCAAATGTGATCAAAAGCGCGTCTTACAATGGGACCTAAGCTGCCGGGCGGCAGGGGATGAAAAAGTTTTTTTTCTGAACTTAGAAGCCCCTTTCAACATGCAGCTTTCCAACGCCAGTCAATTGCGCTCGGTGGACCTCCTTGCTTGTTGGACTCTACAATTGAGGACGCTAGAAATAGGAAAGTTAGAATGTTTCTTTTCTCGTCTTTTGTCGCACTTTTCGTAGCATTTTTTTTTGCTTGTCGAAGATTTATGTATTCAATCTTCAATTACGTCCCCTCGAGTTGCATTTCGTTGCTGCATTTTTTCAAAAGATGTGGTTAGTTATCAGAGACCAGGAAAGCGTCTCGGGAGTGGTGACAACCTCAGCGAAGCCTTTGGAGGACCCAAACACTTTGAGACAGTCCTCGCCGTCTATTCACAACACTAAACTCTCTGTGGGACTGGGAGTTGGTGTAGGTTTTTTGTTGTTGGCAATCTTTTGGGCTCTAGCTTTCGTGCTCTGGACAAGGAGGAGTGACATGAAAAAGAGGTCAATAAAACATCGACGCGCCAACGAATCTTTTCAAACTCCTCCTCACGGCAGAGAAGAGGAATGGAGTATTAGTGAGGGGATTCGGACTCTGCACCACGACTCGGACATCATGATCGATCAATATGGGCGCTCTTGCGAAAACAAGCCTGTGGTGCACCGTTGAAAATGCCGATTCTTTTTCTCCAGAAATTATTTCAAGATTCGCATTTTCACCGCTGCGGAATTCGTAAGTCTTTTCTTCAAAATCATGATGAACGCTAACACTTGTAGTTGTTGAATAACCAGCAGTTGACAGAGCCAAGAATTACCACATAAATTGCTTCGACAAGAAGCTGACCTTCGATCTCGAAGATTACAGTATGACCGCACGGCATCGCCGAAATTCTTTTGGGACAAACACCAATATTGGCAGCGCAGACATCGTGCCGAAGAATTCTAAGACTTTTAGAACCAATCAGGTCATCAATGTACCAGGCGAAGCTTCCTAGCGAATTTAAATTTCCGGCGGACATGGTTGCTAAGCCACCACAGGTAAGAAGAGCCTCAAATTCAACCCGTTTCTTCGTCACCATGTCGTACTGGCAACTGATTTATCTTTAAGTACTTAGAGCTAAGGTTTCCAGGAGCGCATTCTGGTACATCGACCCAATGGCGACTTCTTGTGGGGATTCAACCCCCATCATACGTACCCCCCAAGAGAATGACCCTTCGGAGCTTGATTTCAAATGTAGAGGGCTGAACAAGTCAGATACAGGTTCATCCTTGCCCAAACCTTTACCGCAAAAGGATGAGAACGAGGTGATAGGGGATGTCGAAAATTTCGGGATCCAGTTTGAGTTGCACTACGATCTCTCAGGGAGAAACACGACCGAGATCTTGCAAGATATTCTGTGGGAGATGTCATGGCGTACACCGGTCCATAACTGGGATATCAAGATTGTGCCGGATTCAATGAGTGTTCTAGCAATGAAGGGACGGCAGTATCTGAAAGCTAATCCATTGAGCCACTCACTTGGGTTGAGTACCTTGACATCCTATTCTACGGTGGAAGAGATTCTGTATCACGGAGGAATCTGTGAACGACTGCCCGCCAGTGAAGGCTCAAATGATATTGCGAGGCATATGTTTTTCAGGAAGGTTCTCATGACCCGCTTTCCTTCGTAATCCGGTCAGCACTAACAGGTCAACTCAGGATGCATTCAAAGACAATCAAAGTCTGTTTTCTTTTTCGAAGGCTGTGTCGAACGGGGATCGCGCCCTTCACGGAGTCTGCTTGCAGGGGCGGATTATGTTAGTGAAATTCAAACTACTCAAGATCTTTTGACTCGAAATCCATTTTCTGACAGCTGACGATATTGTCAGTTTTATCAAAGAGCATGTTCCGCACCCACAGAAGGATTGCCTTTTACTACTATATTCTTTGACCATACGATTACAGTATGAAGAGTACGGTTTCATTCGCGCATTTATCGACAGACATCTTAGTTTACGCACATCCGTTAAAATGCCGTACCATTGGCAGGAAACTCTCCCTCCCGAGTTAACATCAGTAAGTGTGGCATTACTTCAATAGTTGAATTGCATTAAACTGTTGGACAGGAGAAACAAATATGCTACAGGAGAGTTTCGGTTTCCTGTCACATAAAGTATCTTAAGTTAGATAACATTCGTGGAAGCAGCCTCCAATCTGATGCTATGAATCATCAGCAAACTTCTGGGTCTAAGGGATCAGGAAGCGGAAAAATTCCTCTTCTTAATATCTCCGAAGAGTCATCTTCAACGCTTTTAACTATCGTTATCCCGGAAGAGTCCGTTACCAAAGAAGAAGAGAATGGACTCCTAACAGACCCGAATGGCCTTTGGACAGTCCTCGTAGTCAACGGTCCTCCCGACTTTGGCTCAGGATTGGAACCCAGTCATCACCTAACCCCAATCTCACAATTTCTGCGTGGCATAGTTGCATCACTTTGCACGCTAAGATCCAATGCACAAGCCATCTACCGCGAGCTCAAAGATCTGCTTGCCCTTCACGACAATAACACTATCTTTGATGACGAAAACTTTACCAAATCTACTTTGTATCATTGCACCGTCAAAAACTGTGGAGAAGTTGTTACGTGCATAACCTCTACTCTTCGATTCATTCGGAGGACGAAGAAAAGCCACTTAGATAAGCTGTGCCGAGATGCACATGCACGCGAGAAGCCGGGGATTGATCATTGGGCCCGCGAGATTGAGGAGGAGATTTTCAATCTGGAAGACCTGAAGGAGGAAATCCTGGCATTGAGTGCTGGGGTACAAGAGAGTGTAAGTGAACTTCTCACACCCTTCTTAATCATAGAAACTGACTATTGTATAGCGTAATGCGGTATAGAATGATCAAACCCAATAATTTATGTAGTTGCTAACGAATAAATCAGCTACACGGGGCCACATCAGTTCTAGAGGCAAGATTAGCCGCTCAACAAACACACCGTATGAACACCTTGGCTTACCTAGCTACCTTATATATACCATTGACAGCCTCAACGGTATGTTGCTCGCTCACAATATCTCCAGCTTCTCAAAGTGGGCAATACTGATTCGTTACAGTCCATATACAGCATGTCCGTTCTACCTAGTGCGGCATCTTTCCAGTCGTTCTTCGTGGTCTTCGGGGTCCTCTTGCTCTTGACGATACTTCTGGGGGCCAACCTTCAGAAGATGTTAGCATGGGTAAAAATCATGGCGGCGAGAGTGAAGTCTACACCACAAATGGCTCCACGATTGGGTGTTTCAAAAATACTCCCGGTGTGGCTTCAAGCTTACCTAACTGGCTACAAGAAGCTCCTAAATCCCTATGAGACGCACATAATTCCACATCCGGTACTCTCCAAATGGCTTTTCCCCGTCAGAATCCTATTCCACTTATCGCGAACTGGCCCGATCCTCTTCTTGCGGCATTTTCTCCTCTCTGAGATTTGCTTCCCATATGATAGATACATTCTATTCCAGTACAGACATAATGAAATTGTTAGAGTCAAATTTCATTTCTTGTTTTTCATCAAAGATGTTGTTCGATTTCCATTCATACCGGCTTGGATCGCCACAACTGCTGGACTTGTTGTCTATTTTGTCGTGTGGGATTTTATGTTCGGGTGGCTTCCTAAAATCTTCGGGATCGAACTTGATTTTATTTCTGTTTGAACGGGTTGAACGGGAGAGGTATCTGTATGAGTTTCAAGTGTTTAGATGGATTAAGAGTCATGTCACTCATGGAAGAGATCTGTCATACATATGTTCTTCCCAAACAGGTATGATATTTGATGTGGAACACTAATTGATAATTGCTTACTCAACATATAGTAGCACAAACAACGCTCAACAATAACTCCACAAGCCAACAAATATCCTCCAGTCAAACATCACAAGCTAGCTCAAAGCTCGCCCTTCTCAGCAGTCAAGACCTTGACGGTGACCCAGGCATCCTTAACCTTCTTCTCAACATCAGCGTCAAACAAACTCTTCGCATACTTAACCGTCAAGTCCGCAAACACCTTGAACGCGGCCTTGGTATCGACACCTATGAGACTCTCATCTTTCAAACTCTCATACCAAATCTTCCCAGCCTTCTCCCAACTATACCCGCCCAAGCTCGTAGCCGCAAGATAGAACGCGCGGTTCGGGATTCCAGAGTTCATGTGCACACCACCAGAATCGCCAGCATCGGTGTTGGGAAGATCCATATACCCATCCATATCAGCAGGTTGACTATCCTTTCCAACTTTCGGGTTGTTATAAGCAGTCCCGGGTGCTTTCATAGAGCGCAACGCCTTTGCGCCCGTGATCGCAGGAAGGAAAATGCCCTCGCCGATAAGCCAGTCTGCATCAGCAGCCAGAACCTTGCCCTTGGGTCCGAAATATTGCTTAATCATCGTTCCGAACACATCTGCCATACTCTCATTCAGAGCACCAGATTGGAACTCATAAGCGAGATTCGCGGTATATTGAACAACACCATGTGTGAGTTCATGACCAATAACATCGATATTCTTCGTAAAACTCCCAAAGATCTCGCCATCGCCATCCCCAAACGCCATCTCATCACCATCCCAGAAAGCGTTATCCATACCAGGAGGACCAGGCTGATCATCATAATGAATACTCCCAATCATCTTGAGATTATCATCATCGATCGAAGTCCGCTGAAACACCTCCTCATAAAACTGATACGTCTTCCCAAAATAATCATACACATTCTTCGCATCCGCATCTGTCAGCGTCGTGGTGCTCCCCTTCGCCTCATCCACAATCAGCGTCTTGCGTAGTTTCGGCGTCTTCTTCGAGTCGTAGATGACGCGATGGATCACCTCGGTCGGCGTAGGAGCCACTATTCTCGCATCAGCTTTTGCAGCGCGCGCGGTATGGAGGGACGAGGTAGTCTGCAGACTGTGCTGGGCACGTTCTTTCTGCGCCTCGCTCGTCTCAGACGACTCTGCGATGGCGCTGAAGATCTGAGGGGTGATGATCGATGACCTACCTCCTGCTGCGAGGCCCTGGACTTTGCCGGCTGGTTTGGCGATGGCGGCGTTGCGGATCTTGCGGTTCGCGGTGAGCTTGCAGCTGTGGTGATAGGTTTTCTCGAGGGCGATGCGCGTGGGTTCGGAGGGGTTACCGTTGTCGAGGATTTCTTTGAGGAGGGGAGGTGGGATGATGCAACAGACGTGTTTGGTGATTTGGCGGGCTGGCTTAGCCATTGGAGACGTGGAGTTCATTTGAGCGGCCATGGTGCGGAGGGTTCTTTGGTGGTGGGTTCTAATGAGTTTGCTGGTTTGTAGGGATGATAGCATTGGAGAGAATAATTCAAAAGTCCAGATTCAGACTTCAAACGACAGCCTTCTTATATATACATGTTGGATAGCTATGTTGGATAGCTACCTAGTCAGCCAGCCTCTGTCCTGCCGACGCCATACTCCAGCTGAGCATCCATCACAAGCGGCCATAAAAACAGGTAACACCCAACAAACACTCACTTGCCGCTGGCCTCTTCCCTACACCGAGCTGTTTCAATGCCAGAATTCCAACGAAGCCTCGTTGTTGTTCCCGCTCACAGATATGGTGGTGTATGGTGACTGGACAAAGCTCCCCAGCGACAACCTAACCGAAACCCTGCATGATCACCTGCATAACCAAGGCCAGCCGCCCCTGATCGCATCCAGTTTCTATCACCTGTCTCCAATCGCATTGGGGCTCCACAGGCGTACGTATGAATGGCGTAAGCCTGACATGCCTTATCGGTACTCAAGAGGAAGTTGGGAGGTTGATTGCGAGATATGTCGCAGCTGAATTGGACGTGCGAAGAGGGTTCCGGCAGTGCTGTGATCCGATTCTTGGAAGTGGGGTTGGCGAGGCAAGACATATGACGGAATCGCAATGGGCACTTGCCAAGATGCACAATCATCTGTTAATGTCAGTAGGGCTGAGCATGGCTGAGGATGTGGAAGAAAGCAAGCATAAAAGTTAAAGAGGCGAATGTGATGATAAGGAGGTGAGCAGAAGTTGCTGCGACTTAAATGCTGGTGTGAGTAAGATAATATATAGAGGTGAGATTGCACTTTAACATCTTACAACGCACGTAAGATAGCAATTACCTAGTCCAACATTCGCAAGACTAGATTGTTGTAGCTGCGGGTCATACCGTAGACCAACTTCCCCCCTGACGGTGTAAGCTATGGTCAAGCGAGCGCCCCCCTTTCTATAGATGCGAGGCTATGCTAAAACCAATCAACAATGCGGGGTCAATATCTATCTCGTTCAGCGATCCACTCGAGATTGTTGTTCTCCTCCACAGGCTTCCGCCTACTATCAGTAAGACGTCTTGGCAGCGAATCCGATTCTATCATGGCCATAATCAAAAACCAAGAACTGGCTCATGATGATAGTGTCACCCCAGCCATAGAGAACTCCAAGTTCATCAGGTGGACCCAAGAACAGTTGGCTTATACACATCTGTGGGTCAGATGTACCAGCAATAGCTCCAACGTGTATGTGACTGCTTGGTATCGTGCCCTTATGGTCTGCGCTAATACCAAATATCAGGTCTGGAAGTTTGGTGCCACAAGGAAAAGCATAGGTCCGCGACGCATCATTCCAGACTGAGCCTGGTATGAGTCTAAAAAACTCGTCGAGAGCCCATTGGGGAAGGTGCATTCCATCTGGATCTCCAGTATCGATGATGACGTTGAACGGGCCGTGGAAGTACGTATTTCCTGCAACGATGCCGTTGATTTCTACTGTCCAATGACGAGAATTAAGTGCAGGAGCCCAGCCAATGTCTCCGTGGTACTTGCTCTGATCAATGAAGGCAAAATCCATTGTGCCAGAGGATGTCGATTTATGGTAGTCGATAGTGAAGAGGGGATCTGTGTTAAGCAAGTTACATGGTAAGTCTCCGAACCGATTTGCATGCCACACCGCATGATAGAGAAACAACTTACTATCAAGGAAGTCCTTGATCGCACCGATCCAATTTAGCCATAGAGTTGGACCCGTTGGCATGTTCACCTCTCGATTCAGGCCAAACGTACCAGAAGCAGGGCCTCCTAATCTGAATCTTGCACTTGTTCCAGTTACCATTTCGAAATTATAATTAGTCAAAGCCAGATTACCAACTTTGACGAATTCCTGTCGAACGGGGCCCCAGAAGCATCCGAATGAGTAGCATACACGGAATATTTCCCCGGGAACTTCTTTGCTAGAAACAGGGTTGAATAGGATTGCGCCCGGTTCTAGAGACTCGGGAGGAATTAAGTTTGACTAAACGTAGAAGCTTGAAGCGCCCGTGTCGACTGTGAGCAGGAGCCTTTGTGCTGGGATTCCTATCTCGATGGCAATCATCCATCTGTACCTCATTAGCGTACTGCTGAGAATACTGCGCGAGACACTTACGATTTGTCGACCATCAAGCCCGGCGTAACTACTGAGGTGCTACCTGGAGCCGCCAGATCATTTTCGTTGAGTCTAGGAATATGTCGGCCTGTGTTATTCTTTTAGATGGACTGTCAGATAGAGAAGATCTTGCGGCACTGGCAGAATCTTGTTTGAACAGGCGAAAATCTCGAGCTTACTCTATGAATCCACCACGAGATCGGCTTCGACTTCTGTTACTAGATATGGTCACTGCTTCCACTTCTAGCGAGAATCCAGCTGGATTTCCTATTATGGTGGGATAGTCTCTGGCTTCATTGTTCTTCAAAGGACTCGCGCTCGAACAGATGTCAAAAGTTATGAGCACGCTTAGTGCTGATGAAAATCGTAGTAGCATGGTGACAAGCATGGAAGGCCCCTCGTATGTGTATCACTCGTCCCAATACTTTACAAACTCTAACATAATGAGTACTTATAGTTCTGTCAGGACTCCTTAATACCATGTTGCGAGTTGAAAAGTGCCGTTCTAAACTCTCCATCACAATATTCCCAATACCTACAACACATGTCGTTTGATCATCCAAATTTCGCCTTCCACAGCAGCATGCGCAGATTCAATAACAGCCCGCAGAAAACCAGCCACAAACAACAACTGGTATAGCATCTGGTAAGCAGAAAGCTTTTCTCCAGCTGATTGGGCTTTGCTTGCTTCTCCCGTAGCACAAATAACAAATATACATGCTGAGGTAAGATAGTTGGTGATGAAGCAAGAAAATCTCAATAAGGAAGCTCGAGAACAACAGCTGCAAAGATACCAAACATTGTTTCTTCAGCACAGAGGATTCAGGAACACAGCCTAAACCAACTCTATAAAGAGTATAAGTTAATATTCTGTATCGCCTTAATACTAATATAATACCAACAAAACAAATGAGCTGGAGTTTAGGTGAGCAAACCCTACTAGACGAGCGCTTGCCTCGTGTAATTCAAGCAACATAAACAAGAAGCTCCAAAGGAAACATCATTTCTCTAAATCGCCATCTCTTAGAAACCGTTGACCAATATTCTGAACCTCTCAACAGCAGTTTAATACCAATAATACGAACTGCGCGAGTTTAGGCGAGGACATCCTTCAGGACGAGCGCTTGCAGCGCTGATGTTGTGACACACACAGTTAAACAGTTCAAGCCAAATACTTTCCCGCGAATGATCCTGTCAAGCGCCGGTTTAATGGATTAAAGAGGTGGTGCGGAGAGTGGTGTTTGCTCAATGCATATTCCTAGTATATCGTCTTGTGATTGTTGATTAGCATTGTATGAAGCGCGGGTTGCTTAAGTTAAGTAGGATAGTTGACAATTTGGTTAACAATTAGTCAATACTGATACTTTATTTAATACCGCTCGTGGCAGCTTCATGGAGTTTTTTAAGTGAAGTTCTAGACAGAGTATTAGCTACCAAGAAGCACACGAATAATCACGTAGAGGGGCGGCAGTTGGATAATGATGAGGGTGGTGGAGCCATTTGATAGTCATTATCTGATAGCGATTGCTAGGCTTTAATCGTGAGGAAAAGATCGTGATGGGGTTGTTCATGTAAACTTAGATACGTGGATAAATTAATTACCTCCTACTAAGCTGATATGAGAGTCATGTCGATCTAGGTTATACAGAGATCTACATCCGGTATATTTGAATATTACCTTGTCGGTCTTTCGAGGTAAAGGCCTCCAGCTTTTAACAATAGCTTCAGTTCTCATGATTCAATACTCAAGAAATTACGCGCGGCAAATCCCGTCCAAAAAACTCAAATAAAAAGTAAACTAACCAACAGATGCCGTCCTTAAAAATGCAAAAAACACATACTCATACACCCTTCCAACACACAGCCCTCCCCACCTCCCACTAACAAGGAATGCCCTTCTCCCCAGTCCCCTCCCTAAACAAGCTCACCTCCGCATTCCTCCTCCTCGTCAAGCCAGGAAGCACCCCATTCTTCCCCCGATTCCACTTCGGCAGTTCCTGACCCGCAACCGTATTCGGCGCTTCCCCAGCATTCAACCTCCTAATCAGCGTCGAATCACCCGAGTTCCCGCAGCCCACGTTGAAGGCCCAGCTGACGAGCGCGCCGAACTGGTTCGCGTTCAGCTTGATGCTGTCTTTGATTTGTTTGGCGATGCACTTGCGCGCCACCTGGATACAGTCAGTAAGTGGAATGAGAGAGGAGGGGGGAAGGGGAAAAAGGGAGAATTACAGCGAGGTCGTCCTGGATCAACGAGTCCCCTTCAGCGCGAGAAAGCGGGATACTATATTTGATCTCCTTGCAACTAGCACTTGAGCACAGATGCCCATAACCAATCGTTGGGTTTCCATCAGGGTCTTTATATGCCGTCGCGCTCCAGCCTTCAAAACCCTCTATCAGTTTCAAGGTCGCAGTGTTTACTTTGGGAGCGCCGTTGCTACAACCGCCTGGTGCTGGTGCTGGTGCCGGCGCGGGGCCTGGAGCTGGAGAGGTGGACTTCTTGGTGCAGCATTGGATGCCAGCGGGACCGGGACAGTGGCCTGCGGTGCTGGTGTAGCCGCTGCCGCAGGTTGAGGTGGTTTGGCAGAGACCGGATATGCTGCTTACGGTGCAGGAGCCGTAGGTGCAACACTGGTGTTGTTAGATGGGCGAGATATGGGGGAAGGAGGGCCTACTTGGTTGTCTGTACCGCCGGGACAGTGACCTGCTTGGGAGGTTCCGCCTGAGGACTTGCACGATGCGGTGGCCATGCAGAGACCATCTTGCTTGCTATTTATTTGGCAGGCTGTGTTTCCTGGTGCTGCGAGGGCGATTGGGGAGGAGAAGAGGAGGAGGGCAGCGAGGGAAGCTGGGCTGAGATGGACCATTTTGTGAGTTGGCGAGGGAATGATGTGATCGTGAAGATGATCCTTAAACGGTGATGTTAAGCTCCATTCATATAGGAAATCCAGAATCAACATCTCAAGCCATGGCAGTTCATCCTCCTAAAATAACTATCATGTTGTACCGAGTCCGCATACATTTTGCAGCGCTCCGAACTTTGTATTACTGAATGATGCGGGTCAGCATCATCGATTTCCTAGGACGACATCTAGTCATTTGATCAGGCTCTGTGTTGGTGAAGGGTTGTGTTGTTCTAGCTCTTCAGCTTTGCATCCTCCAGGAACTATCATTGTCGCTCAATCCTCCAGGAGTTGGAGAAACGCGGCTTGTAGTGACAAGCAATTTTAATCCGCATTCCCCGCATTTTGAGTCCCGATTTCTGTGTTAAACGAACCGAGGGGAAAATTCAGATCTATCTTCTTTTTCTGAAAATCTAGAACTGCTGTTGAGCTGAAAGACATCATGAAGTTAGCTGTAGCTCAATAGTTCGTGGCAGGATTCGTTACTCACGACGATATTCAGCTCCAGATTTCAGCTCGACATAAACCAAAGCCAACCTTCAATGACTGACTAGTTCTTCTACACAATTAAGACATTGCCATCGTCTTCGAAATCCTCCCCGCCTTCGCACCTATACCTCATACATGTGGAAATTGCAGCTGAAAACAACAAGCAGGTAAGTACAAAATCGGTACCTGCATTTGAGGTCGTACATCCTTCTCGCTTAAGCGAAGCCGATCCTCCCTCTCATTAGAGCCGCTCTACCAAAACCCAGAATCGGGATAATCAGAATCGGAGGAGTTTAGCAGTGTGACTTGAAATGCAACGCTAACGAGACCTAGTTGATCGACTTCGGCTCGCTGAAGACGAGTGTATGAATGATCGATAAAAGTTGTAGCCAAGTCTTGTGAGGCTATTGTAAAGAAGATTGTGGTGGATTGGATTGACTTGCAAACTATAGGAGGGGAATTATTGGGAGATTGGAGTAAATGCGTACTATTATCCAGTGTCAAAAAATCTAAATGGTTGAAATTAGTCAGTAGACGACCTTTGAAGATTAATAACGGTTGAGAAATCCTTCGGGAAATTGTAGGATAAACCAAGTAACAGTGTCAGTGTTGTACATTCGTAATATTGTCATAAAATACAGGAGGTCATGGTCGTCGTATCCTGCTCAACGGCATGGGCCACTTTCGGTTATCGAAAGCTCGAATGCGAATACCCTCCCAACCAGCCTACTTCCTCAAATAGCGACCCTCACCTAACCTCGAAATCCGCTCCTTCTCTTCCATCGTAGCATTAGCATACGCAAACTCCCCCCTCTTCGCCTTCCTAAACCCCTTCTTCTCCCAAATCTCGAACTCCTTCACACCAACCCGATGCCACGGGACATTAAGGTCTTTCGACACTCTATCAACCCAAAACCCGACATCGCGAAAACTCTCCGGGCCTTCCACTGGCGCGGCCCCAGGCTCAAAGAAGATCCTCTTCATAGCTTCTTCCTTTTTCTCGCTACTCTCAATAGCCCTATCCATCGCCCTCATCATAGCCGACTTATCATACGCTTTCGGCGCCATCCATTTCGCAACTTCCTTGTAATCGAGCTCGAAGCCAGCTTTGTCGTATGTGGGCGACCCCTTTGGACCCTTCTGATAACACACATGGAGTTCATGAAATGCATGGTCAGGTCTTTTCAGTATCTCCTGCCCGTACTCGTCTTCCTTTTCCTGAAAAGACTTGCGCACTTTATTGCCTTTAGGACCTTTGAATGGCGCAATTTTTATATCGGAGCCAGCTCCTATAACTTGCGGCCTGATTGGGCCGACAAGCCCTGGAGTCTTCTCGACACCATCGATGACTTCGCATGCGGGAGGTGGGGTACTTGGTCGCTCGCTGTCTTTCTTCTTCGTCGATGCTTCCTTCTTATCTGATTTCGACTGTACGGTTCTGTCGGTTTTGGTAGGTGTCTTGTCCGTTTTCGCTTCAGCTTTCGTCGCGGATGATGGCGTTCGCTTGCCTTTTTTGTTCGTCAAGTCTTGCTACGTGGATTTTTCCTTCTTTTCCAGTTTCGACTTCACAATTCCATCGGTCTTACTAGGCGTCTTATCGCTTTCCGCTTGGGGTTTTGCCTTGGATGGAGGCGTCGGCTTCGTAGCTTTGCTTGAGGTACGCCTTTCTCCTGTCCCAGAACCTTCCTCAACCCCCGATTCCTTTGTTGGTGTATTACTCTCCGATTTAACAGAATTGATTGCTTTCTGCAGATTACTAATTGGCTGCAACACAGTTTCCTTCTTGTTTGTGGCCTTGATCTCCTTGTTGCTTGATTTGGCTGATTCTGACGATTTTAAGTTCGATGTTTTGACTTTCTTTGTTTTTGGTGCGGCGGTTTTAGCGTCTATCTGATCGTCTTCTGCGACTCGTTTCCCACTACGAAGAGACACCATTGCGAGGCTTGAGATTATGACTATTAGATTGACAAGGAAATATGGTTTGCGCGAATTCAAAATGGTGTAGAAAAGTAGTTGTGACACGCGATACGACGCGCCCTGACGCAATAGGGGGCTCGCTTCCCATTTCCCCTCCCCCACTCCCTTTATTGGCGTGCCTTTTAACAGCACCGTATGATATCCCGATACTGCATTTCTTGTGAAAGATTTCATATTTAAGAAGACATTCAGCTTCATCTAACGATCCCACATTTCCATCCCCAGCGTGTCCCCTTATTCACATATTCAAATATACAATGTATATAATATCCCCCGTCCTATGCCTAACGCCGTGATCAAATCCCTAACCCATCCGTCGCTATGTAAGTCGCCCAAAGCAAGCCCTAAATCTTAAACGACGTATCGACAACAAATGAACATACTTCTCCTTCACTCACGCACACAAAAACAACCCCAATCCCAGACAACAACCCTCATCAAGGCAAACCTCCACAACTCATCCCTACTTAAACAAACTCCTCAAATCCTCCAACCGCTTCCTCGCCGCATCAACCTTATCCATGCGCCCTTTCTCCCCATCCATACTAATACTCGCCAACTTCCTCTTCTTGTCCTGCAGCTCGAGCATCTTCTCCTCAAAACTATCATTCATGATATACCGCACCGTCGTGACCTCCCGTTTCTGGCCCAGGCGATGCACGCGATCGATGGCTTGCGCTTCCGCGGCTGGATTGTACTGCGGTTCCATGACGTAGACTTTGTTCGCGGACGTGAGATTGAGACCGAGGCCGCCGGCCGTGATGGAGACGAGGATGACGAGGATGGATGGGTCGTCGCGGAAGGCGTCCATGGCGGCGCCGCGGGCGGCGCGTGTCATTTTGCCGTCGAGACGACAATATTTGATGTTGTTGGCGTTGAGGGCGAGTTGGATTAAGTCGAGATGAGCGGTCCAACCGGAGAAGACGACGGATTTTATGGGGGCTTCGTGGTGGAGGATTTCGGATTCCATGCGGGAGTTGTTGAGGTCTTGGATGAGTGCTTTGGTTTTGGTGTGTGGACCGTGGTAGTTCTCCAGGGTTTTGGTTTGTTTTTTGCCTTTGGATTTTGGGCCGCCTTCTTCGAGGCCACCGGGTTTCAATTCGAAATATGAAAGCTTGATGTGTTGTCTACAAATGATGCAGTCTGATGTTGTACGGCCTTCCGAGTAATGATCCATCTGTGCTTTGAAGCCATCAAAACAATTCGGACAGATGATGTGGAAACATGGTGTCATGAAACCAATGATCTTCTCCTTGGTCTCTCCCTCTTCGGCTTCAATGTTATCATTGACACCAACCTTCCTGCTACAAGTCGAACACAGATCCGCATTCGTATCTATCATAAGCTGGTACATGTCGTAAGCTTGTTTGGCAGACAGAGCTGGTCGATCATCCTCATCATCGCTATCCAATTCAATTGCCGAGGCTTGATTCAAACCCTTCATGACTTCCAGATCTTCCTCGCCCAAAAGATCTTCTCCGTGTGCACAAATCAATCGTAAGCGAAGAATAGACTGCAAAATATGCACGTAAGTCCTCCCACCTAAGCTTTTCTCTCGTTGATTGACGATGACCTTGACTCTATCGCTAGCGTTCTTTGCGAATACATCATAAAGGTGTCGCTCAGCAGGACTGAAATCAAGCTTGACTAGTTCATCTCGCCGTTGTGGCAGGTCGATACGATCTTTAAGTCTTCGAAGTGTTATGCTGTCAACCAAAAGGCGTAGTTTTGGCAAAATTTCAGGGTCGCACATTTTGAAAGGAGCCATAATATATTGAGCAAAACCACCTTTCTCATCAAATGGCTTAACGCGAAGGAACGTCATCAATGCACCAAGATCTTCTAGCTTGTTCTGAACAGGAGTACCGGTAACAGCCCATCGTCGTGATGCTTGCAATCTGCAAATTGCTTTGGATTGTTGAGTGGACTGTTCCCGAATCATGTGTGCTTCATCGAGGACGATTCTGAACCAATTCATCTCTTCCAGCGGATAGACTCCATGCTTTTGTTTGCTACGGTTGTTGAACTCACTAGCCACAGATCCATAGGTGGTAATCACCAAATCAAACTGGGCGAGTTTATTGACATCTTTGATACGACCAGATCCATGATAGATGTAGTACTTCAAAGCCCCGGGTTTCACATGCTGCTTGATTTGCTCTTCCCAATTCGCTATTGTACTTAGAGGAGACACAAGCAATGTGGTTTTGCAATTGCGAGAGAGCGGCGCCTGTTCAATCTTCGGTAATGCGGTCTTGCCCTTCTTTGAGCAACATAGATCTCGATTATCAGCTTCAGCCGCGGGTTGCAGTTGGGCCCACTCTAATGCACGATCATCGAGTGTCGCAGTGACCAAAGATAAGATACTTAGTGTCTTTCCGAGACCCATCATATCTGCCAATATACCACCAAGTACTTGAGGAGGGCTCTTTCGCTCTTCTTGTCCCGTGATTACATTGAAATACGACCTTTGCCCGTTTCCACTAATGTTGAGCCGCCATAGGGAGCTGTTGCCCTTCTCATCCGCAGAATATATGCGTTCCTTCTCTTTCATGGTCATAAAATACAAACCTTGCTTTTGATGCTTCAACAATTCTGTGGTAATTCGATGGTTGGGTTCCATCTCAGGTAGACTTTCAGACTTTTCCAGTGAATCAAACATTCCTAGAACATCGCTCCGGATCTCCTCGGTCGTGCGGACAGGTGCTTGTCTACTAGAGTAGGACATTAAAGGCCTTTGAGCAATTTGTGCGGGCTTCTCGATCACATGCGGGTTGTAAAGCTCGACCCCTGACTCGACGAAAAGAGGCGTCCGAAGCCAGAGCTGCTTCTGAGAAAGGTGTCTACCAATTTGAATTGCATGCTTCTTCGGCCCATATAAATTAACATCGAGACCATATCGAGCAGAAACTTCTGAGCCTGGTGGAGGATCGTTAGGTCTCCTCTGCCTTGTCAATACTCGAGCAGCCGTCCTGACGGAGAATTTGGCGTCCAAAATTGGTACCAGACCTAGAGCAGTGTTGGTATCTACACAACCAATAATATTTCGAGTACTATCGACTGCATGAATAACATTCGTCCTGTCATTCTGCCTCCTTCGAAGTTGTATCTTGACCTGCGGCCAAAAACTATTCGATATAGCTACTGCTCCTTCCCTTGGAGTTGGGACTTTGAAAGCGTTGATTTCCGCTCCTTCTATCCGGCCATAGCAGACCTCCTTATCCGCGGGGTTCGAAACAACCTGAACTTCGTCGTCGTCAAATGAAATATCGACGACTTTCCCGTTTGCTACCGCTTGGTCATGACCTTCCTTCCGCTGATCCTGCATATACTGTCCTAGAATTCCTCCCTTTCCGCCACCACTAAATTCCGCCTTTTTCTTATCCTCCTCGCGGTCATCTACAACCTTCCGACGTTTCTGAGGTACCATACTTCGATCTGCCACATTGTGCAAACGATCTAACATACTGCCCATCCCTCCATTCCCATTTCCGTTCGCGTAAGAAGCAAACCCATTTTGCCCGTTTGATGTAGTCTGCTCACCATCATACATTGAGCTTGGGTGGGAGTGAGGCGAGTCTTGACCAGACCCAGCAGGACTGTCAAATTGGAATGAAAGCGAAGGTGCCGGCGACGTACCGTTCGAGTAGCCATTTTGCTGTGGTGAAGCCGTAAGTCGATTTTGCTGCATCGCTGCTCGCGGGTTCAAAAGTTGGGCCGGGTTGAAGGACTGCATGAGTTGAGGTTCTCGAGAACCATTTGCGCCGACCGGTGTATTCGCCGTACGATTATTCGCCCAAGGATTACTCGCATATGTAATATTCTGAGCAGATCGTGAAGGTTGCGTCGAGTACATCGTATTTGCCCCAAAACGAGGCTGACTGCCATTATCGCGCCCCGCGCTCGTCGCCGAGATCAGCTGCGACGGCATCGTATACGAAGAGTTGTCTCCGTTCGTGCGTTTGATACCATTCTGCTGTTCCCAAGAGTCCATCTTTTCGTGATCCGCGTAAGGCTGCGAGCCTGCGCGCATGCAGATATGTTGTGTCGACTTTGCGCCGTTGGGCCTCGAATGGCCCGGCGCTGAACAAGGCTACAGTGAAATCGTGGGGTATTCAAGGCATGTGGGAGGTTGCAAAGGATGCGAAAATTTGAATGGCGAAAGTATCGTCACGCAGCCCGCCGGCGCACGAGTAGATGAGGTCGCAAAATGATGAGGAAAGTAGTCAGATTGTGGTTCGCGAGTTGTATTTCTCTCCCGTCGCACTTTAAAGGAGTTCCGCCGCTGTGACGATAGGGACGCAGGATGATGCACTCGTGCCTGTTCTAGGTTACCACATGCAGGTGGAGGTTAAGTCGAAAAGGTACAGAATAAATGCAGCACGTGCAAGAGCGAAAAGGAATTATCGATCAAGTGAGTAAGTGACTCTTCGAAGTCGAAGATAATCTAGAAGCCGCTGCTGCCGTGGGGTTAAACCTTACCTAAATGTTTGAATTACACTGGGCCAACGACGATATTTCGGCGTTATCAATCTAAACTTTTTGCCCGAGGCTCTGGGTGCTTATGTCATCGTCAGGGTCTGGATCCCGACGGGACGAGAGGGCCGAGGAAGGCTGAAGCGAGAGAATAAGGGGTGTCTTCAATACGACGTTTGTACTTCGCATCTGTAGATGCCTTCTCTAGGTACCTAGGTACTATTCGTAGGCAGTTACGAAGGTATCACAGGCTCGCTGATGTGATCAACTTCTTTCTCACAGCCGCCAAGTAAACCAAGATCACAAATACACAAATCTATTTCCCAGATCCCTATCAACAGATGTCTATGCACCAACGCCCATGCTAATAGTAACCCCAAAATATTATACACCCAGATGTAGCCGTCTGTGTACCGCTCTATATTAACACCAAGTGAATACAGGATTTTTGCTCTTAACCGTCTCAAGTCTTTCCACGATAACCTTACGATGGTGTCCATCCATTCCCTCTGCCGCCGCATACCCAAGATCGCCGTCTCCGTCTTCGCCATCGAATAACATACTGATACTACGGTTTCTATTGGAGCCGGAATATCTTCTTGCATGTCGCTGAGGCGGCCGTGAAGGCCCTTCATAACTCATGCGTCCTCTTGAATGACCGTATTGAGGTCGGTCGGTGAAATTGACTTGTTTGCTCTTCGTGCCTGATTCTTTCCGATTACCATTCGCAGTTGAGATGAAAGCCTCTGGTGAGTTAGCTCTCGAAGCTTCTTCGCTGGCCCGAGGACTAGTAGTCAGTTCGAACCGATTTGGATTTGGCAATTCGGAGGTAGGCGAGGATAAGCCAAGGAGGTCTTGATGTGATGCTTGTGGCGCGGATGCATTGGCAATGCTAATATCCATCTCTTCTTCTTCCGTCTCCTTTTGAAAACCGAAACTATTATTTCGTCGCATTTCCGCAGACGGAACTCGCATAGGTATCGCCACTGGAATATCAACCAGGTCATCCCACACACAAACACGAGCCCTTCTTGTCAATTCAAGTGGCCCATGGTCAACCATTTTCAAAGTCTCTACAACATTCCACGCTTGACCTTTCATAACGGCTATCTGTCTTGCAAACATGCGCTCTTGAAAATCCGCGTCCTGGGAAAAGATCTTTCGGAGCTCTGACTGTGTTTCACTCCACCACTGCTTTGAGGTTAATAGTGGTAAAAAGTGATCTCTAGTCTTTTGCGAGAATGGCTGTCCGATAAGTGTCACTGGTAGGAAAAGCCACCCAAAAGGAAAACTCCGCCATGCATCTGGATGCTTCCATGGCCATGATAAACTGTTGTCGATAGCTCCAATGGACATGGTGGGTCCGGCTTGTGGATTTGGCGAATTGGTCCCGCTGACCGCTGCCATGGGCTGTTGCACTCGATATGGCCCGTCCTGAGCAGGTACGAGACGTGGCGATCTCTCTTCTTCATCAGAAGTCCCGTTCATCCTTGGCGGCTCAGAAACAATAGATACCCCCTGAGTCTCTTGATCCACCTTGATCATCCAGTTATCTAGGCCTCTATCGGTATTTCTCATAATATAATCCAGAATAACCAGCTTCTCAAGCTCCTCCCTGAATGACTGTTGGAGCGTTTCTGTCCATATAAAACGTTTGTTTGGCCCATCTATAGGAGCCATAGGAACCCTTTCCTCGTCGTCCTCATCGTCCGATCGCGCACTAGTGGGTCTGCAAGTATCCTTCCAGCCTTTGCTCTTCCTGGCTGGGTCTGTTTTTCTAAAATGTGTGCTCGCTCGATCCGGCCATGGATTCTCTCTCAGAAATATGTTTGCGTCCTTGAACCCTTTTAAGAAAACCTGAAAACTACCAACTTTTGGTGGAAATGCCTTCTTTTTCCGGTAAAAATTTCTTCGTGCCCAGAAATCGTAGTGAAATGACTTTGACGACAAATGTACAATGTCTGTATACGGAACCAGGTTCGTCCGCAGTCTGCAATCCAGTGTATATGCGGCTGCCTCCGAAACATAACTTAAATTGGGGATTAAACAAGCCCGGCCAAAGAAACACGGAAACAAATTCCTGTGTATCCATTTGTTCCATTTTGGATTTCCGGCAGCGTATGGTTCCTCGTCCTTGGGTTTGAAAACACCAACAACCTTTCCCTCCGTATTCCTGGCAAAGTAACTCCCAGAACTTCCCTGTGTAATCATCTTCGGATGCATCCCTTGTTCGATAGCAATTTTCACGCTTTCAACAATCTCCTCGAACTCCGCCTTTGTCATCCTTCCTTGGTCAGAATCCGAGGCCAACGTCTCTGCCGTCGCAGGTCTGACACCATCCGGGGCCTGAAAAACAGAATGATGAATCTCCAATCGCTCCTCCTCATCCGTCTTCCCTTTCACCTTGTTTATCTTGAACTTGCTTGTGATCTCGTCCGCCCAGCGTTCCAGCCTCGCATTTATAGCCTTGATATCAACCCCTGACATACTGCTAGTACTTCCCATCCGCCGCCGAGTTTTCCTCCTTGACTGTTCAGGCGAAGTATATCCATCTGATCGCATATTACTGCGCGGCAGAGGTTGGGTGATTGAGGCATAACGTGGTACTCCTGCGGGTTGTAAGGAATTTGCCAGATCATCATCAGAATCGGATTCTTCGGCTTGGGCTATTCGAGCATAGCCCGTGGTTTGAGGGCGCGTCCTCGGCATGATCGATGAATTGCTTTTGATATTTATTTCATGGTGTTTTTGTGAAGATGTTGGTTCGAGAAATGGTTGGTGTTGCCACGATTACGGTACGTAGTTGTACGGAGTTACAAGTACTCCTTATGCAAGATATTTTGGTCGCGTCACAGCCTGGAGCGGAACAATGAACAGCTGGGCACGGGCCCTTTGTTTTCATGTGTTAGAGAACACAACTACAACATGTGTAAGTACCACTTCTCAAGTTGAAGGTCGACTTCAATTCTTTTCTTTTTGACCGAATTAAGTCTCTGGTCAAATAAAGTTTGATATAGATTTAGAGTAGTGCAACGTATGCCAGTAAATAGTGCAACTCTAGCTCTGGATCCAGCCAAAATGGTTCCTGCGGGACACTCCCGCAAAAGCGGGGCATCAAAATCCGTGGGGAGAAAATAAATTTCCTATCTGATGTTTCGCTAGACATCCCACATCGACGTCGCAACACCACCAATTCGATCATGTTCGCCGTACCAGGATGGTCCGTTGCCTCGACAGCTCTCAAGAGACAGACCGTCGAACCAAAACCTGCAAAGGAAAATAAGAAATCCGAGGATGCGATTGAAGATGTTTCGAAATCAAGCAAGAAATCCGAAGGAACTGCGGAGGATGCTACAAAGTCAAGCAAGAAGCGCAAACGCGGTGATAAGGGGAAGGGTTCAGAGGTCAATTCTACAAACGTAGCGGAGCTGTATGAGAGCATTATTGAAGGAAAGACCAAGGATAAGAGCAAGGAAGCTGGGGAGAAGAGGCAGAAAGTGTCTACAGAGGGAGGGGAAGATGGAGAAGATGTACCAGTGAAGGTCAAGGGAGAGAAGAAGGAGAAGGTTAAGAAGGAAAAGGGAAATACGATGAAGGACAAAAAGCGGGAAAAGAAGGCACGGAAAGCAGCAGAAGAGGCCTCAACAGACGACACACCATCGTCAACCAAGGAGAAATCAAAAACCAAAGATACCCCCAAACCAACCCAAACCAAAACCCCAATACCAGCACCAAAACTCACCCCCCTCCAAGCATCCATGCGCCAAAAGCTCATCTCAGCCCGCTTCCGCCATCTAAACCAAACCCTCTACACAACCCCCTCCTCCAACTCCCTTGACCTCTTCTCCACCAACCCCGAAATGTTCACCGAATACCACGAAGGATTCCGACGACAAGTCGAAGTCTGGCCCGAAAACCCCGTCGACATCTACATCCGCTCCATCCTCGCACGAGGGGCCCTCAAGAAACCCTCAGAAGGAGGGGCTATCATGCCCTTACCACGCACATCCGGGACCTGCACCATCGCCGACTTAGGCTGCGGCGACGCGGCCCTGGCCAGCACATTACAGAAAGACAGCAAGAAATTACATCTCAAAATCCACTCCTTCGACCTCTACTCTCCACACCCGCTCGTCACGCGCGCAGATATAGCAGACGTCCCTCTCCCCGACTCCTCCGTCGACATCGCCATCTTCTGCCTCGCGCTCATGGGCACGAACTGGATCGACTTCATCGAAGAAGCCTTCCGGATCCTCCGCTGGAAAGGCGAGCTCTGGATCGCAGAGATAAAATCACGTTTCTCGCGCTCCAATTCAAAAGGAGGCGTGGTATCCCACTCCGTAGGGCACCGCCAAAAAGCCCCCTCCTCTTCGATCTCCAAGAAAGAAAAATCAGCCCTCTCCCTCCAAACCGAGAAAAACAACGACCTCGCCCTCGCCGTAGAAGTCGACGACAACCCCGACGCCGTGCGCTCCGAGACCGATCTGCACGCCTTCATCGAGGTCCTCCGCAAACGCGGTTTCAACCTCAAAGGGCCCGAGACAGGCGAGAAACCCGTTGATATGGGCAATAAGATGTTTGTGCGGATGCATTTTCAGAAGAGCAGTTCGCCGGTGAAAGGACGGAATGTGCCGGTGCCGAAGGGGATGGAGGAGTTTGGCGGGGAGAAGCTGGGGAGGAGGGGGAAGCGGTTTATTGATGTGGAGAATATGGGGGAGGTGGAGGGGGAGGAGGGGGTGTTGAAGCCTTGTGTTTATAAGTTGCGGTAGAGGGACTGGATGGGAAGGGCTGTCTGGTTTGCATGTGGGAAGTTATTCTCGATGTTGTAGGAGGCGAAGCATACAAGTATAAATTAATACCACATATCAAACCTCATCTCAAATATACCACGTACTAAGAACCCAATCTCTGCAATCATAATATCATTCTCATCTCATCTCATCTCATCTCATCTCATCTCATAATCATCTCTCCTCTACTCTCTGTACAAACTCTCACTCTCTTAAATCCCACCCCCTTTCCCACTCTTCCACCTCTCCTCTTCCCCCTCCACCCATAAACCGTCCCACACATCAGCAAACCCAAATACACACCTCCTTCCCTCCCCCTCCCCAACCATCATCACAAAAAACAACAAAACTCCAAATCCCCCCCATACCACATGCAATGCATCCCTAAATCCCCCATCCCATTCCATTCTGTTCAATATCAATATGCACATGCTCATGCTCCATCTAGCCACTCGCCCTTTACGCCAGCCAAATCTCATTCGTGTTTTTCGTATTTCATTTCATATATAGCAAAACGTATTCTCTCAGAGCGATATATTCTCAGATGCTGCGTAGTCCCAGATCAACTCCAGATAAGGCCGAAAAGTCCAAGATCATCCCTGGAACAACAACCCAGCAGCATATTCCACATTCCCGCCACAAGCATTCAACGCGTTTACAGCTTCCTCCCGACTAAACCCAAGCGCGACGAGCGTATCGATACTCTGCTGAGGAAACTCGGGTTGTGGCGGTGCCGCGGGGGTAGGAGCTTGAGGTCCCGTCTGAGGCGTTGATGAAGACGCTGAAGCCGTAGGTTGCGTCATTGAAGGCCCATCCACAGCGCCAGATTTCGCACCAATAGTCGTCCCACCCGGCCCTGCGACCTTCGGTTCCTCAGCCCGTTCCTCCTCCATATTCTTCGGAATATCCGCTTCGCCCAGGAACGAGACCTCGACGCCTTGGATGACGAGTTTATCTTTGCTGAGATCTATACAAGCTTGATGGCGTTTCAGCATGTCGAGACCAAGGAGGAGATCAACGTCTTTTCCTTCCATGACGGTGAAACTGCAGGGGAGGAAGAGGTTGCCGATTTTAATCTGGGCGGAATGGACGCGGCCGAGGATGGCTGCGGTGCCAACACCTTTGGCGACACCGGCGAAGCGTTTGTCGACTAGACGCATGATACCGCAGGTTTCGGCGCAGGAGGGGGACATGATGGTTGCTTGGGCGCCGGAGTCGACGAAGGCTTTTACTTTGTGGCCATTTACTTCGACATCGATGTAGAGCATGTGAACTCTACCAAAGACTGTACATATGTTAGGTACTATTCATAATAAAGACGATTTCTCACTCACCCTCTGGGTTATGCTCAATAGCATTTTGTAGATTCTCTTGCACACGCTCCTCCCGAATCATTTCCGCAATTCGCATCTGCGCGTCAATATCAAATGGATCCGCATTTAGATCTGCAATATGCTGTCTCCTCCTTTCCTGCTCCTGTCGCTCTGAATCTTGCATCTGCCTAAATAGCTGAGCAAATCTCTGAGGATCTTCTGCCGCTGCCGCTAACTCTGGCTGTTGGTTCGCAGCTTGCTGTCTAATTGCTGGATCTCCTAATAACCGTAACCGTAAGGTCTCTGGATCTGCCCCGTCTCGCTGTTGAGGTGCTGCCTGGGCTGCTGGTTGCGGTCTTCGCGGAGCAGCCATATCTCTTACGTGTAAAGCCAACATTTCTCCATCTCCGATCTGCAACTGTTCCATCGTTTTCGTATCATCGTTGAGTAGCTGCCCATTATGATAGAGGTGCTGTGAAGCGGCGGGGATTTGTGCTTCCGCTGAGACGGATTCTTTTAGAACGCTGACCGTGGTCTCTGGTAGGATTTCGAGGGATAGGAGATCGCCATCGTGGGTAGGCGCGGTTATAGACAATGTGATGCGCCTGGGGTGAGCTGGTCAGTCTTGAAAGCGGCAGACAATGGTAGATTGGCACAAACATATTGTCAAACGTATGGATATGATCTGGCTATGTTCAAGAGATGATGACTGCGATGGATGTGGCTTCAAGCCCTTCTCTCTTAGGGCGTCGGCTGCTTAAAGTCTTGTTTGAAAACGGAGGTCGTCCTCCGTTAGATGCGGGATGGGAAACAAATGTCGAAACGATGATGTTGCGGAGGTTTAAGTGGGGTTTAGTAATCAAAAATGGAAATGGAATTTATAGCAGACGATGAAGATGGGACGAAAGAATGAGATTCACTCGAATTGAAGTTTCGTTTGTGTATGATCAAGGTCAATGTGGATGGAAGCCTTGTGCGGCAATCTACAGTCAGGCAACGGCTGTCATGACGAGGCTGTTGTTTTACATAGCTTCGTGTGGAAGGATCCACCGACTTCCACAAAAACACATCATCAATTAGGCGTCTTCTTGCAGTGCCACTTCTAAGCTCCTCGACGCGTCGAATATACTTGTTTCGATTGCGATACTTGCGCTCCAATAAACAGCATCTTCAACAGCTACCTGATGCTTCCAATCCTCAGAGACATCACGGCTGTCAGTCGCGGCCCGTTGCGCGGAACATTTTAGAACCGTTTACCTGTTCCTGTCACCAACCATCTCCAAAGGCTGACAAAACCTCCTGCACCGAGATCCAAACCCAGAAAGAAGCAAATACGAGCCAGATCCACGATAGCTTTGGAGGGGTCTTCGTGCAAATCATGACGGAAACGGGTATACCAAGATGGTAATATACCCAGATAGACAGGCATCGCGGCGTGGGGGAGAATAAATCGCCGTCTGAGCGGTCATTCGCATGTTTGGTACTCCCAATGCTCGTACCTGATACATTCCGACATGGTGGATGGCAACGTGGGTGGAAGTACCAATACATGAATAGGACGGTGCCAACGTGACGCCCCCAAACGGTTTCGAATAAGTACCTGATGCGCCGACCGCCACTGCTACGCTCTGAAGGCGGAACGAACCCGGTCGTAGAGGCACGAGAGGGAATGGTGGGGGTGCATACAAGAGTGAGACATTTCCCTTGAGAAAGTATGTTGCATGATCTTCTGAGCATGTATCTTTGGCTTCTGCCTCTTTTGTGATGGAATGGACTCAACCGAGACGTAGTTGGTCTTCATGTATACCGCTGCAAAGAGCTGGATCTTATCTGATATCTCAACTGAGCAGATAGGCCAGATTGTCCGTGGGATGTTATTGCGTGTAACGTCATTGAAGCGCGTTTAGCTTTCCAAAGCTCTGCTATCTGTCGGTGTGGGATGGTTACTTCTCAAGCTGACTGTTTTCACCTCGACGTGTTACCGAAAGCTTTCCCGCATAAGCCTCAAGGTGGTATCGCGTGTGTACTGCATTTTTGACCTCTTTTCCAAGCATTTTAATGCACTCATGGACATCTAGGAACTCAGGCTTGCATGTCTGGACTCGTTGGCTTCATCACGACAGATCTTTGGGAAGTCACTCTCCATGTCGCTTGACATAAGTGGACATTTTGAAGCTGCTATTATTAAAGGTAATTTCTAATGACTACAGGTACACAGTCATAGTCATCCATGATAACAGAGGTCAACTTAGGTTACGAGGACTCAGGCACATCTCTAACAATCATCAAATCCACTTCCACCTCTTCAGCAGTCAAATCAACCCCTCCACAAACTTCAAATTCATCAGATAACCTTCACCCCCAAATCATTTGTTGCACATCGCACCAACTGCCGAATTACCAAAGCTCCCTCCAATTACGACTCCCTTCAACTCCCTTGTGCCCAAATCTCGCTTATACCTCCGCCAAAATCAAATTCGGAATTCGATAGTTCGTGCTATGACCTAGGATACATATAATAATTTCATCCAATTCGAATACTCTCAACCAACCCTTTGGGCTTTTGTTGCATATCGCGGGCGAGGTAATATAAAAATATCGAAATTCATTTGATCTGTTTGTGGGCAATTTTAGGTGTTGGACCAATTATTGGGGTGCTGACGACCGAGATTTGGTATAGAGTCCGTCCTGTGGTGAGGGACGGCTGGATACGAGAATGGGGCTGAAATATTGGGTGAGAAGTTCGAGAAGATTTCCTATTCTTGAAATCGTTTCCGTGTTCTTGATGTTTTGTTGCATGTCGTGGCCGTTTTTAATTTATTTTTTGTGCAGTGGTGAGCTTTTCTGTGCCGGTAGGTGCGTCGGTGCTCTGATAGTTTCTGGATACTATTGAATGGTCGGGCCTTGGTGATAGGAGTCGGACTAACGATTTATTCTAGCAAATACAAAATGCTTTTGGAGCTGGTTTGTTGCATGTCGTCGCCGTTTTTAATTTGTTTTGATGTGGCCTGATATACTTATTCAATGGTCAGGCTTGTCGATAGGAGACGGACTAAGTATGTTCTCTGATAAGTTAACGCTTTTTTGGTCGAAGAGACTCGTCTGTGCACATCGAAGCTGTTTTTAATTTATTCTGTTAGTGGAGGTGTCGGTGCTTGGAGTATTCGATAGTTAAGCTCGTCGATAGAAGCCGTTTGTTGCACATCGAGGCAATTCTTAATTTGTTTAGTGGAGATCTGGTAAGAATGTAAGATTGACTTTTTGATGCTCGAACAACCAGGTTCCTCGACTGGTCTTCTAGAAGCTGTTCATATGTCGCGTTTACTCTTCTTTTGTTGCATGTCGAACGAATTATTAATTTATCTAGCGGAGCTATATCCAGGGAAATATGGGTAGATGAGCATACTCGTACACCTAAGAATATCCAAGCTTCTCAGTCAAAGCCCAAAACTCTAGGAGCATATCTGGTTTTGTTTCGATCGTTATATGTTGCACGTCGAACGAATCATTAATTTATCTAGCGGAGCATGTTTAAGGAATTATTGACAACAGAACTTGCTGAAATGCCGGACATCCAAGCTTCTCAATAGCCGCCCGTCTGGACTCCTGGAAACCTTGGAATTGGTTACATTTGTTGCATATCGACATGACGATTAATTTATCTACTAGGTATCTGTCCAAGGATTATTAGCACAAGGAAGTGCTTTTAGCACTTGACAATCAGAGGAATTAGACGGAACAAATCGGAACGAATTCTAGAACCCTTCCTAGAGCTGTCTGAATCATTTTGTCGCACATCGAGAAATCTATCAATTCCTTAGCGGGAGTCTGTTCGTGCTACTATTGGCAGCATTATCCGCCTTTTGGACGGTGCGTTCGAGCACAGCCTCTCGACAGAAATCAGACTCGCGGTGGACAACATAAGTGGTCGTCGGAACACGATATTTCTTTGATGAAGTTGACTAAATATCGGTATTTAGTGGGTTAAATTGGGACAATATGAGATATTCCGTTAATTACTCTAAGTAAATCAGATTCTTGAGTTTTAGTCGAAGTCGACTTATTCAGTCCACAATTTGGTGGGCAGGTATTTGACACTTGTTTTGTCCTCCGCGAGCTAGAGAAAACAGGCATCCGAGAGTTCTAGAAATTTTTCTGATTATAGGATGCGGTTTGTGTGTTACAGGTCAGACATCCAATGATTTAGTAAGTGGAGAGCTAGTCAGGAAGCTATTGGTCAGGAACGTGCTTTTTGAAGCCTCGAATGACCAAGCTTTTCTGTCAATAGAAGACCAACCACTGAACTTGTTGTAGCACAAGAAGCATTTCTAATTCCGCTCTAAAATACACATTTGGTACATATCGATAAAACTTTCAATTTGGAAGGAACATCAGGTTATAGCACTAATGACAACACGATCCTTATATGGACGACCCATACATAATACGCGATGTGTAATCCAGATTGGACATTTATTACACATCGAGAAAACCATCAATCTACATTAAAGATTTCGTCGAAGCACTCTTGTTTACGAAACGCTTCTAGCTGAGAATTGAGAAGTCCTCTATTCCGCTTTCAATTTTTTGAATATCGTTCGTTGTATGTCAAAATAATAATTAGTAACGACATGGATATAGTAGTAGGTGGGTATTGACAGTAAGGACTCGCGGATATACTTATCATGTGAAACCAGATTGAGCCATGTTTTCGAATCTGCTTATAGAGAAAACTATCCGTTTGTCTAGTGGAGACAAAAGCGATCGTTGGAATATCGGTAATAAAGTACTCAGGTATATACTCTATATACTTGACCCATCGTTGACGTGTCAATGCCAGAAAATACTTTCTTGTTGCACGTCGAGATGACTATCGAATCCTTTAGTGAAGATCGGGCTATAGCGCTATTGGTCGTAAGACCACATATACATAACGTGTGAACGTCGGTCTGGAAAAGGTGCTCGTGTCATTCCTGATACGACTTGGATTCTACTTTGAGTCGTGTTGACAAAATCGTCGGTTCATCTAGTGGATTCCGGTTGACTGGAATATCGAGATAATCCTCGCTATTTACAATAAGATGCTCTCGTATGCCACTGAGCTGAGAACTTCTCGAGGACCTCCCCGCTTTCGAATTGCATATTTGTTGCACTTCGCTAACACTATAGATAGAACTATTGGCAATAAGTCATACTCTGTCACGTGAAGTCTGTCAAGCAATACGAATAAAACACTGCAGATTCTTTTCTTGTTGCACATCGAGAAAACTATTCACATAACAGTGGATGGAACTATTGATAATATGCTGCACGCAATAGGTTGAAACGACACGCACACAGGCTAGACTAAAACCAGTTCTCGTATCCTTTCTCTTTTAGTTCTAGATATCGTTTGTTGCACGTCGAGAAAACTATTAGTATATCTAGTGGACATACTATTCATAGCACTACCGATACCATGATCTCGAAGCCTTTGCTGTTCTACTTCAATCTTCATTTGTTACACATCGAGAAAACTATTATTATGTTAATAGTCGAAAGTATTGACGATATGCTGTTCTCAAACTGCCGTACTGAAACAGTTCTCGTATCCTTCCTAATTCGGCTCTAGTTTCTCTTTTGTTGCATATCGAGAAACTTACCAATTCATCTAGTGGACTTTTGTGTTCAATGAACTATTAACAATATGGCCCTGCGACCGTGTCAGAATAGACTACCTATGAAAGCTGGACTGGCAAATTCCTTGTATTCTTCCCAATTCAGCTCTGGTTTCTCTTTTGTTGCACATCGTGAAACTTACCGATTCATCTAGTCTGTGTTGCTATTCATGGAACTGTCGATCATAGGTTCGTGCTCAGCCTCCAGGTACGTCAAGCTTCCCATATTTCAAAGAAAAACAAAAAACTGAAATAGTCAAAGCCTTAAAAGCTTATTGGTTGCTTGTCAAGCAAACCAAGCTTAATCCTTTTTAAAATCTCGGATACAGAAACTATTATGGTTGGTCAATAATTCGCCGCTCGATAAATACGATCGGGCATTTCGATAGTTGACGTCGGGTGGATTTCGATAGTTCGGGTACCAGTTCGTCTCCTTAACGACCCCATAGGTCATGTCGTACATTATTCATACCACATTACCAACCCCATATTAAGCAATTTTTATCGATGAAAAGGGGGTTTGTTGCATATCGTAAAACTATTTGATTTCTGGGACTGGATGTTATTGGTTAGTTTTTGTTTTATTTTAATAGTTGGACGGTTTATGGATAGGTGTCCTCCAATAGAGGAAATTTGAAAGCCCGTCGTTCACCCTAAAAATCAGGGATCCATGTCATGGAAAACAAATTTGTTGCATGTCGAGAAACTATTTGATTTATGGGATGGGTTTTCATTGGTTGTTGTTTTTTGGATCTTCCTACCGTTGTGGGTAGGAACGTGGTCCATTGGGGAGAAGTCAGAGCAAGTAATAGCTAGTCAGAACTCTGTCGTTCACCACCGCCACAATCAGCCATTCATG